ACCCGTATCATACCTAGAGTTGCAGTTTTTATAAAACTTTTTGGTGCCGGAATCGAAAGTGGTTCTTGGCTTCCAGAAACACCATCAATACCAACCACTCAGTATTATGTGTCTGTTGTAACAAAAAATAATAATAAAATATGGATTGTCTTATGTAACATAAGTGGACTAACACCTTAGCCGTATAACTAGGTGTGTTGTCGACCTATTTTGGCTTTGGATTTTCGGGCTTTGAAGTTTAATCGCGTTTCTGGTTCAATATGTGTAATATTGAAACAGAAACGCGATTAAACTTCACGGCTTTTCGTCTGTGGACGATGGTTTGTGACGAGGACGGAATTTCGATATTCCTACCTACCCTCTAATGTCCACATTTTCCAGACGAAGTCAAACATCTTGAAAAAAATACATCATTTGATTAGAAACATTTTGAGTTAAACTAGCAATTCTTTGATTAATTATAAGCAAGACATTTCTATTATTAGACAATTAAGTATGTAAAAACCAAAAACCACTTTCTTTTTCTTTTTTAATGATAGCGGAGGACAGACAAGCATGGATGAACGCCATTGATGGAAGGTGCGATCCCCTAGCGATATATATAACTTTGGTAAAAGATGCGCAGCTCTCCGTGCTGTTGCTCTGAACGGAAAGCTGACGATGCCGGTTCAAGTCCTGCCCGAGTCGAACATTTTTTTCAATTTATTTTCGATTTTTAAATTATATAGTGTCGTCATGCAATCATGCATGCAAAAATATTTTTGAATGTTTTCAAATAATATAGACTAAGTAAGTTCTTTCCTGTGATTTGCTTTTATTTAAGATAATATTATCTGTAGGGCTACAAGAGCTACAAACGGCCAACAACATATCGTTTGAATATTCATATGTTTATCCAATTAAGCAACTCTTTGGATCCAATGTAATCACATGACACCAACATATTTTCTCATTTACATAGTTGTATGACGTTTGGCCTTCGTTATTCTTTACTCATAACTCAAATAATTAAGTACACTTGCCTTGCCCTCTTATGTAGACGCTTATGTATGTAAAATAATAGATTTAATTATTGTAGCTGAATAGTGCCTGAAGATAACTTAATTTCGCTTTAATGATAAAAAAATCCGAAGAGTTCATAGAACAGCGCATTGATCTTGTGTTACATGACGGCTGGTATGTTTGCCTCCTATCTAACATAAGCCATATTTTGAAAAAGTATTTTAAATTTCAACTTGGAAAATAGCGACGCAGGTTTGGTTTGACGTTTTCCTGTTTTGAAAGTCAATTTACTTTAGAAGAAACTGATTTTCGCTATGATTAACTAAATGATTTCCGAATACCCAAGGCCAAAAAAGGCCGACAGCGCATCTTGTTAAGATGTTATATGGCTGGGGTACCTACCACCTTCCATCAAGCGATGCCTGTGCTTGTCTGTTCTCATTTATATTACAAAAAAGTGGTGGAAATTAAACGGGTTGTTGGTAATATCCATCTGAGGTACACATGACATGACATCCACAGGTGGAAAGGTGTGATGTGTATTTTCGCCATGGTTAATATAGATAGATGGGAATGGATGTTCTGTGACATGGACATTCCGCCTTCTATCAAGTTTATCACAGACTAGCTATGCCAGTGACTTCTTCCGCGTAAAATAATTTGGGCATCCAAATTAGTTTTTGCAGGCCTCCAGTTCAACTCTATAACTTTAAGCTGTCACCCACGTCGTTCTTAAAAGAGACATATATACTGTCGCTGACATTTTTTAGATCATTTAAAGAGGAATCATTCATCATACATATTTTTTGGGTATCTTGAAACATTCCCACCTGTATCTTTCGTATTGCTCGTATCGTGATGTTTTACAGCTTAAATTCGAACTATTAGTTTTACAGATTAGTGCGTTGAAACAAACAAACTCTTTAGCTTTATATATTAGTATAGAGTATAGATTCAACCAAATTTATATGTATGTAAGTTATATGTCTAGCATTTGCTTTTCCACATATTGTTGCGTAAATATATGTTACAGAAAATTTTGTTAGTCACGTATGAGTAATCTTAATGCTTTCGAATATATCGTAAGTGCGTCTTAATATAAACTTTGTTCAACGATCATTAGTAGTGGCTTAATTGAAATTAAGTTATATATACATTTATATTTTCTTGAGAGAATCTATTCTCTTATTTTATATGTTCCAACATATAATGGATTTGAAAAATAATTTGCACGGTTTTCACTTTTCCCGTTGTTACTTCGCTTCTATTTGTCTTTCTATTATACTACTACTATCTTTTATAGCCTTTTCGATAAGTGCACTGACAAAAAAAAAAGAAATTTTCAATTCGAACCAGTAGTTCCTGAGATTAGCGCGCTCAAACAAACTCTTCAGCTTTATAATATATTAGTATAGATTTGCACGCATTTCTGTATTTAATCTTCATTTTGAGTGCTTTATATTAGATTATATTAAGTAAAGCAGTTTAACGGTTTAACTAAATTACTAAGTGTTTTATTGAAATATGTACTACTCGCGTAAACTACAGACATCGCTATATTTCCAAGGAATTAAAAATCAGAAATGAATCATTGTAGCTTTAAATTTACTGTTTGTTTTCCAATATATTTTTGTGGCTATAAAATCTATTTTTTAAATTTCTTTATTAAATGTAGTTAGTAAATAGATTTGGCATTTTAAACTGTTGAAAACGTTTCATTTTACTGTAAAAGTCAGCTGCTCAGTTATACAATTGCCTATAGCACTCCAATTTCATATTTCACAGTACACTGCCTTATGCTTGGAACAGCTTCCACGAACATTAATGAGTTGGACACTTAAGGTGTCAGTCATTACGTATTGATTGCGCGCCATTGGTATTCATCGTGCAAGCCCATTGAAGTGGACCATAAACAGTGCCCTTGGAGCCATGTCGGTGGTCATCGTGGATAAGACGAGAGGATACCGCTTTGTGTCCCTTTGTTTAAACAGTTACTAATATTTACACTACTAATTGTGTCAGCGACTTCGTTCGTTTGCGTAAATAAGTTATTTTGGGCGTCAAAATTAATTTTTGCAAACTTCACCTTTATACCTCAGCTGTTACCCACGACATCATCTGCGTCTCGTCGTGCTTGCGAGTTCATCTTAAAAGATATGGAGAGACGTATTGCGGACATTTATAGATTGTTAATCGTTTAAAGTCGAATTATTCTTTCATACATATTTTTTTAGTATCTATTGCTGCAGTCCACGCAACGGAAGACCTTAAAGATGACAAATTGTCCCCGTTCTTTTCATTGTCTTCGCTCGTTTTGGTCCCATCGTGATGTTTTATAACTTAAAGACTTCCTCGATAAATTCTTTAACCAACACTAATGTTTAAATGCGAACTATTAGTTCCTGAGATAAGCACGTTAGAACAAACGAACTGTTCAGTTTTATAATACTAGTATGGATAAAGTTCCAGTCCAAAATGCCCCTGACATTAGGCACGAGAGTTCTGTTCAAGTCCTGAACACAGAAATGTGTTCGACGCATGCCCCACAGGGGGAACAGGATCTCAAATACTGTCTATAGTTTACGCGAGTAGTACACATTTAAATAAAACACTTTAACGGTTTAAAACGCGATATATTAGTTACTTAACTTATTTGAAACTGATTTTTAACTTCGGCCCGACGTCCGAATCCGAAAAGTTTAACTAATATATCGCATTTTAAACCGTTAAAGTGTTGTATTTAAACATGATCTCAACTTATAATGAAACAATATAATTTAACCTGGACAGTATTACAGAGCTGTTGTGGATGCCAGTTCAAGACCCGCCCATATATATTTTTTATTTGTATTTTGTTTTGTCTGTATCTCTGGCACGTGTATCGTTCTAATAGACTTCCCACAACATAATATTACAGGGAGAAATTAGTAATTGAAAATTTTTACATTCATCGCACGTATTTAAAATAAATAAAAGCCAATATTATTTTAATCCTAAAGTCACTATACAACGCTAGGATGCGAGCACTGCTAGTCAATTGTTTCCATTTTTTCTGGAAAAAAAGGCTGCCATCAATATCACCATTAGATTTGATTAGTCGTGTGAGTTTTGTGTCAAACGAATCCACTTTAAATACAAGTTTCGGTTAACCGAAGAATTATCTCGATACTAACTTTCTACTCTAGTTGGATGTAAGATCGTATCCGCCTATTAATTTTTAAATTTAATTATAGAACGCGTGTTCTCGCTCTGAATGTTTCTTCAACATATATGTTTTACTATGATGGTTATCTGTGTCAATGGACATAGACTGTTTCGTATGTTAATACTTGTACGGCGTGTTATCCTTTGCGTGCTGAGATCTATGGTAATTCATGGTAATATTGACGCGTGACTTGTTGCGCCTACGCCGGTTGCGCTGCGCGTGAATTTAATTTTCGAACAAGATAATTTTTTTACTTAGTAGTGTATGTTTCTACACTTTTATAAAAAACGACGGTAGAAGTAATTAAACTCGAAACGCTTTTAATGTCCAGATTTATATTTACTTACTTTGAAATAAAACATTTTTACCGGTTTAAAACTTTTTATTTATATGTAGAGTTTTGAACCGAACTTATTCTTAATGTAATTTTACTAATATATTTAGAATTTTAAATCGTTAACAATGTTTAATATAAACGTTTTTTCTTCTTTCTTCTTAATTTACAGAATAAGAAAACACTTATTACGATAATAAAAATGCCTTAATTATTTTTTATTATAAGTTCATTAAGAATCTAAAGAGTAAAGCAAAAAGGCAATTTCATTCACAAATTAAGAATGAGTAATAAATATTTTAACACGTTTTTAATTGTTTACAGGCCCATGTCGGGACTCGTAAAAGGAAACATCAAGCACATGGCATGAACCGTCCAAAAAACAAAACGTGAAATGTTAAGTTGAAGTGGTGATGTGTTGTGTCGATAACTAGTGATGCGTCAGAGATTATCGACATGATGGATGTGAATACCACTCTGGCTACCATATACCCGCGGGAAGCGACGATTTTGGCTGCGGCATGTGCATGCATATTTAGCATGGTTGGAGTTATAGGTAAGTTTTTATATATCTGTTTAGTTCCTAGAAGTACCTCAAATTTAAATAAAACACTTTCACGGTTTAAAACGCGATATATATTAATTAAACTTATTTGAAAATTATTTGAACTACGGCCGGACGTTTCAAATAAGTTTCATTAATATATATCGCGGTGTAAACCGTTGAAGTGGTTTACTTAATATTATAATATAAGTATGTAGGTATACAAAAAGTATTGTAATGTAATCAGTAAAAATACCTACCGCCCTAAAGGATCTCATATTCACTGTACAATATAATAGTATTTCTCATTCGTTCGATTTATTTAAGAGCGAGTTGTAGTATCTTAATGTAATTGTTTAAAGTTACAAGTGCATTTGATATGGTTCCGGTAGTAACTAGTTGCTTTTTGAATTTTTTTTTTAAAAAATTTTTAAACCTATTTTTTTTTTTTTTTACCCTTAATGTAATTTTTTAAAGTTACAAGTGCATTTGATATGGTTCCGGTAGTAACTAGTTACTGATCGACCTTATTAATAGATTTTATAAATGTTTGAATTTTTAATTGATCATTAAAAAAAATTATTGAATATTTAAAAATGTAATACTGACATGAAACGTTTTAATTGTGCTTAAATAGCATTAATAAAACAATGAAATGTATTTTTTGCTATATTTATCTTTCCTAGTGCTTCTTATATACATAACGATATAACATGGCTCTTACTTACATAACATCATCCCATTTCCCCACGTAGGGCATGGGGCGAAAACATTTAGGTGTCCGTTTCACAGATCGGTTTTAACTACAGCCAAATAGTACATACTTTTGTGCCCTGGTCAACTGAAAGAAAAAATCTATTGTTTCCCTGGGATTTGAACAACACGTTTAACCATATAGCTATAGAGGGGGTTCTTTTACAATCACAATTGACATACTAATTCCAAATGTTTAAACCCAAAATAATTATTCTTCACGAACAAAATCGCTGACACAGCTAGTAGTGTGATAAGACAAAATTTCGTTTGCCGGTTGTCAGTATATAAGAACTCTTTGACGTAAAAAAATTTTAAATATAAAAAACGACTAACGGCTTAAACACGATATATATTAGTCAAACTTATTTGAAATGTAATAATTTTTAACTTCGCCCTGACGTTTCGGAAGTACTTTGCAGCAGCCGTGGTCACGGGGAGACAATTTTAAATAATTAATTTCAAAATTCAGCATACATAATTGCCCCCCCCCCCCCCCGACACTCATCACTCATACCGTAATTTACGATACTTTTTACGTCTTTACAAATATTTACATAATGCACTCGTGTCGATAACCCTAATACAGGTGCATCGTTGCAATGTAAACAACATTAGCTGTTATCATTTATCGGTCATGGCTCACGATTACCGTTCAATTTCAAATCACTATCATAGTGTTGTGGGGCACGGTGGTCCAATGGTAGGGGGATAGTTAAGTTAGTAACTACGATTAGAGACAGGGGGGCTAATGACTTAAGAAGATCTTTGCCCTCTTTTAATGACAAAGGGGGTTGATAATTGCATTAACTAGTTTACGTGGCGGCGAAATTCTAGTATTAGGTTCGTTTCAGTGTTGTAGTTTTTATTTTATTTGTCTTTACACGTCCGAAAAACTGTATAATAAAGGTGTAATTAAAATAACGAAGTCCCTTCGGGTAACACACCGTCTTTTTCAGCAGTGGTCACGGGAAAACTCTTGCCACAAAGCATCTGAAACTTCGGGCCGTAGTTAAAATAATAAGTCAACTAATATATTTTGCGTTTTAAACCGTTAAATGTATTTAAATTAGCACTACTCGCGTAAACAACAGACAGTATTTACTCTTATCAAGTTCCTCCATGCATTAATTTATGAAATTCAAGATTCATTTCAGATTGTACAGTCGCGTACAATAAGTCGAAATGTAAACAAAAAGAAAGATGGTTAATGTTTTCATGTAATAAAAATGTCAGGAATCATAACACATCTGCAAACTGGTACGATTTTTGTAAAACTGATACTATTTGTCTCTTTTAATTGGCATGGTATATATAAATATTGTCTATAGTTTACGCGAGTAGTACACATTTAAATAAAACACTTTAACGGTTCAAAACGCGATATATTAGTTAAACTTATTGGAAAATGATTTTTACGGCTGTTGCAAAGCATCCGAAACGTCGGGCCGAAGTTAAAAATCATTTTCAAATAAGTTGAACTAATATATCGCGTTTTGAACCGTTAAAGTGTTTTATTTAAATAGTATATACAGTAAAGTATGAGCGATTTCGTCCGCGTAGAATAGTTGTTTAACTAAACTATTACCCACTACGCTCGCGTCCCGTCATTCGTTCAAGTTAATCGTAAAAGTTAGACGTATACTCTCGCGGTAATTTTTTTTCAGATGTTTTAAAGAGAAACCATGCATTATTTTCCCCGTTGTTTCCACGTTTCCCTCTGTTTCTAGGCTCCCTAGGTCGCAGCCTCTTGTTTTATAGCCTTATCTAACTAACACAAAAATAATTTTTCAATTCGAAGCAGTAGTTCTTAAGATTAGAGCGTTCAAACAAACAAACTGTTGTTTAATATTAGTATAGACAAATAAATATATGCGTCATTATCACAACGTGCAATGTATTCTGAAACTGCACTTCACTTTCTTTACTTTTGTTATTGTATGTAAATTTCTTCTATTTTATGTATCGTATGCAATTAGTCCAACTTATACATGCACCTCTCTTGCATTGCGTGTTCTCGTCGTTCGAGTCTTGTTTGAGTGTTTAAAATTGTTCCGTATAAAATAATGTTTTTAATTAATATTAAAGTTTCCTCTGCAGTTAATAATGTTGCCTTGTACACATTGACCGACTTATATTTTATTTTATTTTTTAGTTTACGTTACGACAGTTTGGAATACTCTTTATTCAGGCTATATATGATGTTTTGAAAGGGACGTCCTTAGCAATCAAATGTAATGTGGCGATGATGTCTCGTAAATACACGTGTTTTATTATCGAAAGCAATTAGCCACTCGGCTGGGCGCCATTTTGTTTGTTTAAGTCGCATCGATAGATTCAAGTTGCCTTAGAGTTTATGTACTTATTGTTTAATTTATTTATGTTTACTTTAAATAACCTTCTATGTGGCTAAATGGTTAAACGTGTTGTCTAGCAGTGCATTAAGCGTAAGAGGTCCTGGGTTCAAACCCTGGGGAACAATAGATTGTTTCGGTTGGGCAGGACACAATATGATTAACTTCTGAACAACTGCCTGTAAATAAATCATATCAGTGAAATGGACAAACAAATATGTTGCCCCTACGTTTGGATTTCACTGAATATACATTTTTTTAAACACTATAACTTGATAGTAAGCTTTTTTGACATAATTTAATATTTCCGATAATCCTAAATTGTATGTTTAAACTTCGAATGTCAGACGTCTGTTATCTATTCATATTTACCGTTTTGAATTTTATAATCTGTATTTTTTTCTCTAGTACAATAACCCGGACGCCATTAATTAAACTGACAGCTGTCTTATTAACGATACATTTTTTGCAATCTGTATTATAAAATGATTTATACTTAAGTATAAGAATCAATTGCTGTTCTCGCTAAAACTCGATATCAAATAGGTTCCGACTTATTTTCGTTTTGAAATGTATGTCGTCGGCCAGAGACAGTTGCTTACTGTATAATAAGCAGCTTATGGATATTGGTAAAATTTCTTGCAAAACACTTGACGTTCATCCCTTTTGTAGGATACTTGCTCTCGCCGCGACTTTGTCCGCGTTAAATAGTTATTGGGCATCATAATTTCGTTTTTGCAAACCTCCTCATCTTTTCAATTTTAGATGTTACCCAAGGTCGTCGTACCCCGTCGTTCTTGCAAGTTAATCTTAAAAGATGGGCATATACAGCCTAATAGTTTTTTAGATTGTTTAAAAAGAAATCGTTTTTTCCTACATATTTTTTGGGTACCTTGAACCGTGTTCGCAGCGTATGCAATGGAAACCCCCCCCCCCCATTTTTCCACATTTCCTAATGTTTCTTCTCTCCTATTAGTCGCAACCTAATGTTTTAAAGCCCAAGCCTTTCTCGATAAATGATCTAACCACCACAAAAATGAAGTTCCTGAGATTAGCGCTTTCAAACAAACAAACTCTTCCGCTTTTAATATTAGTATAGATACAATGAAGTACAATAAGACACGCTTGAATTTCGCGTTTTTCACTGTTTTATGGTTTATTCAATAGCGGTGAAACTAAATAATGTTTATATTTATCTACATTTCATATCATAATTCATTTTCCGGCGCCACTTCGCGTTGCTGGAGTGCTTACAAATTCAGCAGAGTTGTTTACTTGAATGCTATTCAACTTTTGAAAGCGAGCATTGACTTACGATTTTAGTGGTTAAAAGTTCCGCTTCTGTGCGCATGCGCATATGCGTATATTATATGTCAATCGTATGTACCTAATATTATATTTAAATAGATGACAAAGCACTGTCTGTAGTTTATGCGAGCAATTCACATTAAAAATAATACGCTTTTTAACGGTTTAAAACGCGAAATGTATAAATTAACTTATTTACACTTTATTTTAACTACGGCCCGTCGTTTCGGATAATTTGCACCACCCGTAGTCACGGGCGGACTGAAGAATTATCGCCATAATAGCAATGATCCATTTCGCGTTTTAAACCGTTAATAAGTATTGTATTGGTCAACTTTTTATCTGATCAAACAGCGAACTTTACTATGTAAAAGACTGCGTTTTAAACTGTTTCAATGTGTTTTATTTATATAAACGCTGTTATTTGTAATATTCTTAGGGGCCGTTCAAGTATTACGTAAGCAGATTTATTACAATTATTTACCCCCCCCATCCCCCCTTGTCAGCAAAAGTAAGCAAAGCTTTTACCCCCTCCCCCGTGCTTACGTAAACATTTTTCAATTAAAAATGTATTTTTTATATTATAATTTTAAAGATAAGAAAGTTGATTCAGAAAGTAAATAAATATAGATGACGTAATCATCATCTGGACTCCCCCTACCCCCCATGTCATCAAAAACAAGCAAAATAAAGACCCCCCCACCCCCCTATAGTGCTTACGTAATACTTGAACGGTCCCTTATTAGTTTTCCTTCGTCAAGCACGGGATAGTTATTTTAAGTTTAATTATTTCGACGTTCGGTTTTAATGTCTGAATTTTCTTATAAGCCGTTCATATGCAGCTTTTATCATTATAACGAATCGTTTGATACGTTGTTTAGCAAAGCTTTTTATTTTTAAGCCCTAGAATTGAACATACTGTTCTCCAACATGTGAAGAATTGCATAGTAAACGGGTGTTAGGGAATATCGCAATTCCGACCGGGTAACGAACCACCGCAGATGAAACAACCGTGAAGTCTAAACGCGTTTCGGTTTCCGACTTTCCAAAGCTAAAATAGGTATGGCTGGGATATTTCACCCCAATTGAATCCCATGCCAGACCGCCCTCACTAAAAAAAAACAAACCTTATTATCCTTTTCTTTGCGTCGTCGGTTAATAATAGTCAATTACCAAAGAGGTTTTACCGCGTAGAAGCACTTGTGTGCCGGTGCGGCAGACGGCCACTCACATGAATTAAATCGATACGCAATTTAAGATAGCTAATAGTTGCTCCCTACTATTTATTGGAAGGTTCAATTAATAACTGAACTATTACTTGTTTGTGGCGAATTGTATCACATATAGTGAACACTAGCTGTGCCATCGACTTCGCCCGCGAAGAATAGTACTTTGGGCTCCGAAATATGTTTTTGTATAGCTCCTGCTCGGTTGCGTCCCGTCGTTTTTAAATAGTCTTAAAATATAGACAAATACTGTCGTGGTGGTTTATCTGTATATTATGATAGTCAAAGTCAAAGTCAAAAATCATTTATTCATGTAGGTAATTATGTACACTTATGAACGTCACAAAATAATTATAGAATCTAACTTTACATTTACTACCAGTTCTCAAATCAAGGGCGTAGAACGAACGAGAAGAATGGCAATATCCGTACTCCTTTTTCGCCAGTTTCATTTTACATTCTTGATTTACTTTTAGTAACAAATATTTTTCCTTGTAAGAGCGGGTTCCTCCACACCCCAAGCATTTTTATCATTTAAATATTGATTAACATGATAATAACCCTTTTCAAGAATTTTTGTTTTACATACGATTTAAACCTATTTATTGAGAGTTGACTTTGGGGATTTTATTAAAGTATCGTAGAGTTACTTGAAAAGAACTACTACTTTTATGGAGTTTTGTTGGAATTATTTTGTCCTTATAGGTATTGTATGATGAGTGTTTGTTTAAAAGTATTAGTTTTTCCTTACATATAAAACATTTCATAATATATTGACTTGCCGTTAGGATATCAATGCTTTAAATTATTTCGAAGACTCTGTGAGGAAAGACCACAAATCATGAAAGCCCGTTTCTGAAAACAAATATGGTTTGAAATGGTGTTGCCCACAAAAGGATACCATAAGACATTAACTATGAAGTAACTGAAGTAGACAACTTGGCTGTATTTTCATCAGTAAGCTGTGTACTTCTTTACAGAAAGGTGAGAGCTTAGTTTATTCGAAAGATTTTTAATGTGTGGTCCCCACTGAAGTTTACAATCGAGAGTTATACCCAAAAACACAGCATCTTCGACAAAACCTATTTCTTCATCTTTTATTTGTATACTATCATTTCTACTGCATTTAACGTTGTTGTTAAAACTTAAGGATTTAGTCTTCTTTTCATTTAGAAAAGATTATTTGTTTAAACCAATGAACAACTCTGGAAAAATGTTTACTTTGTCCATTGATACATTTTGTGTTTAACATAAATAAAAGGATGTGTCATAGAAAAGTATATTTCGTGAAGGTCATTAACATAAGATGGCAAATCATTAATATAGATAAGAAATAGGAATGGTCCAGAGACCTGCGGTACGCCCATTGTTACAGATGATCCTGCGGAGATAGCATATTTAATGAACTTTTTGAATTCTACATCTAGATATGATTTCATATTTTAACGTATCATATAATGTTGAAGCTTTTTGACTAGAGTATGATGATGTACGAATAAAAGTTTTGAGAGATCGCAAAAAACTCAATGGATATTGTTTTCCCAGGTCAAAATGCCGGAAATAATTAACCGCTTGTAAGATACTTTTTATGATAATTTATTTATTAAAAAAAGCATTATGATTAGAATAATTTTTTCAAAAATTTTACTCAAGGCAGGCAACAAACACGGGTCTATAATGATGGATCAGAGTATGCGCCTTAGCCAAAGTATATTTACTAGCTTATTTGGTAGGAACACTCCACAGTCGATACATCTATTAAATATAATAGCCAATTCTGAACCAACAATTAATTACTACTGTAAAACCATTGTTGATACACCCCAGATATCTTTAGATTTTTTTACTTTGAGTAATTTTAAAGTTTTCATAATATCATTTCTATTAACATAACTGAAGCTAATCTACTATTACATTTTGGGACATACATTTCTAATAATTGAAGGGCGAGAGGATGAAGATTTTAAATTTTAGTTATATTTAGAGGAATGTCGGTAAAGAACTTTTCAAAGAGAAGCACTGAGCCCTGAGCTGATTACTTTACCATCGACTTTTAATTTGTAATCTAAAACTTTATGTGTAATCCTCCCTTTTTCATTTTCAGTGGTTTTACCTTTGAGTGTTTTTATTTTTAAACTTAAATATTGCGACTTAGCCGAGCGACATTCTTTTTTAAAATTATTGGAAAACATCCTACATAACTTTTAAACTCTTACTATTATTGTATGTTTTCCTCATAAATTATACAATTTTCTCCTTTTTTTGTGATCTAGTGGCCAGTAAGATTAATTTTTAGAGACCAAAAAAGTCTTCGGTAAAAATACATTTTTAAATTCATCAATAAATGAACCAAAAAATACACCATATAAATATTAGGACTGTTGTCACAAAAAATGGGAGACTGCTTATTAATCTATTTCTAAATCTATCTATTCGTTCAGCTGTAACTGGACAGTACATATCTTTTTTTATAAACTTTGTTCTTATTATTTTTAAAAGTAAACAACTGACCAGAGTGATCAGATGTAGTTGTTAACAATACAAGTATTACTGGTAAAATATACTGAAGATATTGTCTATACAAGTTGCGTGAGGGTAACTTTTGGTCATTAAAATGATAATAAGTTAATGATTTAAACAGATTCAGAAATGTAAAGATGAACGGAGTGATCATCTAGCAAATTAATATTAAGTCTCCACAGACAATGATTTTTTTATTTAATTTTGTAATTTAAACAAAATTTCTTCTGTTTTTTTTCTAAATAATTATAATTAGCCGAGAGGACTATACAAACTAACAACTATAAATTGCTCTACTCTATACAAGAAAGCTCAATAATTTCCAAGAGATACATAGAAACTTAAACATAAAAACTCTCCAAATCTGCGGTATTATGCCAACACTCGTCTGAATGGCCTAATCTCATCCGCTTTGACCAAAAAAAAATCCATGCGAAGAAGAATCGATGTTTACTAAGATTGGCATGCAAAACAATTAAAAAAAATATTTTTTTAATTTTGATTGTTTTGCATGCCAGGATGGCCTCAAGTCATCAAACACCTGGTATCCCATATTCAAACCTCCGTTAGCCAATTCTACAAGGATCCGGCCAGCTTCGCAAAATACAAACTTCGACGGAACGATAGCGCTAGCAGTTTTTACTTTGACATTAGATACACCCTACATCTTTAGGTTCCCCCCTCGACCACGGCTGCTGCAAAGCATCGGAAACGTAGGGCCGTTGTTAAAACTATTTTCAAATAAGTTTAACTAATATATATATCGCGTTTAAACCTCGTAACACAATTATATGTTTGACCTATTTAGATGTGATGACGTACAATGTTGAAATCTTTATGTTGCTTACAGGTAATCTAATAACGACAGTGGCTCTTCTTATGCATCCAAAGCTTCGCGGTCACGTGACTACCATGTTTGTGCTGTCACTCTGCGTCTCGGATCTTCTCTTCTGCAGCATCAATTTGCCACTTACAGCAAGCAGGTGATAACACTTTATAATATAGACGTAGAATAGTTATTTTTGGGCAATTACGTTTTTATACCCAAAATAACTTTTTGAATTTGATTTGTGCGCGTTTAAACAAACAAACAAACTCTTCATTTTTATATATAGACTTGTATACTTTCGTATCGTAAGCGCCGTAGATAAACGTTAAATAAAACCTCTTTAGAACCCGGAAATATATAATACTGCGGCCTCGTTGGTGGTATGGTCGTAATGTATGGTCAATAATCAATGGGTCGTGGATTCGATCCGACATTTAAATAAAACTCTTTAACCGTTTAAAACGCGATATATATTAGTTAAACTTATTTGAACCCCCGTGACCACGGCTGCTGCAAAGCAATTGCGACTGCAATAATTTATCCAGAACACGTTGGACTTCGTCTGAAAGTGTGTATGGTAGGAATATCGGAATTCCGTCCGGGTGACGTACTACCGTCCACACATGAAAAAGCCATGAAGTTTTATCATGTTTGGGGTACAGTCTGTGGACTTCCGAATAAACAAAGCCAAAATAGGTCGATAGTGCATCTTCCCCTCCCCCCTATTTTTAGTCTCCCCGTGACCACGGCTTCTGCAAAGCATCATTTGTTATTTTCAATAATACTCGCTGATCTATACCTTATATGTCCGTCATACTTCTTACATGCTACATATAGATCATAGTGAAAATACGGGCACATAGTTTCTTTTATGATTTTATAGTTGACAATTAAATCAATCGGCACATGCCGCCTTCACGGCGCACGCTTCACAGAATTATGTAGATGAAATTCAATTCCCAATTACACATCTGTGATGCGCGTGCGACTAACTGTCATAAGTAAACAAAGACGTGCATTTTATTATGACATGTCATCAGTATACATGTCATTTTTGTATTAGTCATTACTTAAGCTATGAACGAATATACAGCCATTGAGACAAAGATATACAAGATTCCTAAAGGCTAAAACTGCTATTTTAGGGTTCCGTACGGAAAGGCCTCGCTGCTTTCATTGTAGCAACGTATAGCAAGAGGTCGTGGGTTCGCTCCCTACCGTGTCCAAGATGTCGCTGAACAATGTATAATTTTCTGAAACTGTAAATCTGGGTATTAAATGGATAGTAATCCAAAAGTTCTAAAAAAATTGGCTGGGTCACAAATTTACGTACACAGATAAAAAGGCGCGAAGTTCCGCGTTTCGCTTCCAGTCTGTGGATTCCTGAATATCCAAGGCCATAAGTTGACAGCGCATCTTATTGAGATATTATGGAGTATTTCACGTATCATTAAGTGAAAGCCTGGGCTTGTGTGTCTTCTATGATAAGAAATGCCTAAAATGGAGGATCCATTTACCAGACAAAGGTCATCTTTCACTTGGCTGTAAAGTATAGCTTGAGTAACTAATATAAATATTTCTTTTATCCTAAACTTCTGGTTGCCTGGAAGAGATCGCTGCTTAGATTAGGTCGCATTTATAAGATAATACATAAGATTTTCACTTTTGCGGTATATATTAAAATTAATGATAAAAAAATAAACAAATGCAATCTTAAAAAAGATGTTTTTGGAGTACAAGCAACTGTTTCTAGATACGGAACTCTTAGCGAGTCTAGTTGTTAATATGGTATGCGATTACCGATTATATTGTTAAGTTATTTGAAGTACCTTTATTACAGGTATATAAACGAAGAGTGGGTACTCGGCCCCCGTCTCTGTCAAATGTTCGCGTTCGTCTTTTACGCTAACGAGGCTGTGTCTCTACTGTCTATGGTGGCTATTACAATTAACAGGTGAGAGTCAATTTTATTAACACGATATTTATAAAACATTTATTGTTATGTCCATATGCGGGGTTATATGCCAAATGCATACAACATTAAAAGGAAACAAATCAAATCTACGAATACCTACTTACAACGGGATGAGTAAATACAACACTGTTAACAGATTAAAATATGGTTTTTTGGCGGAAGTTTCGTACGCTTTGCTACGGCCGCGGTTAGAGGTTGTACTTCGCCTCTATAACCGTTAAAAATGTTATATTTATTGTACTACTCGCGTAAACCACAGACAATGTGACCACGGCTGCTGCAAAGCATTCGAAACGGCGAGCCGTAGTTAAAATAATTTATAACTACATTTAACTGATCCAATTTAAACCGTTAAAGGTGTTTCATTTGAATGTGTACTACTCACGTAAGCTACAGACAATACTGGATGTGGATAAGGCTATAACGTACATAAATGGTTTATATGTTAGTTATTAGAACCATCTAAAGTTGGTTAGGTGGTTCAGATAACAAATAATTCTCTACACAAAATAATGTTTTGCATATATATTTTAGTTTGTTTGCAAACTGGTTATCATAAATGAGAGATTTTTAAATGTGGAGCGTTGTAAATGTCAGTTTAGTAAAAAACACGTATTACTCGCCCCTCTCAGTGCCCGGAAGAAATAAAACATAAAAGCTATACACGCAGTAAAACGCATTGAGTGCGTCTTCGGCGAATAACTCAATGTATCGTAAAAATCTTTAAAGAAAGTAGAGTAAACACGGGATAAGTATTTATATAGTCTCTAGATGTACTATTCATAGTAATATATATAATAATATCTATACATACAATTATATAAGATATATAAATATTAAACGATACCTTTATTTGTTTAAATACACGCTCACGTACTAAATCCATAGTCATTACTATATTATGAAATTGAACACTTTGCTTGAATGCGCTAATTTCAAATATCGAATTGGAAAATTTTTCCTTCGCTCCTATAAGTCGTAGCTTGATGATTTATAGCCTAAAAATGCCTCTATAAATGTTTCAACTAGCACGGAAATTTTAAATTTGAACGAAATTGGGTTAGGTTCGAAGTCCTTATTAAATTCATTTAAAATATAACATAAATATCTCTTAAATTACATAATATGCGTATTGATGTACGCTAATGTTTATATTGTTATATAAATTGTGCAAATATTGCAAACTTTTTAATGATGGCATTAGAATAACTTGCCGATGTATATAATCAATATGCCTACATTTTTCAAATTGCTTACTAACTATTACGGAACAGATGACTCATAATTATCATAATCTACTTAGATTTAATTTAAAAAATAGTTATCTGTCCACAAGCATTGCTTTGACATATATATAGTACTACCTCTGTCAGCGACTTTGTCTGCGTAGAATAGTCATTTAAGCTGTTGCGACGTCGTTCGCGTCCTGTAGATCTTGCAAGTTAATCTCAAAAGATAGTCCTTCTTCCATTCCTTATAGATCATTTAAAGAGAAAACATTCTATTGTACAACCTTTTTGGTTATCTTGAACCGTTTTCGTACGCAACGGAAACCCACAAGGGTGAAGGGTGGTTCCCGAGATGAGAGCGTTCAAACAAACTTTATTTCAGTGAATTGATTTTATTATTTATAATTTATAAGTTATTTTCTGTAGTTTACGCGAGTGAGCGAGAAGTACACGTCTAAATAAAACACTTTTAACGCTGTACAACGAGTGAGTCAGTTCTAAAAGAACTCGAAAATTTCTCCATATACCAACTACGATAAAACGTGCGTTAGATTAGCAGATTTTACTTGACATCAGAGACACTCTCCATTTTTAGAGACCACGCACGACTGCAGCAAAGAATTCACGTCGGGCCTTAACTAATATATTTCGCGTTTTAAACCGTTAAAATATTATTATTAAATCTCAAACTCGAAATGACGACTGCTGCAAAGCATTCGAAATATCCGTAACTAATTCATTTCGCGTTTTAAACCGTTTAGTATTAAATATTTACGTATGTAAACAGCTAATAAATTGTTGAATCGTTGAGTCGAATTGATTGGGCGAAACGTGCGTGCGTAGAAATGTGCTCGCCCCATACCCCACTGAGGGGAACGATCACACTTTAAAAACGGCTCTAATAAACAATAAGCATTACACTCTTTATTTGGATTGAGCATTCCCGCATATTAAAATGTAAACAATAATAGCGATTTGTGGGGCTATTGTCCAATTAATCGTTTTAAAATTGAATTGTGTGATTTTTGCGCGGACGTGTGAAATGTTTTGTGCACAACGTTTTTATAGAATGACGTATTGACTGTATATGCTTCGTTTGTAATTCTTATTTTATGACTATACTAATTTAGGAGTTTAACAGAAGCACTTAGATGGATTTAATATTATTTTAAGTTAGATACTGTCTATAGTTTACGCGAGTAGAACACATTTAAATAAAACACTTTAACGGTTTAAAACGCGATATATTAGTTAGGAACGTCGGGCCGAAGTTAAAAATCATTTCCAAATAAGTTTAATTAATATATTGCGTTTTAAACCGTTAAAGTGTTTTATTTAAATTCTTTTAAGTTATACAATTTTTAAATAGGTGTATCAGATCGTTGCAACTTGTTTACCGAAATAACTTATACTTATTACTCAAAGTGGCAGTATTCTAAGACATTCAAAATCAATTATAATAATAAAAAAATTACGACTCAGGCAGGACTCGAACCGGCATCCTCAGTGTTTCTTACTGTTGCTCTTAAATATTTTAAGAATTAACGAATGTATAGAAAATATGATTACTGATTGGGCTGTTCAAAGCGTACGTTATTTTTACCTAAGTATAGCCTAGCAATAAGAACATAATTCAAATAAGAATATAATTCAAAACATAAGTATACAATATAATACGCGTGCTTATAAGTGCTAGTTCCCTATTAACACATTTAAATAAAACATTTTTAGCTGTTTAAAACGCGAAGTATATTTGTTAACTTATTTACAATTTATTGTATTTGTACGAAGAAACAGATGGTGCTAGCGTAGAATTTTTTACTTTGACATTGGGGACACCCTCCATCTGCAGTCCCTCCGTGACCACGGCTGCTGACGGCCGAAACTTTAGGATGTGTTAAATTGCAAATATGTTACTAATATATTTCGCCTTTCAAGCCGTTAAAAGTGTTTTATTTAGGATGTGCTTGTAGATTCATTCAACGTTATTCAAGTGATACAATATAATGATCAGTTTTTGATTAATGCATTTTATTAAAAGTTTTTACGCAGGTCTCAACAATTATATACCTATATAAGTAAGGTACTGCAAGCCCACTCGTGTGTAAAACTTGTATCTCTCATTAGTCCGTTTACTAGAGAAGAACGTCTGTACGTTCTTCTCTAGTAACGGTCTGTACCGTTATAATATAACTAGATAATTGCCAGTTGCAAAAAGGTAATAATTATATGTTCGTTTACGAGTGATTTATTCGAAATAGTGCGCGTTTTATGTATCACGTTAGTAGTAAGTTATGTATGTACTTACCTACTAGTCATTCTGGCTTGTCTTTTATAATAGGACTACTTTCCTCAACTTTCACTTCTTCTTATTTTTCTTCTATCTCCCGATTTTCTATTCGATTTTTTTTTATGTTTTCTGGTCTAAAATAGAGTTGGGCCGAGTACTCGGTTGATATTCGGCACTATGCGTAAGATTAGCGCATTTAAACAAACCCTTCAGTTTTATAATATTAGTATATTTGAAGACTATATCTTCATATCTTGTAACAGATATGGTTGGTCCCCTACGAAATAAAATTATTCAGTTTCCTGCGAGACCAGGTCAGTAGCCGGAACACAATGGGATCTCTGTTCCTTCAGCCCTGAGTGCGATGTTTAACTTCTGTGGCCCTTTTTAAAGCCGCGACGAAATACATTATATTATTATTCAAATTACGAATTTAGACTTTTAATAATTTATTTAACAAATAACAACAATAACAGTATAATGCCTTAGCAGTTCCACAAGTAGTTTAAAAGTTATATATTTAAACACGTCAATGAAAATTTACATGAAAAATAAAGTAGTATTTTATATTAAAAGGTATATACAATAATCTGTTTTTTTTTATTGTCATTAATATACTTTAGTTAACACAATGTAAATAAAGTGTAAAATAGAGCATGAAAAATTTGAACCTTAACTTTTGTACATAAAGCACGGACGGACATTTTTGTGTAGTACCAATCAATCGCACACATTAATTAAAACAGTTTTAACGGTTTAGACACAAAATGTCATGTATTTTATTTAGCTGTCTGCGATGCTTTAACGCTTTAAATTATTTCGTATTTAAAACCGTTTAAAGTATAATACCTGACATTGTGAAAGAGACGTCACACGCCACATTACCACAAAATTAAGCTTATCTAATCGACAGCAAACAACCGTTTTCCCACGACCACTCGAGTGCTTTTTAACGCTGATAAGTGTGAGTGATTGCGGCCACACTTAAATTGCAGATTTATTGGGACTGCTAACGTTTCGTGCCCAAGCTTAAACAAGTTTAGGACTTTTATCTGCCTGCACCATTATTATGCACTTCAAAAAATGCTTGCAATCTCTTTTGCTGCAAACTGTAAGCCTATAACAACAAGAACAAAATATTTATTTCTACAGTGCGTCTGTAGAAATAAATATTTCAAACCACCCTTACAAACAATACACAATTTTATACATAGATATACATAGTGGCAGGTAGATACCTGTTATGCGCTAAGTACTTGATTGTGCGCTGTATTTTAATTGTAAAACAAAAATACAATGTGTTTCCATGTAATCCTTGGTGGGAGAGTTTCATTAAACATCTTAATTTCCAGGTACACCCTTATAGCGTACTACGATATGTACTCGCAGATCTACACCACGACCAAAATCTGGATCCAGCTGTTGCTCATATGGCTCGTCTCTTTCGGTCTGATGGTGAGCATAATTTATTGATTTTTGGTACCTTTGTTAATATTGAAAAATATAAGACAAAAGCAGGACTCGAACCCACGAAAAAGCAAGTTGCCGTTAAGCTCTGGATCTATAATATATATATTTAAATATAAATAAGCAACGTTATAAAGAAACACGGACTTATAAATACTAAAAATAATTATAAATATCAAAGATAAATTACAAGTGTACATATAAACATCATTTTTATACGTTTTTACTGCAGATGATAACTTTGTATAGCTTCTATTTTAAAATGATGCAAATTCATCACATGGCTTGGCTTCGAACCTACGATCACAGCATTCTGTGGTATTATCCACTGAGCTTCGGTTTTAACAGAAGTGATATTTCTATCTCTATTCAATTATAATTAAATGAATGCATTAAGCCGTCGTTCAAAACGTCGTCAAATTTTGTTAAGTAGTACTCGCGTAAAAGAAATGTATAAAGATTTGAATAAATAAGAAATGGTTTTCGTGATGTGTTTCCAAGATTTAGCCATAAATAGTTATGCATCTTCGACGAGCTCTATTGTCATGTATTATTTGTGAGCTTATCATCATCCTGCAGTCTTTAGGGTTACCATATTTTAGAAATTAGAATTGTTCAGTAGTAGTTCGCCAAAGCCAAAATAGGTCGACGTCACACCTTCTTTTGATGTTATATGGCTTTGAGTATTTCATCACGTAAGCTCTATAATAAAAAAAGAAACTGGTATAGACTTTTTAATAAAATATATTGTATTTTTTAAATAAAACACTTGAACGGTTTAAAACGCGAATATTAGTTAAACTTATTTGAAAATATTTTTAAATTTTTTGTCTCTGTACCAGGCTGCTGCAAAGCATCCGAAACTCGGCCGTAGTTAAAAATCATTTTCAAATAAGTTTAACTACCATATCGCGTTTTAAACCGTTGGTGTTTTATTTAAATGTGTACGCGAAATATAGACAGTATTTATATTATATCTTTATAGTCTGTCTATATTTAGGTAAGTTTCTAGGGTTTTTTAATAAAACCTATTAATAAGACCACATATGACATTGAATTAGTATGTTTAGGAGGTTTTTTGTTTAACCACTTTTGACAAATATTGATGGTAGAAATCTAACAGAGATGTAAAAGCTAATGTACACGATCTTTGCGGTTTCAGTCTCTGTTTTTTATATAAAGCCTTAAAAAGTCGATAGCACATCTTAATTAAATGCATTGAGCGGAGACTTTGTACCTTCCATCATGTCGACCCCGTGAAGTCTTCCTCTATCATAAAATATAAAAGGTGTTTGCTTTCTTTGCAATACAAAATTAAAACGTTGATAGTCCTATTAGTTTAACCCTACTACGTGATAATAACAGTTTGTATGAGGATTACATTTCGAAGAAACGCACAACAGATCCATTCATATTGATATTAGAGTGTAGGATAACCATGTCGCTACATTAAATGGGAATTAATAAAATTATTACATTTTTAGTGTTTTTTTTTGTAACTAAAACGTCTGATATCTGAGTTTTCCATTTTCCAAGTATTCTTAAAATGTGTTTTCCGGAATTCGGAGGTAGGAGTCATCACCCCTTAGCCTGTTAAGTTGTCGTTCCCAGTTATCATCACTAATTTAGTGAAAACAGCGTAAAAGTGTTACTATGAAATATCGTACTTTCTAACTTTCACATCACGTCTATTTTAAGTGCTAGTCACTACAATTTGCGTTTATTAACAAAATTGCTCCATTTCCATAATTTTGATATATTCATACCATTATAACTACAACTGTAGAGTGTTTCACGAATGTTAATTTTATTACATAGATTTAATCACAGCAAACTACAAAATAATGAAGTTTAACTATTAAGCGAGAGGCATGCATTAAATAAACCACTTTATACCGTTTACAACCTGAAAGTAGTCATATTTCATCATATTAAAATTTTGTTCGATAAACTAAGGCGTTCTTCACATCAAAGTCTGCATAGCAGAGTATCTAAAGATAAATCAATTCCGCGTTTTCAGCCCTCAAAAATGCTTCGTTTCTCTTAAGGGTAATTGTGAACTTATTTTAGATGTAGACTAGTAGGTCTATGGTAGTGGTAAAACGTACATAGCAAGAAGTCGCCGGTAAACATTGTCCCAGTCTGGTTGGAATATAGAAATATCTTACCTTATATTCCTATAAGTAATATTTTAAAGCTTATTCTAATCTGAAAACTGACCTTGTTTTATACGCTGAGTAAAAACACTGAGAAAAAAACGTCCGGCAAATACTTCAAACATGGTCACACTTTAAATGTGTTTAGAATGCATAGACATAATAACAAACAGACGCGCAAAGACGAGGGATGGTAGAATTAGTTCAATGCACCGATGGATTTATGTACAAAAACAATAAACAATTTTTAGTTTGTACAGTTGATCTTCGATATTTCATGACGTCACGTAATAAGTACCTACTCATAAAATTACAACTACCTACTTATAGAATCGTCAAACTTTGTTTTAACCTATTAATGACCTACAATGCAAATTTCAATAACGGTTGGTTAACGAGTACCCTCATTATGACATCTAACTTCAAATTCTAGGCTAGTATTAGACGATTTCTGAAAAAGAATCCAAATTCTGTAGTAACAAGATCGCAACGAAATCGAACCCTGGTCTCGTAATGTATAGTCCACTAGACAGACTTTATTACCAAATTTCAATAGAACACTTTAACGGTTTAATTCGCAATATAATATGTTAGTTAAAGTATTTGAAAATTATTTTAACTACGGCCCGACGTTTCCGATGCTTTCCTGCAGCCGTGGTCACGGGAGACGAAAGATGGGGGTACTAGAGTTGATAGGTACATCTAGAGAACATGACACTAGCTAATTTTTACTTGAGACGTTGGGCCGTAGTTAAAATAATGTACAAATAAGTTTAACTAATATATATATCGTTGAAGCGTTTTATTTAAATGTACTACTCGCGTAAAGTACAGACAGCATTTACAAAGATTAACAAAGAATATTTTGGTCGTACGAATTTAGAACTACGAAACACTAAGCATGAACAACCACAAACTTCTGGTGATAATACATTAGTACATATTAACCACTTAATACACTTTAATATTAAGTAATAAAATTTACAAACGTCAAAGTAATACTTAAATTAACAAGCAATTGACAGACAGACAAACTATGAAGGATTACGAGCCTACAAATTTGAATTAGTTCATTGCACTGCCGCGCTTATTACAGTGGATACACGTTTAATTGTACTAAATTAGGAAACAGATCTCTTTCGGCGTTCAAGTCAAAAGCGATCAGCGATTTACCAATTTGTTTAAATAAGTTTGTTCTATGTTTTAGTGACTGAAGATTTGTAGTAATTTTGATACAATTTAATATAAAAAATGAAAGCGAGCTATCATTAAAACTGACACTAAAATATGTCTGGCCGTGCCAAACGTCTAGGTGAAACTGAACTCATAGACACCCTATACTAGCATAATGAATAAAGTAATTCCTTTGATTTTTTTTTATTTAAATGTTGTTCATTTATTTTGTATTCAAATCATTAATTGAGAACTTATGTCAAATACGGCTCGGTTCTACTTTTAGCATTGCATTTGTTGTTTGTAAACTTTGTGATTTGCTTCCTTACCTCTACGGTTCACTACTTATTGCACAGTATTGAGGTGCGTACGAGATGTCCTGGCTTCCAATCCCGGGGAATCTAGAGTTAATTTTCATCAGGCAAAGTACGTACTTACGTTTAAATATAATCGCATAGTGGATCGGTCACAGAAAAATGTTCGCTACATATCCCAAACTTAAACCTCATAGATCGAGTTCGAGTTTACATTTTAAAAATAGTAAGCAGCTTACAAATACCTTGCAGTTAACAAATGTCGCTTTCGTCTATACTTTGTACCAAACTTAATTATTAAACATTATATTCGTAGCGTTCATTTCCGTTGCCCAAGTTGATATTCGTTATGTGGGCGTTTTGGTGTAAACGTGTTAACATTTACGACGTACGTCGACGGGTGAGGTCCTTTGTTAGTTTTACGGGGTTTTAATGGATGCAAGTTAACTTTAATTATTTGGATCCTGTCCCATCCGTTTGTTGAAAAGTTGACAATTGATTATTGCCTCATTATTATTTCAAACATTGTAAACTTATCATTTTTTCAAGTCAAAAGGCAATTATGTTTTTACATATGTACGTAACGTCGTCAACATATAACGTTACGCTGTATAGCTTAGCTACTGAACCGATTGTATTTTACGAAGACGAATTAGATCATCGGAGCAAGGACTCTAAAACTATGTATTTTCTATTTAAACTACCGCTTGCAGTTAACGCGAGTGTTACACATTTAAATAAAACACTAACGGTTTGAAACGCGATATATTTTAAATTAACTTATTTGGAAATTATTTCAACTACGGCCGGACCTTTCCGAAGCTTTGTAGCCGTGGTCACGCCACTGACCAATTTTATTACCCTTTATTCTACCACACTACGTCACATGGTTCCTAGGATATGCCCCAAGCCGTTCTGTTTTAATAAATCCCACTTTTTTATCAGGTGCCTCCCCTCCTTGGCGTTTGGGGTCAACTAGGATTGGATCATAACACTTTCTCCTGTACCATACTCCCCAAAGATGGTCGCAGTCCCAAGAAGTACCTCTTCGTTTTGGCCTTCGCCTTGCCGTGTGTTGTCATCATCGTGTCCTACTCCTGCATTTACTGGCGAGTCAGGGAAAGCAAACGAAAGCTGGAAGGACGCAGGTGTGTATGTGGGTGTGTATAGCATGAATTCTTCAACTCACTCTCTAAAGATATACATTTAATTGTATGCTGTTAATTGTCACAGGGGCACGAATTGAATCCTGGACTGAAGTGTCCGCTGCTGCTTTACCAATAGAGCTACTGTACTCCGACCGTGATAATTGAATTTTGTCAATCCTTTCGAGCATGAATAAAAATATTTTTTTACATTAAAACATCGGGTATTAATTGTGAAATTATATCGCGCGAGAGATGCATGTATAGGTTAAAAGAATTCGACGATGACGTAGGACACAGTAGCTCAATTGGCTAGAGCAAAAGCACGGAACGCTGTTAATGCTGGTTCAAGTCTTGCCATCATCAGCAATAACATGTCAAAAATAAAAATTGGACACTAATACAAATTTAGCCATAAAAATGAAGTGTTTATTATTTTTTTTTTAACTTAATATATTTATATAATCTTTCTGCTTTAATTTCTAGTTGTTATATCATCTCTACCGTTGTATCGTTTTTTTCTAACTAGCTGTTTTAGCGACTACGTCCGCGTAGAATTGTTATTTTGGGTATCCAATATTATTTTTCAAACCCCTTCATCTTTATAAACTTAAACGTCGGTCACGTCCCTTCTCGTCGTTCTTACAAGTTAATCTTAAAAGATAGATATATAGCGTCGCGGACTTTTTCTTAGATCATTTAAAGAGGAATCATTCTTTCATACATATTTTTTGGATATCTTTACTGTTTTTGCAGCGTACGTCTTGGAAACCCATAATAATGAATAATTTTTGTCACATATCTCGCTGTACCTTCGCTTGTATTAATAACAGCGCGATGTTTTATAGCCTACCTCGATAAATGCTCTAACCAACACAAAAATATCTTTTTACATTCGCACCCGTGCTTCCTAAGATTAACGCGTTCAAACAAACAAACTCTTCAGCTTTATATATTAGTAGGTATAAAATACGACCCAAAATAAAAGCTGTTATAATTCCGATCAACTAAATAACCCCACACAATATGTGTTCTACTAGGAATATCTCAATGACTCTATAATTATAACATACATATATGTATTTTATATTTCAGCAAACTCAGCGGACAAACAGCGAGAGAAAAGGAAGAAGACTCGCGCTTAACAACACTGATGCTCACAATTTTCTTATGTTTCCTTGCTTGCTTCCTACCGCTGATGATCATGAATGTAGCTGACGATGGCATCCGGTACCCGTGGCTCCACATCATAGCGTCCATCCTCGCGTGGGCATCTAGCGTCATCAACCCCTTAATATATGCAGCGACCAATAGACAATATAGAGCAGCGTACGGAAACCTCTTGAAGATATGCAAGAACAGCCCCGTCGCGAAGAGAACAACATGGGGCAGCAGAACAGTCGGTCACTCCTCAAATTCGCCCAACTACGTGGAGAAACGCAATGCCAAAGAAAAACCAACGAAATTATAATGACGTACCTCCTATGAAGTACTGACGAGAGAATGTGATTGTTCTTTACTAATACCGTCTCTAGCTTACGCGAGTACACATTTAAATAAAACACTGTAACGGTTTAAAACGCGATATATACAACAGCCGTGGCTGTTACGAAGCATCTGAAAGGTCTAGCCGCAGTTAAAACAATTTCCAAATAAGTTTTACTAATATATATCGTGTTTTAATCTGTTAAAGTACTTTATTTAAATGTTCTACACTATTGTGAGAAATTGTTAATGTATATAGATAATTAGTGTTAGAAGATTATTACATAATTGAAATACTGTAAATAATGACGTACGGGGGACACCAAAGTCTATTTATCGATTTAAATTATACTCATTCTTTAAGTTATAATTAAGTTAAACTAAGTTTTCTCAAGACATAAAAGGGAATAGGAGATATATAATTTGTGTTCTCGAAATAGTAATAACTGTGTTGATTACTTCTATCTAAACCTGGTGAGATGGCATATAATGACGAACAGCTATATCTTCTCAAAGATTACAAATACAATAATTATTGATTATTTTGATTTATGCAATAAGTGGGTTGAAGTTAAATTCAACGAATTTTAATTGATTTATGATTTTATATTACAAAAAAAATCACACTGGCAGGACTCAAATCCACGACTATGGCGATGCAATGTTGGTCTGGGTTGATATAACTACGTTTGGGTTGGCTTACTGGGTTGATATCTACTTTGCATGTGTTTAAATTATAACGATTTATGTATATTTATATCTGAAACATTCCTATTATTAATAGCTTGTATTGTCTGCATTTATCCCAAAATCTTCGGGACCATACAGATTTTTCATAAAAAATAATTATCAATTTGATTAAAAAACTTTTCCTCTAGATAATTCCTGTCCAAGGATCGTAATATTCAAAGACTGAGTAAAAAAGTCAATTATCGTAAGATTATATGCACTCGGTTTTATACTCTTGTTTTCAATAGATATCATTTAATTATAAATTTAATGAAGCGTTTAGCTAATTATCTGTATTTAATTGTAAAAAAGTTTATAAATTATTCATTTTGATTAGTTTCAATGTATGTTACTTATAACACCAAAGTCAATTAAAATACAATATAATATTGAAAAATAACACAGGTTTTTATTTTATTTCTTTTTACCTAAGAACACAAAAGACTGGCGATACATATAACATATTCTAAAATACTAAGCATTATATTGCTAACTGATTTATGAATATTTTGTCTCTTAAAAATTAAATACCTTAAAACGTAACCTTAAATTTATAAATAATTATTTCTAAAATCACATGACTTAATAAGTTATTATCTTGCTTATTATTAACTATTATACTACAGATTATAAATTAGTACTCTGTGGTGATTATGACAATTTACATTACTATAGTGTTCATGTTACAAGACTTTGACAGTGACGTATTATCTAAAAATTTGTGGAGTGCGTAAGTCGTAAGGTATAAGGCACACGGGATTAAGGGAAGAAAAGATGGCTAAACGAATTTCTCAAAGCTCTGTAAACTGGGCTGCACTCGCTGAGAGAGTGCCGCCTAACCAGAAATCAAACTTATCCGCTTTTAAAATGAAGTCGGACGCTTATCTTAGAAGGTTAGTTTGACACGATTGTTACATAATTATTGTCGGAGGCTTTAAACGACAATAATAAGGCTTTGACGTCAACAATTAGACTTAAAACTGTTAATTATTTGAAATAATTACATTTAAGGGTACTTGCGAATCCTGCAGAAGCACCTAAAATTAACTGGAATCAATACAAGGCGGCAATTACAATTCCCGGAATGGTTGAGAACTTCCAGAAGCAATATGAAGCTCTTAAGATTCCCTACCCAGCTGATACTCTAACTTCTCAGATTGATGCACAATGGGTTCAAATTCAAAAGGAAATTGAGGCATATGTTAAAGAGTCAAATGCTAACATTGAAGGGTGAGTACCTACATATAATTATTTTAACAAAATATTCCTACATTCTACATATTTCTCAAGTTATAAAATAAATCTAAAAGTTCACTAAATGGGAGGCAACAGAGTTGTAGAATAGTGAAAACCGTACTCCTTTAGAGTGCTTAGAATCCCATTGGAAAGATGAATCCTTAGGATAAAAATGCGAGTTTAGACTACCTCACTACACTGCTGAATTTCTTTAAATTTATCTATTACAGTTATGAAAAGAAGATTGCTGAAACGAAGGCTCTTCTGCCATTTGACCAGATGACTATGGAAGACTTCCGTGATGCTTACCCTGACATGGCACTCGATCCGATCAACAAGCCTACCTTCTGGCCCCACGGCCCTGAAGACCAGATTGACTACGTTGACCCAGAAGCCAATAAGCAAGCTCCAGCTCATTAATGAAATAGTTCTATGTTATGTCAACCATCAATACTGTGTTATTTAAATCAATTTACTTTTAAAGTAGGAATAAAGTGAATTTGAAATTAAAAACAGTGTTATTTATCTTTTTTTATTACTAAATTGCACATTATCAATACTGAATTCAGCGATTAAACAGGAATGTGTAATTGTAATAATAGATTCAATGGGGGGAATAATTTTGTAACTATTATTGAATAGAAATTAACTAAATGTAGTAGGACATCATCATAAAGTAATTATTAAGATAGGAGTATCGTAGAGAAGCATTCTTACTGTTTAAAACTGGCACTGCCTTGGAAACTTATTTATATGAAATCTGCAAATATCGAACTACATTAACTATATCCGAGAAAAATATGCTATATGGTCCTTATTTTTATGTATTGTTAGTTGAGATAGATAGTAAATAAATTGAAAACATTAATATTTTTTACATGTTATTAGCACATGAAGACACTATATAATTTAAAAATCAAAAATAAAAGCGCGAGAGGTGCATGTATCAATGCGTTGAGAAAAATCGACGATGAGGTGTAGGACTCGGTAGCTCAATTGGTAGAGCAACAGCACGGAACGGTGACGATGCCGGTTCAAGTCCTGCCCGAGTCGAAAATTTTTTCAATTTAATTTCGATTTTTAAATTATATAGTAAGTAAATTTCTTTAATTTTGAATAAGTATTCTCGATTTGAAACATATGGTAACAAAATTTAAAAATCTACAAATACATGTTGAAATTTAAGTTAAAATTGTGTGTTCAATACAAGCGTTTTAAACAAACATTTAATGATATAGTTTTAGAAATATTTTGCTTGGCTTGAGATAAAAGGCCATGATTTCCATGCTCGATAGATTTTGAAAAAAAAATATTTATTATTAGTAGTACTAAATTACTGAGCTTGCTGCCCATACATATTATAATAGCTATTTTGCGGGAATCCCTGAGGCTGCTCGCCGAAACTTTGTGCTTGTCCTTGGTCATAGCCTTGGTTGAAGCCACCGCGACCACGACCACGACCGCGCCCACGGAATGAATCGCGACTCTGATCACGAGCTCCGAAGCTCTGTCTCTGGAAGGTGTCCTGTCCGTTGAAACTGGATTGTGCATTGGATTCATTGTTGTCCCACCTCGAACCTGAATTAATATAAGAACCAAAATTCATTACATTCAGAACTATTAACATACAATTTATTTTAAAATTGACTGCGTACTGCACATTGCTATATGGATTTTACTTCACTTTTTTCCATTCGGAATGAAATTGGGTTTGAACAGTTAAAAATGTAATAAAGAAACCCTTTATTGTTATTATAGCCAGTTGTATTCTTCTTAAATTTTAAGGCAAATAAAAGATAGTTCTCACCTCTACCCTCGGGTCTGCCTCCACGTCCGCCCCTACCTCCGTCCCTGCCTCTTCCACCGTCGCGTCCCCTACCACGGCCACCACCACGGGACGAATCATCATCGCGGTCTCGGTACCGACCACCACCGCGACCTTTTAGGTACGGGAAGGTGAAATTATAACATTGATAACAAATATTGATTAATTTTATATTTCTTTATATAAAGCGTTCACACACCTTTTACAATATATTTGTTACAATGTCACATTGTTGTACTTTTTTTAATCACAACATTATTAACAATTTTGATCGTATTACATATTTTTTCTCTGATACGTAAAATTATTTAGATTTTAAGTTTTGCACTTCCTGCACATTCCCCTAATTAAGTTGTTTTACATTATTTTCCTAAGAAGGGTCGCCTGGAAGAGATCGCTTAGTAGCGATAAGGCCGCTCGTTACACTCCATACTTTATAGATATTATTATTATTAGTTCATTGTAATTGTGTGCGTGTGTTGTGTAAAAAGTATAAATAAATAAAAATGTTATATGTGACTTCACTTTAAAAGCTACATAAACAGGTGAAGTATTGACTTACCAAATCCTTTTCCTTTGAATCCCATACCGCACTGTGCCAGTTCCATCAGCCGAGGGTTTACTACTTGGTTGGCTTCAGTCAGCACTGACATGAGATCTTTCGCCTATAATTCGTTTATTTAATTTTTAATGTTAGAGCACAGACAAGCATGGGGTACACATGGTGATAGATGGAATGTCCAAGCCTATAGCATCTATACAAGATGCGCTGTCGGTCTATTTTGGCTTTGGATATTCGGAAATCCAGACTGAAACCTAAACATGATTAAACTTCATGGCTTTTCATCTGTGGGCGGTGGTTCGTGACCCGGACAGAATTTTGATATTCCTACCACCCATTTCATATCCAGGTGTTCAGACGACGACCAACATGTTTCAGAAAAATTTCAAACATCCTGGACCGGTGGGATCCAACCCACCCGTTGATTATTAGCCGCACATTGCTACCATTACACCACCGAGCCCGTAAAATATAAATATATATGTTCCATATAAGTTATTTCGATTAGAATTCCTCTTAAACCAACCTTAGCAGAGTTATTGGGTGTAAATAGGGTGTAGGCCGTTCCTGTGTTATGGGAGCGACCAGTGCGACCGATGCGATGCACGTAGTCCTCAGAATTGTTTGGATAGTCGTAGTTTATCACAAATTTCACGTCCTCCACGTCTATTCGAGGCACAATGACGTTATAAACACATCTTTACCAATAAACAATGAACCAAATTAAATGAACCCAAGATTGAAGGACTAGTTTCTTTGTGTTAATCGTGCTGCGGAATGAATTGAATATGGCAACAGGAAACATATTTTAAAAGGTACGCAGTAAATCTGCTTGATGTCATTCAAAGGTATGAAATCCATTTTGAGGAACTGTTTTGGGCTTATTCTACGAGTGATATTTGTTAACCAAAATTATCAATTAACTTAAAGGATAAACCTAATTTAGTCACATTTGACTGTTACTTAAGAAAATTCTGGAGATTCAAGTAAATCACAGCACATCCTTAACATTATAGGATAAAACTGGTCCTTCAAAATAATGAAACCAGGTAATTACCTTAGTCATGTCTGGCCGAGTCGAAGACTGAAAACTGTTATTGCCCATTAGAAGTCCGGAGTGTTGTCGGCCAAGAGTAACTAACGGTGTGCTGACTTTTCTTAATTACTACTCTGTCAGGTGGCGTAGGGTTTCAAATCTCACATGACGATTAACCAAGCATATTGCTCTTTCAAATTGCAATTATTCAATTATAGCATTCTATAAAACCCTGTTTTATATCGTTTTGATCTCTTAAGAGGCAGCATGCTACAGTGTGCGCTGACAGAATATTACTAAAGTGCCAATTAAAACGAGTTTTGAGCGTCTTAAAAGTCAGCAACACACCGTTAATTTAACCATGTTCTCTGCACGCATGCGCCTCTGCAATGAAAATTGAGAATAATGCTGATTCAGTCATGGAAATTTCATCGGGCGCAATGAACTTTAAGGCCTTACGATAAAGTCCATTGGAATAACGCCAAAAGCATGTACAACTTGATCCATTGCTTTATCCAAATCTCATTCCAGTATCCAACATTTAAAGATAAAACTAATGAATTCATACATGCATAGTTATTGACGTAAAATAAAAAAAATCTGTGAATACTGGAGAATGAAATATTTCTAATCTAATAACCAATGAAAAATTTTCAGCAGCCTTTTACTGTGGACTTGCGTTCGTTGAAGTAAGCGATTTGCGTCGTTTAATATATGTTAACAAGTACGGCGCTTCCGATACGTGGATATAACATAATATGATTATGTATATACCATAAAAGTATTTCGCAGCTTGATACTGTCTAGTGCTTTCAAACATATGTCAGTACTTTAATTTAAAATAATCAAATGTATTTCCAGCATATCCACAGAAAAGTTGTTACATTTCCTTCATTGGCATCTTGGGCATCTTACAAGGCCATCTTATTAGGCCTCCTTTATTTATGACATATAGCAATGGAAAGCAATATCCCCGCTACGCTCCTGACATCTCTTAGACCTGAGTAACACCCCGGTAGTACAGAGCGAGGTGATTTATCGAAATTAGACGTCTTAATAAAGTTAAAAAACCTCGCATCTGTTCTGATAAAAATCTTTTGTTTGATGCCTTTTTCTGAAATCTCGAAATACTGCAAACCTTGTGCAACGACCTACCTATAATTTCCCATTCATAACAGGTGCAATATATTTACTTATAAAGGTTTACAGAAATTCCAAGTGCTCAATAAATAATAAATTTGCGGAGGTTTTTTACCACCTATTGTTATAAGCTATATTGGTGGCACAAACATAAGATAGTAACTTCTGGGCAAGTACAGCATAATTACATCATATCCATTTATAATCACATTATTTTTTTCATTTGTAAAGCTTTATATTTATTAAGTTTCTTTAAATCCTGTTTTATTAATTCTCTGAAAATGTACAGGGGTTTTAATGCTTTTCTGAAAGTGAACTTACCAAGTCCTCTGGCTGCGACGTCAGTGGCCACAAGTATGGCACCTGCATTTTGTCTAAACTGTGCCAATACATAATCCCTATCCTGCTGGTTTTTATCGCCATGGATAGCCAGAGCATGCCACCCCGCGCGATTTATGGCTTTTGTTATATCATCCACCTACATTTTAATACAAGAATATTTGCCATAATGTTATGTCCTTAATATTTCTCACTTTGTTGTAAGACACACAAAATGTACAAGTAATCTACACAATTACCTTTCTTTTGGTCTCTGCAAATATAATAGTCTTGGTTTCCTCTTCCGAGGAAATTTCATTTAGAAGTGTGAGCAACTTGTCATTCTTTTCCCATTCTTCACAGACATCAACAATTTGAAGAATATTGTGGTTGGCAGACAAAGATAGGGATCCAATGTTAATCTGTATATAATCAACAAGAAATTCTTCAGCTAGATTTTGGACTTCCTTAGGCCATGTAGCTGACCACATGAGAACCTGTAAAAAGTATATGTTTATTTATCGCTTTATTGTAGAAGAAAAATACTTAAGAATGCTATAGATTTTCTACATACATTAAACATATTGTATATACTCATACCTGTCTGTCGGGTCGGATTTGTTCAATGATTTTCCTGATCTGGGGTTCAAAGCCCATATCCAGCATTCTATCAGCTTCATCCAATACTAAGTATGTGCAACGACGTAGATTTGTAGTATCTGCACGAGAATAATATTATTTACACATTGCTTTGCATACCAATAGCACAATGAATGTTTAAAAATCTACTAACTTTTCTCCAGAAAATCAATGAGTCGGCCAGGAGTAGCAATGACGATCTCGACCCCTCGCTCCAGCATTCTGCCTTGTGGACCTTTGGGAGCTCCTCCAAATATACAGGTATTGCGTACTTGTACATTTTGGCCAAAGTCTGTCGCCACCTGCACAAGGGAAAATTAACATACAATATGTAAATAAAAAGATATTTTTTATATACCAACAATGTAGGTGTTATTAACATACTTTTTTGTGGAACGTTAAGTAACCATCATTAAAAATATGTTATAAAAAACATAAGTGCTATTGGTATTTTACTGTGTAGTTTGCTAGGGAATAAATTCATCTAGTTTATGATAGAAGACAGGAAGTTACATGTCTGTGTATCCAGGAACAAACTACAAGTACTAGAATAATAAATATAGTAGAAAAATCTAAACTACACATCAAACATGCGAATTGTGAATGACGTTATATTTAACCCTTTAAGTAAAAATAAATGATACATGATGGCTAAATGGAAACTGTCACTAGGTGCAGAATAAAATAGACTAAAACAATTGCAGAAAAAAACAGAATATTACTAAATATTCAATTGACAATATATAATTTTGTCCAGTAACATGATTGTGGCTCTGTTAGCTAAGTTAACAGGTATGAAATGGTACCACAATACTAAATTATTGTAAATTATATCTCATTCATATTAACTTTTGCATCTTAAGTTTTGTTTAAATGTCATCATTAACTTAGCCAAGACAATCTCAGAATGTTTTTAATTATATATGAAGAAGCTAAAAAAATAACATAAAAGATCAAGTCAACACTATTTTTGCTAAAAGGATATGTTCAGTAACCGCTACAAAAGCCTTATAGTATTTATTTTATTTAAAAACAATTTTTAGCTTAAAACACCTAAATTAATTAAATGGTTCTTGAACATAACCTGCCCATGAGACTAATCTCTACTAAAATATGGAAATTAATTTACAACATCCATTGGGCCCGGCATTCGGTCTCTGTCAACTGCATCTCCATTCATTGATACCAAAGCCTTGATGGCAAAATAAAAAATACATTATTTTATTTATTTTGTACGGGCTTCTTACTTTTTGAACAGTGATGCATGCAGGTTATGTTAGATTCTTATTCCTCCATCATATTTATGTAAAGTCAAAAATTTTGTTAGCCGAAATTAATGTGTTAAATTAAGTATCAAGTTATAAAATGATTTGTCACATAAAATAGAAGGTTTATTAAAAACATGCTAAATAAAATAAAAATTAATTTACCTGTTGAATTTGCTGTGCAAGTTCTCTTGTAGGGGCCAAAACCAACACAATCGGGCCTTCGTCTCGCAATAATCTTGGTTGGTTAATGATATGGACTATGGCAGGCAAAATATAGGCTAACGTCTTTCCCGATCCAGTCTGGGCGATACCAACCATGTCTCTGCCTGATAAAGCTATTGGCCAACCTTGAGCTTGAATCGGAGTTGGATTAGGAAATCCTTGTTTTAGAATCTCTCTCATGGCATAATCTGGAAAACCTCCCTCTTCAAAAAAGATACTTGGTGGAGGAACATCTCGTCCTTTGACAGTAATTTGATGCTGACTTCTGTATGCTTCAACTTCAACTAAGGGTCTCATCTGCACATTGGGATGTGGAGTATAAAAGTTTTTTTGGAATGGGGTTAGCGTAATTGTATCCCATCGAATTTTGCGTAATGCTCCTCCTGGCTGATCGTTCTTAAAGTTACCACGGAATTCGTCTCTTCCGTCCCTACCACCGCGGTCTCTGCCACCGAAACCACGTCCTCCACCCCTACTTCCATCTCTGCCTCCTCGGCCACCGCTACTAAATCTACTACCCCTATCCTCAGAGCGATCCCCTGATCTGCCGCCTCTTGATCCACCCCTGCCTCCACGACCACCCCTCGGACCCCCACGTCCACCACCGCGACTGCCACGTCTATCGTCGTACCTTTATTTACAAAATATGTGGATATATTTAACAGTACAACGCAAATACACCGACGCCCAACAATATCCAAATACTTACATTTTGTTTGATCACGACTTTACGATTTGTAGCGATAAATAAATATTTAAGGGTAAAACCGCAATAGAAGTTATATCACTTAAAAGTAAGCTATTTTTCATTCAATTATGACGTTTAAAATTTACTACTTGTTTTCATTAGCCGCCATATTTTGATTTATCTAATGTCTATACCACTTGTCGGCTTAGTTCTCTTAGTCTATGGTTTACTTTTTCGTTTCATAATTATTCAATGTTGGATTTGCCTTCATTTTGTTCAATTGTGAATAAAGTAAATTCATTAATCATTTTTACAAATATTTATTTCATGAAAATCGGAATTTTCTCCATCTTTGAAGTTTTTCAATACGACTTTAATAATCTACATTATCTTTAAGCATGTATAATAAAACAAAAAAGTATATTCGACTTATCATTTTTGCACTATGTCATATCTTACAAAAAACTGCTTCAAACTGATAACTTAAGTATTAACTTATACGTCATATAAGCGATAAGAAGGAACCACAGATAATACTTTTTTATAGCTTTCCTTGAGTTATAAAAGAGGATAAAAAGCATTTTTTTTTAAGGAAAAAACCCGTAATATGTAGTTGTATCTAAAAGTAAATAAATATTATCGTATGATTATATAATGATAGCTTAATTACGCGACTAAGAATCGTTTCCAGGACCTATTGATTAAATAAATTTATTAGGTTTGTATTTTACTTTACATCTTCAGCAGGCTGAACTGTTACGTAAAATAAATAAATATTAATATGGACGCATCAATACCGGTATTTGAAAAACCAAAGCCCCGGCTTAGCGTTTTGGATTGGACTAGAAACATCCAGCAGCTTCAGAACGAGGCTAGGATTCGTCGTTTTGAATCTTATGAATTACGACAACGCGGTAACCAGTTACGGAATGAAACATCGATAACTACGAACTGGGATACTTATGTGAACAATGAGCTATTGAGAGATAGGTACTTTCTTTAAAATAATAAAAAAAAAATTATACCTGAAAAAAATAATAGTTAGAGCATATTGTACGTAATAATAAATAGCCATAACATAAATGAAACATCTAACATATACTACATGAATCTTAGTGACAATTGAGAGGGAAGGAATGTATGTTCGTAGAAAGTAGTAGTTCGTGGGTGTCTTTTCATTTAAAATAAATAGTAGTATAGTCCGTAAGGAATTATAATATGATAAGGGGGTGCGAGACAAAGTAGTTCAAATGGTAAATCATTCAGGTATTCAGTAAGAAAGTCCCTTCCATTTTTTTTTAAAAAATAGAGGCGACTTTTGTATAAAAAAAGAGTTTAGTTGTGTCGGATTAATTCAGGGGTCAGTTGAAGCACTAGCTCAATAATTAATGTTTAAATAAAACGCTTTAACACGTCTTCCCCGTCTCCCCGTGACCGCGGTTTGCAGTTGCCATTCGAAACGTAATTAAAATAATTTTCAAATAAGTCAATATACATCGCGTTAAAGTGTTTTATTTAAATGTGTTCTACTCGCAACTCAACTACAGATTTACATACATAGAGTATTTAATTAATTTTTATTCTATTATACCCAAGTATGATATTACACTAAAATATCATGTCTATTTTACAGAGTATTTGAAGTGGAGACTTGGCGTGAGAAACAGCGTTTCACCCGGGAACAGGTAAGAGATGAGACCAGGGCACTACGAGAGGAGAAGAACGCGACAGAGCTTCAACTCGAGTCACTCCAAGTTCCTCTTATGGTGTCAGCACAATGTCTTGCTAATCGTGACCAAAGACTGCCACCAGAACTGACTAGAGATTCACTAGGAGAAGAACTGAACAAGGTACAATGTCAGCTTGACTTTATCCATGACTTTTTCTAACTGACGATCAGTTTTTGTTTTGTCATCCACTCGTGATGGCCGATCACTATAATAATCTAAGAAGCAGAGCAAAATTGCCGCCAAAGCTTTATAAAATTTACTTCCTTTTAAAACTCACGAGAAAAACAATTGAGGACATATTATTTATTGTCTACCGTGACTAACACATATAATTATTGTTACTCACTAAATGAATGTTACCTTAAAACTAGATTTGAAATAAAACAGTACTTTAATTTATTTGCTTTTACACGTTATGAATGTCAACTCCTTTGACATCGCAGGTGGCCAAAAAACGAAAGAATTTCTCCTTATTCTTATTGTTTTCTATTTTCTTTTTTAACTCTAGTCCATAGTTTTATAACCAAATTGCTCTTGTTCCTGTGTTTGGTTTTTTAGACCTTTGGTCAATATATGTAATGGAAGTTATACCTAAGTTGTTTCTGTAGTTTACGCGAGTGGCACATGATAAAAATTGCAATACTTGTCCGGGGAAGGCCGGGGATCCCCCGTTAAGAGGGATGCCCCGTGGCGCCATCTGCTATGAAGTGTGAAGCTTATGAAACGTTGAATCTTTAGTTTTTGATTCGAGCAGTAGCTTTTTCTTTGGTAAAGAGACTGGCTGTGTTTGAATATTTTTATTTTTTGTTTCTTTATCTATTACAGGAGTTGCACATACTCGAGAACAGTAAACGCACTCTAACCGACATTTGCCACATGGGATGGGAGAAACTTAAAGATCTGACAAACGTGTTCTGTCGTTTAGAACGAGAGATACAGAACAAGGACGACGCTCTAACGCTAGACCGCCACGTGAAGGATCTGGACAGATATAGTTCGAATATTTCCTTTAAGATAGATCCTACAAGAGTGCCCCCTGAGTAAGACAATACTTTATCTTTATAATCATGATACTATAATCTTGTGTATTCGGGAACGCTAAGTATTACCAGATGCCTCTTATTGTTTTATAGCTGGGTCAACTATGGGCGTTTTTAATGTCGATTTTTTTATTCTAGAACATACAGCACATGCGTGGTTCGAACTCCCGACGTCGCCATATGTACATACTACTAGAACAACACGACTCTCTTATTATTTCTCTTACCGAACGAAGCGTTAATACATAGGTTTAGGGATGTAACATGATATGGTCTGAATAACTAAATTCTTTCGATTGTTGTTGCCAATTTAGCGTCTTGCTATATTCCAATTAATAGATCTTTCATTCGGTTAGATGTTTTTTTTTTTTGTGTGATTTTTATTATAATTATCGTTATTTGCGTACTTACATTAGTTTTAGATCAATAAATAAAAAATAATATTGAAAAACAACTGCAAGGACCTTTAATATTTCTAGATCGATGACAGAAGACAGTTACGTTCATTGCATTGAGAACACGATAAAAATAGCTGAACAACTCATGAAAGAGTCCAAATGTTTACGAGAGACTATGTTTAAAAGTAGGGAACAGGTCCGAAACCAGTTGTATGCCCAATGCCAAGCTGTGGAGATGGTGATGAGGCGACGGGTGTTTGACATACAACGGGCAAGAAATGAAATGGAGTGGCAGAAACTGAAGGTAGGTAAAATTTACAGTTTTTACGGCTTTGATGGTTCAAAACGCGATATATATTAAGCTAGACTTATGTAGAAATTATTTAACTCCCCGACTTTAAGAGCAGCCGCTATACAGCTATAATATATAAATGAATTTAAATTTTTTTGCAAAGCGAGTTAAAATAATTTCGCCAACATAGATAATTATTTGAGATGATTTATAAGTTTTCATCTATTTTTTCTTTGTTAATTTGTGTGTATGCGCAAATATATTTTATATCAATTACATTTTCAGTTGGAACAAAATTTGGCTAAAGTGGATCGGGAGATAGAAGCATTGCGTGCAGCAGTTGCTGATAAAATAAATCCAACGAAGTTAGTTGAAACGCGACTCGAGACGAGGACAAGACGACCCGCTTTAGAAAGAGTACAGGTAAATAATTTGCTATTTCCAGGGGTCAATTCTCATCAAGGTGACTTGCGAATTACGCCGACATATAAGTCCCGCATAATGTCACATTTGTAGTAACGTGAATTTTATATCACGTTTTATAAATTGTTGTTACTATGATAATATTAACTTAACTTTCTTGCAGGACAAACCAATGCGTGGTCTAATTGAAGAGTTCGAAAGGGTGCACACGAGTACTAATCTGCTGGAGAAGAAGTTGGAACAGTCCCTGTAAATATGTTTTGAACAATACGTGCAGAGTATTAACGAATATGTTTATTGACCTATGAGGCAATTAAAAATAATCCCCTAAACTATATTAATTTACTTGTTTTGTATTATTAATTACTGCACCAGTGGCGGCTGGTGGGTTATGGAATTGGCGAGCAAATTTTAAAATTAAGAAATTCAACAAAACATCAATTGACATAAAATATGTTCATTGTTTAAACATTAAACCAATGCAACGACATTTTTCTGAAATATTCAATCACTTTTTTCTTTAATTCATCGAATGTTCTCGGCAATCTTCGATCCGCTCGTGCGGCGCTCGAGAACAGAAATTTCTCAGTACATCTCTATGAACTATCTTTTATTTCACGCGTCAGTTGTTTTGTACGTTTATAAAATAAATATTAAAATGGTAATATAAAAATAAAGATAAAGTAAAACTTTGTAATTCTTAAGTCTTTTGAATTGGTGGTTCAGCGTACGAGCGCACAGCCGCCACTGGTTCTCACTTATTTTAGAATTGCCCCTCAACATGATGTTATCTTTTTTGTGGTGTTATAGCTGTTTATGAAATTTTAATTTGTCTACAGTTCAACGTATCACAACATGTATAATCATTATCAACGTGTGAATAAGGATTTGGAATACAAGAATCAAGCTCTAGAGACAGATCGTCGCCTGGTGGAGATAAGAAAACCTCTTCACAAACCGGACGAAACGGAATTTCAAAGAAACGTTGGATATTGTCATATGAATGACGAATTAGTTACGGATTAACAAGTAGTAAAAGTATGTAAAATACGGCATAATTACGAGAAATCATAAACTGCACTTTTAACGGTTTAAAACGCGAAATATATTAGTTAAACTTATTCAAAATAATTTTGACTACGGTCCGTCGATTCAGATGCTTCGCAGTGCCGTGACACGTTAAAATAATATGTAAATAAGTTTAAATAATGCATTTCACGTTTTAGATCGTGAGACGTCTTTTTTAAATGTTAACAGCAATTACTAAACAATATTAGTCATAGTTTACAAATAGATATAAGTAAGTAATACGATATCAATTCTTGGTGATTGATTGATTTGGCATTGTAATGACACGTATTTTAATGCCGCCATATTTAATTTCTATAACATACCTAAATAGTTTTTAATATTAAATTAAATCATTTAGTTCGTAAATTATTATTTCTCCGCTTTCATCGGACAAAATTTTCTTCGTAAATATAAATTACAAACGCACTTAAATAAAACGTGTAGTTTTCCATATCCACAATAATTATAACTACAAAAAATAAAATAAAAACAATTAAAAACAACTTTTATTAGTTATCATAATATAAGTGCACATGGTTTTAATACTAAATTATACTTATAAGCAATAACAACTTTGATTTCATCAGTACCCCAGCAGATACCTACATACATACATATATATATCTTTGGCCATAGGGTATAAGGTGGGGGGGGGAAAAAAAGAGGGGGGGGGGGGGGGGGGGGGGGGGGGGGGGGGGGGTTTTTTTTTTGGGGGGGGGGGGGGGGAAAAAAAAAAAAAAAGAAGAGGAAGGGGGGGGGGGGGGGGGGGGGGGGGGGGGGGGGGGGGGGGGGGGGGGGGGGGGGGGGGGGGGGGGGGGGGGGGGGGGGGGGGGGCCGCGCCGGGGGGGGTGTTTTTTTTTTATGGGGGGGGGGGGGGGGGGGGGGGGGGGGAAAAAAAAAAAAGGGGGGGGGGGGGGGGGGGGGGGGGGGGGGGGGGGGGGGGGGGGGGGGGGGGGGGGGGGGGGGGGGGGGGGGGGGGGGGGGGGGGGGGGAGAAATTTTTTTTTTTTTTTTTTTTTTTTTTTTTTTTTGGGGGGGGGGGGGGGGGGAAAAAAAAAAAAAAAAAAAATTTTTTTTTTTGTGTTTTGGTTTTTTTTAAAAAAAAAAAAAAAAAAACCCCCCCCCCCCCGGGGGGGGGGGGGGGGGGGGGTTTTTAAAAAAAAAAAAAAAGGGGGGGAAAAAAAAAAAAAAAAAGGAAAAAAAAAGGGGGGGGGGGGGGAAGGGGGGGGGGGGGGGGGGCCCAAAAAAAAAAAAAAAAGGGGGTTGTTTGGGGGGGCGAAATTTTGGGGGGCGGGAAACCGGATTTTCGGCCGGGGGGGGGGCCGAATTTCCGGTATTCGGTATCCGGCCAAACAACTATCCGTTGCATCACTAGTATAAATGCATGATTAATAGTTACTCAGTTGTTTAAAATAGGCAAGATATCATTTTGATTAATTTGTGCAAACTATTAAAACTAATTTTGCCAGAAAATATTTGAAAAGTAAGAAATGCCTTAAATAAATAAAATTTGTGCCCTTACTGTTATAACCTAAGCCTGCAAATAATTCTCTCTATTATACCATTAATGTACTTAAGATGTACTGGTGTGAAGTATCCCTTAATACCCACAAAAAACAAACTGTTTTTGATAAGTTGAACTTGTTTATCTTATTTATGAACTCAATCCAAGCTTAGGCCCAACTTTTTCATAAGCTTCATCAAGTAAGGTACATATTAAGGTAATATTTTCATCGTTAAGCTTTCTGCTGGATGCGATTCTTATGGATGGGTCCGGGCAATTAACCTCGATATCGCGAAGATATGCAGCCACCGTCATCGCAACGCCCTTCTTGTGACAGTAATTAACTATGTTTTTGAGGTGTCCAGTTTTTACATCATTCGTTAGATTGTCCTTTAAATATATGTGTTTGATAGGTGAAACTTCGGACCCACGGAATGTGAAGTATTTCAAACTGCTTAGGACCCTAAAAGTAAAAAATATTAATATGTATTTGGTCCTTTTTAAACAATTTTGACAACTAATTGTACACGCCCTTCAAGCGGCCCATAAATCATCAATATTATTGTGCAATATCCCGGGTTGTGTAATAAAACTGATTGTGTGTAGACGACATTGGAAGGTTGTGCAATATATTGCGTATAATTCAAATTTGTCAAAATATATTGTGCAAACGGGAACAATGTGCCGTCTGTAGGCAAATGGTATCAAACCAACATGATTCAATTCATGGCACAAACTAACTTTTTGTACAATAATATTGAGCGTCTGTGGCCGCCGGCCATCTTTCGTTAACTGTTTCGGTGCACCAGCCGTGTAAAAAATTTATTTAAATCTACCCAAAACTATAGCACTTAATAGATATTATGTATAAGATCCTGTATAAATAATGTATTTTCCTATTAGGAGTATAATCATAACAGTAAGGATAATGTATTTACTTATTTAATTTCCTGGAGTTATCATCAAGCTCTGTCATTATGTGTGGTTGTTTTTCCATAATGTCGAGCGCGGATATTGCCGCCTGCGTCAGCATTGGAGGAAGCGACGCACTGAAGCAGTAACCTGAGGAAAATTATGTTATTTCCTTATAACATGAAAAAAAAAACTATTCCAATAAGAGTGACATAACAAAGATATTTGATACTCTTATAAAAAAAAAAAGAAAAAAAAGATATTTGATAGAGGGCAGATAAGCATGGAGTTACTTGACAATAGGTGAAATAAGTACTAATAACTAAACAAGATGCACTGTCGACCTATTGTAGCTTTGGATATTCGGAAATCCATAGAATGAAGAACCGTGATTGAACTTCACTTTTTTTCAACTGTGGATGGTTGGTGGAACGGAATTTCAATATTTCTACCACTCATTTAATAGCCAGATTTCCAAGTCCAACATGTTTCAGAAAAATTATAGATTAATTAGAAAAATGTTAGACCCGGTAGGGGATACATGACTCTTTGATTATTAGCCATACATTGCTACCACTATACCAACCAGCTCGTCAATTAACATTGTTTGTCACATCACAAAATACAATCATGCAAAACAATGATTTAACATACCCAATCCAGATAATCTTTGGTGTTCTACAATAAAATGGGTTCCAGCACAAAAACCACCGATTGTTGCAAAAGAATGCTCTAAAGATCCAACTATTAGGTCGATTTCATCTCTAGGCACATTTAAGTATTCAGTCAGCCCTCTACCATGTTTGCCAATCACCTAAAATGACAATTATTTTCCAATATTATACCTTTTATAATCGAGAATGTAAGATATTTTATTCTAAGAATGCAATATTTAAATCAAATTCTTCATTATTTTAAATAATAAAATATATACATAAACTCAAAATCATAAAAAACAGTGCTTGCACAATTGGATTACACATTAAGACGTGAATTGATTTTGATTTGATTTTCATTGATATCCTAATTGTAATCAACTCTCAATAATTAGCTCTAAAAGCAACAAAATAGGCCAATTCAATAGGTATTGTGATAATTAAATACACGTTGTGCCCGAGCACTGTTATAAAGACACTATGTTTTTTGTATGTTACAAATAAGATCAGAGTTATGTCAGGCACAAAATACTCAAATACTAAGCAAATAGAATTTAACAGATATAAAATTTGTTCAACTAATTATATAAATAAAATAGGGTGAGGTGAATCTTACCCCAATAGTTAAACTTTCATCCAAAATAATCCTCAGTTTAAACCTTCTTGCGAGCTCGACAAGTCGTCTTAAGGGGCACATTTCACCTGTATTCAGGTAAATTCCTTCAGCAACGAGGAATGCTCTTCTTTTCGGATTCAATTGCTTTTTATCAGCGGCCTCTTGTAATTGGCGTTCAAGATCATCCATATCATTGTGTTTGAAGAATTTCACAGTACTCCGAGCAGCTTCTAAGCCCTTTTGAATAGCGAACCATACCTTTTCATCTCTATGGAATAATTCTGTTATGAGTGTTTATGTATGCTATTTCATTTGAATCATAATCAAATTATTGTTTTGATAATATTAAAGTTCTTAAATAAAACTTTAACTTTTTTTGGAATTCACTAATTGTTTGTTGGTAAATAGGTTAAATTCATTGAAGTATTTTAAAAATACGCTCATAATTCCAGGTTGGGAAAAATTAATACACATACTCTTTCATATCTCATTGTAATTGAGAAATCATAACACTTTTAATGGTCTATGCTGCAAAATATTTAATTAAAATTCTAAAATTTCAGATGGTTTGCACTAACAGATATATCTCATTTTTAACAATAAGAAATGTTTTATCTACTTGCCTTCACTACAGACAATACTAAAGGTTATATTTCCTAACAAGTAAAAAAAAAATACTTACGCAAAGATAATATCTCCCTTTTTAGCGTATGCAGGGATGGCACTTGATACTGTTGAAAATCCATATGAATACACACACGTCTCTTCAACTTGTAAAAACTTTGCTAGTCTTTCCTCTAATTCTAGGTGTACATCTATAGTGCCATAAAAACCTCTGGGGCCACAAGACCCTACTCCATATTTATGCAGAGAATTAACAGCATGGTCCATTATAGATTGCTCCTTATCTAAACATAGAAAACTTGTAGCACCAACATTTAACACATTTTCATCTATTTTCCCCATCACGGGAGGATCATCAACTGTAGAATTGTAATCCACTAAAGGCAATGGTTTCCACTCTAATAACTTTTCTTTGGTCAGAAGTAGTTCGGGCTTCTTAAATCTTTTCATCCACAAGTACGCAGAACCAACAACCACCTGAAGAGCTATGACCAAAGTCCACCAACTCGCCTAAAAAGCAAAAGAAACTTATTTCTTCCAATTAAAAAATAGCCAATTATTAATTTTAACAAATCAATTACCGTATCAAATATGTCCATTATGATCATATTGACTACTCGCTAGGCGTTCACTATTTAAAATGTATAATTCACTCGATTTAATTTCCTTATATGAACGACAAATTGAACAATTCAAAATGTAATAAATTTCAAAACATGGTTTGCAACTTCAAACACTGACTTGATTAATTGATTGACAATTGACATTATTTTTCCCATAGACATTTGACATTGGCAGAATCCATTTAGAACGGTAAAGCCATCAAATGAAAAAGGAGACGATTAATTTTAAGAAGCACAGACTACTTATGGTACTTCATTGACTTTATAGATATTTTTTTCTATTTGACTGAACTCCTTGACAGCTGCCTTAGTTATTTATGGTAATACAGTGTGGCCATATCTAAATAACATTTTATAATGAAATTGACAGCGAAATTGCAAATGACTTGAAGTAATTAAAAAATCGAATATACGAATCAAAACAACAGTATTATTATTATGGCATATTAATGCGAAAACCATAAAAATGAACTTCGGTGGTACACTACGAGTTAACAAATTTGCATGTTTTACTTTAGCATTTGTATTATTTTTAATAATATACTGGCGTTCGGGGGGACCTGGATATCCGACGGACACCAGCGATCTCGTCAACATAAAGTCGTTGTTGAATGCTGCTATATATGCTGCTGAACGTGGCGGCGTAAAAGTTATAGAGGGAAGAAATCACGGTGCAAAAGTTCATACCAAAGGAAAGACGAAAGAAGGTGCAAATGATCCTGTAACCGATGCAGATTATGCTTCCCACTGTGTAATGTACTACACTCTTAGAAATGCTTTTCCTAAGATAGCTATAGTATCAGAGGAGAATTTAGATGGGGATGATGAATGTCAGAACCAAGACCCAATAGACGTTGAGTCACCACCACAGGGTCAGCAAATAATAAATTATCTTAGTGATGAGCATGTTCTGGCAAAAGATGTTACTGTCTGGATTGATCCGTTAGATGCGACACAGGAATATACAGGTCTGCCTATAATAAATATTTAAATTACTATTATCACAGAATCTCTTAATAGTGTTATAAAATCATCAGCATATTTATTCAAATTTTCTGTTTTAGAGGGATTATATTCCTTTGTTACCACTATGGTATGTGTTGCAATCAATGGAGTACCTATAGTGGGGGTTATTCATTACCCCTTTCCTCCTACCACATATTGGGGATGGCTTATGAAAAGGACTTCTAGTAACATACCTAAAGTATTATATGTAAGTAAATGGGTTTAACATATTAATGAGTAATTTTGTATTTGTATATCCTTTTAAAATATGAATTTTATATTACAGAAAGAAGACAGTAAAAACAATCCAAAAGTTGTGGTATCCCGCTCTCACCCAGGCAAAGTGGCAGAAATGGCAAAAAATGCATTCGGAACTAAAACTACCATCACAAATTCAGCAGGTGCTGGTGATAAATTTATAAGTATTGTGAATGGTACACATGACGTGTATTTACATGAAACTGCTATCAAAAAGTGGGACTTATGTGCCGGCCATGCCATTTTAAAAACAAATAATGGCACAGTAACAACAACCAAGGGTGGAAAAATAGACTATACTAGTGGTAGTAATGTTGTTGTTACTGATGGTATTTTAGCCACTTTATATGATCATCATTATTATCTTGGTAAACTTAAAGGTTCTGTATAATTGATAATCTAAGATTTATTGTTTATATCACGCAGACATTATTTATTCTTTATATATTTTGATTTGTACTGTATGGACGCCTATATAAAATACTTAAAGAGTTAAGGAAATTTTCTGTGGTGGTGTTGTATGGGCAAGTCTATATATAATAATAGTTTAGTGTAATAACTCTCAATAGTAACTTTACATATTTTTTGTTTAGTCATACAATAAAAATTGATTTCTATATATTCTGAGGATGAGCTAAGCAAGAAGTATAGTTTAATTGTATATAGATACTGTAAATTTCAATTTTAAAATTATCATTAATATCTTTAATTATAACATAGTAAACATAGAATTTTTCATTTCTTAAGTTTCTATTAAAAAACACAATTCAGCACTATTATAGTAGATATTTTATTAAAATAATGTAAGTAGTTGACACCCTTTAGCATTGCAATGTATTGTTTGATTATTATTTTGAATCTCAATATTTCTGTGAACAAAGTTTTTAAGTAGGACTACAAACATTATTTTAATGTTTTTTTTTGAATTCCTAAGATTTAACTATTTTTAATTTCGAAATACCTATTTGTGATTCATTTACTGTTGTGAATTAATTTTATTATGACCATATATTTTTAAGAAGCCAAATTAAATTTGTAAATATATTGTATGTAAGTGTATGAATTAAATAAGTTAAAATATGTCAAATTTTATTATATGACGTCATTCAAATATAAATTTTCAATGAAAATTTAAACTACTTAATAAAAATTACTATACAGTCTCAAAATCTACAATTGTTTGGATAATGGTGGTGGATGGTTGGACCATCTTGAATTTTATTTTCCCAAATCATTATCATGCACGCAATTGCTTTAGACTTAGGCTCTTAGTGAGTTCACATAGCTTTTGGAGTTTAGCAATACACTATTTGTAGATCTCCTTTATTTACAATGTGTCGCTTGTTTCTTAAGCTGTATAATAAATCGATGTTGCCTGTTTAAAGGTATACTATTTCTTATAATTTTATATATTTAAAGTAAAGCAATAGAGTCACTATAGGTCATAACATTAAGTAAGCAAAATCTAGTCTTCCCTACATGTGAAACATTTTCAATAAGAGATTTTCTTAACGACGATGTGGGTGACTAAAGAGAAATTTCATAAATACGATGTAATGACACACTAGTTTCTGCCAGCATGTTTAGGTAGTTTCATAATCATCTCAGCGTTAAGAACACAACCATACCAGTCGTAGGTAATTAAAGGATAGATAATCTGTTGAATTAAATTAAAAAATGGAAAATGATTGAATAATTTATTGACCTTTTTAATCTATAATACATTGACTGCATCACATAAACAAATTATCAATTTTTCCTCTAAAGGGATGGGTGATTAATACAATGTACACTATGCTTTGATTTAGCTTTAAGGCGAAAAAATGAATATGTGGTATTAAGGACATTTCAACCAACAAATATTCCTAGCATCGCTTGTATTCGTAGTTTGTACTTTTATTTCAACAAAAAAAACTGCGCTCCAACTAAATAATTCCCACCCATCCGCATATCCGTACATATAATCGTTCTATAAGCATATCCAGTCGCAAAATAACTACACAAAATAATTTCAAGCGTCGAACCACAGATAACACAAACGTCGAAGCACTGACGTTGACAGTTCATTTGGCGGCGAAACGTGGCTAAAAATAATTTTGCACAGCCGCCTATAAAATTGCACCGTCCTTCCGTCTATATACATAACATTATATGTCAACTTTATCAATAACACTTATCACAAGTTCACGTTAATCGTCCATGCTCGATATAGCATCTGTTTGGGGGTTATACTGAATCATCTGAAACAAAGAAGTCGATATAAGATGACTATGCATTAACTGCCTTTTCACCGAAGGCTAGTGTTAGTCCAAACCATGGAAAAACATTATATTTTCGGTCAGCTAGGCCACAAAAGTTTATCAACTACTTGCCTTAAAGTAACACCAACATAAAACCTATGGGTAAGACATGTGTCTTTACCATACCTTGTCGTTCCTATCTATTGTTAGTAGTCATTTAAGGCCTTATTCAGAGTACTTCTAAAGATAAGATATTATGATATAGGCATATAACTCATAAACTCAAGTGTCAAACTAATATCTTGAAGTAAAGGTTTTGTGCTATTAAATAAACTAGTTCTGGTTCCAACTCATAATGATAATTTAATTGTTTAAAAAAAATTGGGTTTAGGAATAAATATTTGAATGGCAAACAATTCTGGTAGATGTATTTCTACGCACTATTAAATTTAGACCCACCACGCTGCTCAAATACGGATTGGCGAGCTTTAATTAATACAAATTTAGCCAGTAAACGACTGACGATGACCTAGAAGAATAATAATTATATTGACACATCTAGACTTTGGGCTGGTATTATAATTCCCAATACCAGGACCACATTTTTCCAGTAGAACTCTGGACCTAACGAACATTATTCGAAGTTTAGTAGAAGATTGTATAGGTTTATGTGCACATGGCATTAAACAAAAGCAGAAAAATAAGTTCGCGACGCGGAAAACGGCTTGGGGAAGTTTTTCCGATAATTATCAGCAATGAATACACAATAGACAGCACTGTCACGGCTAAGTGTTACGTTGGCAACACTTAATAACTAATCGATTTAACATTGATAATAATTATAACGATACTGTATAAGGTCATACGTACCATGATACCACCATTTCGTTTTCTTCGGATTTTTATTGCAGGTTTTCACGTAAAACGAATTGTCTGGAGGTCGTTTCTGAAAAGTGAGAGCGGCTGTGTAGCAAGCATTCTAAATGTTTATAGTACGAATAAAATGAGACCGTATACATTTAATTACGTTTAAGTCAAAGTATCAGGCGTTTACTTAAACTATTACAATCTAAAACAAATGTCGGCTTTCGGATATAAAACATCAATCTGCGACCAATAGGAGTGAAAAAAAAAAAATGTGGGAAAAAGGGGGAAATTATTCATCTTCGTGGGGTTCCGTTGAGTACGTTGCGAAAACAGTTTAAGATGCCCAAAGAAATGTGTTTAAAATAATGGTTCCTCTTTAAATCATTAAAAAAAATGTCCGCGATAGTATATCGTATAGTCTATTTTAAGATGAACTTACAACAAAAATGACGGGACGCGGACCACGTCGTATGTATATACAGCTACTATTAATAAAGATGCAGAGGTTTACAAAAGCTAATGTATATGCCCAAAATAAATTTTCTACGGGGACGAAGTCGCTGAGAATAGTTATTCTATTGTACTTAGTCGAAGACTCTCTTGGGATTGGGCTAGCTATCATGTGGGCCTTGCTATATATTATTCATTTATTATTTATATTCTATTCTTACCTTTTCTTTACAGCTACTAAGCATAGAGACGATGGACAAACAGACAGACTGCACGGAGAGCGCTGGCGACCAATCGTCGGTGAGTATAGATAGACAAATGTGTCCGTTTGAGTATACATGTGGATGGACTGGAATATTGTTACCGATGAATGTTACCTGAAACATTAAAGAAAACATAATAATTATCCTTTTATTAGCACTATTTAATAATAATAAAATACTATACTAAATATGTTTAAGTATAATTTAGTTTTTTTTAATATCACGTTAAACGAAAGCAAGTTTTTGCTTTAATGTTTAATCCTTGAAATAGAAAAGTTATTACTTTCAAGGTAGAGTACGACTTTCCCAACGTTTATCAATTAACTATTACTAAAGGAGAAAATAATTATATTTAACGCGATTCGAAGCGATGGTGTTATTATATTAGAATTGTTATAAATCTTTATTTTTTGATAGAGGAGGACAGACAACAATGAGGATTACTTATTAAAATAAGCCATATAACATCTAAACAAGTTGTGCTGTCGACCTTTTTCATTTTGGATATTCGGAAAAACCTGTTTAAATAATTCCTGAACATCTAACCCCACTCACGTCATAGAAAGCGTAATAGCGTTAAGTCGTGATGAGACCTTTAGTAAACTATTACATGATATCGACGCAGATATATCTGACTGAAATAGATGTTGTAATTATTTATCTCATTATGGCGAGCACTACAACTGTATTGACGTTTGTCTTTAGGACAGAAGGGTGTTAAAATAAATTCTAGAAATAAAATTCGAAAAATAGATGTCTCTTCTCTCAATTGTTATTTATATAAACCAAAATTCAATCAGACCACGCGGGCCATTTGATACTAGTACCAGTTTAAATCATGGATTTCAAAGCTTTGTAATATACAGGTTGTCCCAAGAAGTAGTGTCAAGCGGTGGTCCCAAGATAGAACACCCCTTGGAACATCCGAACCACCCCCATGTATGATGAAAAGTATCGAGTTACGATTTTTTTTCTAAAATTTTCAGAATTTTTGACCTAAACAACTTAAACGCTAATTTTAAAAAGGTGATAAGACTTTTTCTAGATTTTTTTTTCACAGCTCAACAAGCATGAGTTGTACATTAATAATTAAAACATTTGTCTTCGTAACCTTAACGGAAATTAAAAATATGATAGTTCAAAATGAAAAAGTTACGAGCCGTGAATTGCGTTTTAAAATTTTAACTTTAAAATAAATAGGTAGACTGTCAAAGTAAGTTTAAAAACTGCGCCAGATTCTCACTTTAATAATCATTAAAAAAACAAAAATAACTTCAAATAATCGCAGAACATACTATGTGGGGGTGTTTTGGATGCTCCAAGGGGTGTTCTAGCTTGGGACCACTGCTTGACACTACTTCTTGGGACATTCTGTATAATGTATAAGCTAATTAGATATGAAGTCCTCCAATATCGCCGAAATTGGATTAAGGTTGATCATAGATAAACTAAGAATGTTTTAGTCATAAAACTATTAAAAATCAAATTTAAATCTATTTCAGATACAAATCCTATGACATGGATGGGACTCAAACCTAAGACTGATTCGAAAGAAAAATCTTTAATTTTTTATGAAATCAATAATGAAACAAAATTGGAGATGTCAAAATATTATCTTTCTATAAGTGTAATAGTAGGTAGTTATTTTATCAATATTTACATGTTACATAATAACCACTATAACAAATATTTGTAATCTATTTTCGTAGGTTTTATTTTTACAGCCACTAGTAGTGCTAGTAAAAATTCCTATGTGATGTTATCACTCTATTGTTATTCTACAACTGTAACAAGAAACACAAGACCAAGACAGATGTTAATTAATAATTATCTAGTCGAGGAAGCTAAAGATCAAGTAGATAATGTTCAAGGACAATTGTTTTGTCTTGATTATTTAGAACATGTATGATTTTGTAGCTGTTTTATGAAAATATTACATTTGTATATAAACAAAGCTTGATGCATCTAATGTAGGAAGTATAAAACTATTTGAAACAAAACATAAGACTCCGGCATTTCAAACAATATATTTTTATTTTTAGTGCCTTATATAAATAAAATTAGCATATCAATAAATTTAACACTTAAAACATGACCATACTCAATAACATATTTAGTGGCAGTAACAAGATAAGTCTTGTATTTATTAAGTAATAAATTACAGACAATTACTAGTACTTCATATATATGGTTAGATTTTGCCAAAATAAGTTGGCTGTTTAAGCTACATTTACAAATATACAATTCTGTGTTATCTTAATATATCTCAATAAAAAAAATGTAATATAAGTTAACAGGGAAGCTTACCTCTGGAGAATCAAAGGGATATTTATTTGTGAATTTGAATTGGAGTACAAATTTTTCACCTTCATATAATGTGCCTGGAACTCCTTCCATGTGTATTGTCCACCTGGGAGGATTTTAGTTATTCAATTCACAACACGATATTTCTTATGGAAATTTTATTATTACAATTATTCATTAAATTAACAAAAAAATGTATTTCCTAGATCCAATTAAGAATAATTATTTGATTCCGTGTTTTTTCCTATAATACAAAAATAGGTCACTTACAATGTTAGATTTTGGCTGGCCTGATCTCCGTCTACTGTTACCCCTGGTGGAGGTTCTTTCATGAGAGACATTAATTCCTTTTGTAATCTTCTCTGCAACATTATAACACAAACCTAAACGTTAATTAACGTGAAAAATAATTCCTTAATAAACAACGACAGCTGGATATTACACAAAACAACAATACGAAATTCTGACAATGTATGAATTGTAAAGAAACTGTCAAAGTAACTTCAAATAAATAATTTTAAAGTTTTAAGTTGTAAAGTAAACGCTAGGCTAAAATTATCAATGCGTCGTTCGAACTAAAGGAATAAAAATAAATGAGAAAAGTTACGAGTATCACGATATTTTATTAATTTTACATACCTCCGACGGGGACATAGCCGCCATTTGCCAATCCAATTAAGTAATGTTGCCAATTTATGATTTTGTAAATATTTTGATTATTGGCAGCTGTTTGTATTTGTCACGCATTCAATAATTCTCATATGGCAATATTATAATTCAGTCGTAAGCCTTCAATGTCACTCCCCTCTTTTTTATCTGTGGTTATTGGAGGGAATAGGAAGACTTAGATTTTTAAAGCAAAAAATGTTTTCCGAGGACTTATTACTATTTTTTTCTAAGAATGGTACATTAAACTATTATAGAGTAAAATAATTCCGCAATTGTAAAATAAATATGTTTACATAATATTTATGAATGTAAATTATATTTATTTAAATTGTAAAGATGGGATCTCAGCCAAAGAAAAACTCAGCAGAATGGTTTATTGGTCAACTCAATGTTGATAATGCCAAGTTGTTGGCATTTTTCCTTGTCCTTGGTTTCATAGGATATCATGGCATACTACATTTAAGATATGGTAAATATTATAATTCTATAATATACAAAACAAAAGTATGAGTCCAACAAAGTTATAAAACTGCATTTCTTAAGTTTACAATATTTTATTAAGTTTCATGCTACGCTAAGATCTTTGAAGGTAATAACAAATCTTAAAACATTTGTTATTGCCTTCAAAGGCTGCTGTAAAATTCTAATTTCTTGTATGTGACAACCAAGGCATAATTTGAATTGAAAATAATGTTTGGCCTAGGTCCAGACTCTTGTACTTGGTTACTATCATCGGGAAGATATAAAGGTGATCATGAATGGCAACCATATGGCTGTATGTTACATAAATACTCTAAGACGTAAGTATAACTTTTTGGTGAACAGCATCTTTTGCTGTGCTTCTTTTATTTAGTTATTACTTTAGGCTGTTTTGCCAAACTAAAATTATGTTTAAAAAAGCTAGTACTTAATACATAATTTTAAACTTCTTCTAAAAGGAATGAAACCTTTCTTATAGGATAGAAATTTTGGTGAAATTAAGGATTAGCTGTGTAGTTGCATTGTAATAAGAATTTAAATACTTATTTCAGTGATGCCAGGAGGTGTTTGCGTTACTTAGCGTTCTGGGGGAAATATAATTCATTTGCATTTATCGGTGATACACGGCTTGAACAGTTATATGAGCACTTTATAAGTAAGTTGAGAAAATTATTTAAAACGTATGCTAGCTGCAAATAGATATGTATTGTTTGTTATCTTATTGGTATTACTCGAATAGTAAAAGAGTAAAGTGTAATGTCAGTAAGTTAAATCATTTATAATAATTTTTTTTTATTAATAATTATCAAGATAAATGTATATAATTCAGTTTTCAGGGTGATACCACTCTGCAGCTTTACCTACAAGTAATTGACTCAGTGATACCTCTCACTCGATAAAAAAAGAAATAAAAGTGCATGCTTATCAACATTAATAACATATATTACATTGCATGTTTAAATAAAAATATAATTCAAAGAATGTAGTTTGTTCAAGTTTTATTTTAAAATAACTCAAAAATGTACTTAAATAAATATGTCAGATATTTTTGTGATACATTTCACTGGATTAAGGGTAGTTGAATGTGATTATATAAGGGTATTCTTTTTAGGTGGTCTTAAAACTCGTCTGGATATTGACACATCATATTCAACTATAGACCATCACCTGCCCAATTATACATATATAGATAGCAAGCTTCGTCTTTCTGTAACATTTATTTGGAGCGATGATGTTTCTAAAACAATGGTGGATAAATTTAGGGTGTGGTAAGTACATTACTGCCTAGCCAATTGTTGACCTTGCTAGAAATTGCCTTGCATTAAGAAAAAGAGGTCCTGGGTTCACAGAAGTCTAATCAACGTCTTGACTGTAAATAAAACCAATCAATGATACAATTCAAAGCTTTAATATTTTGCACATGTTGGCATGGCGCGAACACATTACTATAATCGTATCACTGAATACCTAATTAAAATATGGGCATGGAGAGTTACAGCATGGAACGCTGACGATGCTGGTTCAAGTTCTGCTTGAGTTGAATTATTTTTTTAATTTATTTTCGATTTTGTTAAACTGTGCATTGATATGATCACAAAAAATGTGTTCGCCACATGCCCCATATGGGGAAACGGGTTTTCACAATACATATATCAATAAATCATTAAAATAAACATTATCTATAGGCAGACTTTGGATCGCCCTCCATCTGTAATTATAGCAAGCAGTGGGCTTAAATTAGTAAAGAGTAGAAATGTTACTGAATCTTACTTGGAGGAATACAAGAGGAATTTAACTCGTTTAGTTCAGCCAATAGATGCACTAGCTCTAAGAGGAACACAAGTTTTATGGAAGCTTTTGGAAGGCGTTGATTCTACAAAATTGAAGAATAATATTAAGATCAACAATAATGATATTGACATATACAATAAAGCAGTTTTTGAGGCAAGTATTTAGTTATAATGCTGCTATTTTAATTTAGTGATATAAGTTTAGTATATATTTATCTGGGCTACAAACGTTTAGTTTAGTTGATGTCACGTATTTGGTTTTACTCGAGTGGCATATTACTTTACTTTTTAAATATATATAACATCTTGTCTTTTAAATAAAATTTGGTGAATAAAATGGACTCTTAAGTGTGTTCGCCTGATGCTTAAAAAACTATTTCATAAAAAACAGTTTCTAGTTCACCGTGTATAAAATCTTCTATACTTCTCATAAATATTATAAGTGCGGGAGGATACGAGCTTGTTAGTTAATCTTGAATCGTTAATCTTCAGCTTTGACTCATAGCCCAATATTTAAATATTTCTCTCGTTAAGAAGTCAAAAAATTTTTTTTTGTTTGCGTATATAATCTACAATAAATATCTTAAAGGTAAAGGAGTGTTATGTTTGTATGTTGATAGAGTCCTGGCTATACTAACGGTTTTGAAGCAACACCCAAGACTGGTTTTGACCATATTTCTTACCCGCTGTCAAAAATCTACTTCCAGATCTTGCAACACAGTGCCACTAAGATCTGGAATGTTCCGCGGTTGGCGGCAGCTGGTGCTCCATCTCCAGATGGCATGTCGCTCAGCCTCACAGCCTTGAGACACTCAACTCAGATTCTACTCAATATGTTTTGTAACGATCACATGAACTTCAACGATGGGACCTGCTGTGCTCAGCCAGAACCATGTACACAGCTGCAATTGCTAACCTTTGCGCTGTTTTTATTGTGGTGAGTCTTAGTTTTATGATAGAGCAGAACAGGCAAGCATGGGGCTCCCTTGCTGTAAGATAAAGTATCAATTTTGGCTAAGGATGGTACAGACAAGCTGAAACACGAATATGCACGCCCTTTTTATTTGTGGAAGGTGGTTATTGATTTTGATGAACTCTTTGGTATATTGGTAGCAATGTATTGCTTATTGTCAACCGACCACTAAGGTGGGTTAAATCCCCACCAGGTGAAACGGTTTTCTAATCAACTTTTTTTATGAAACTTCTTGGAAATCTAGATATTAAATGGATGGTAGGTATATCTAAATTCTGGGTATTCTATCTTCTACTGTGATGAAAAATTTTTTTGAACCAGGTGGGAATGATTGGTTAAAAGTCAATTGGAACAATAAGACTGTTAATAGAATATGGTCGAGACCACAAATTACACATTCCTGATATACCATGTCTTTCTAGTGCAGTGTTAGTCGGAGCCAGATCGATATGGCGCTGGTCCCAGACATTCAAGCAGAAGATAGATGGTTACTCACTGGTCAATCAGCCACCCAAGAAGACGCCATCGCCGATGGTGGCTCTAGCCAAGCTCGGGATGATTATGTCATATTTTTATCTGTGCGACAGAACCAATTTCTTTATGAAAGAGAATAAATATTACTCAGAGTGGAGTTTCTGGTTGCCCGTGGGCTATGTGTTCGCGTTGGGACTGTTTTTCACAGACGAGTCTCGGTCCAGCAGGTAAAGTTATTTCTTTTTAATGGACAAAAATCCTAATTTCTGTTAAACTAAGTCTCAAATCCAAGTCAGTATTTCGGACGCCTATACAAGTTAGTAACGATGGGCCTTTTTTTCCAGGAGTCCTGGATTCGAGCCCTAGGAAGACAGGGAATACCTACATATTTGGTGTACTTATTCTGTTTATTAATTTAATTAGTTTATGTTAGTCGACGCTATTAGACACGTAGAGGAGACAGGCGATCTTTTACATGATCAAATTTAAATAGTCCATCCTCCATAGTGCTAAGGCCAAAAGTGGACATTAAAATTTCTTGTCATTTTTTTAACTTCAATACACTTCAACCTCTTCAATTTCAATTCAATGTATAATATTTAGTATTGTTTGTAGTACGTGACTACCAAATGCTTTTATACGAAACATTAAAAACGGGTCGTAATTAAATTAAGAACAAGAGCCAATATATTTCGCTTTTTAAACTGTTAAACTGTTTTAGTGAAATGTTAAAGCTACAAATTTTTAAACAGATATAAGTCGCGTTTCAGCCACTCGCGCGTTCTGCACCGCGAACAGACCGACGAATGGAAGGGCTGGATGCAGTTGGTGATACTGGTGTATCAAGTAACTGGCGCCAGTAAGGTGCTCCCAATTTATATGATGGTGCGTGCTCTCATCTCCTCGTACCTCTTCTTGACTGGATACGGGCATTTCTATTACACGTGGAAGACGGGAGATACTGGCCTAGTTAGGTGAGTTTCCATAACCTATACTAATATTAACGGCCTTCGCCGGCTGAGTTTCCGTCCAGCTCATCAAGCTCCCCTCGGGGCACCCTTGGTCTAGAGGCAAACACGGTGAGCGGTTAGTATTCGAAGCCCCGCAAGACTCAGTACGTAAAATCAAATAAAAAAATATATATATATATACTAATATTATTAAGATAGTAGAGTTTTTATTAAGGCGCTTACCCGCGTACTAATAGGGGAAGGATTTAGGTTATAAAACGTAAACTGCGAAAAAGATGTATTATTTGTATATGTTTTCAGATACTTTCGCGTGATATTTCGCCTGAATTTCTTCACAATTGTGTTGTGTCTCACAATGAATCGGCCATACCAGTTCTACAGTTTTATACCGCTTGTTTCCTTCTGGTACACTCTGGTAAGTTTCAATCGCTTTTGCGCAAATGATGACTATAATGAAATTTACATAACTTATTTATTTTTCACGAATTACATTTTTTTATAAACGTATTTCATTGTTTCCAAAATTTTACAACAGATGGCGCCACGAGTTGTATGTAAATTAATAAAATTCCTTTGTGTACTTAATAAAACATTAACATTAGCTTTACTACAAACCAAATTTTACTTGGAATATTTATACTACAAAAAAATATTACAAAATTTCATATCAAATGTTTAAATATATCAAATAGTCAATACAATGTCTTGAAGAGATTTAATTTATATTAATAGTAGTTTAGTAATATTCACTCAATTACTAATTATACATATTTATGATATATTTTTGTACAATATAATTATTAGATTTTTATAATATATTTTGTCAAAATGTGCCTAAAATGGGAATGCATAGGACTGGATTATGAATAAAATTGCAAGGATGTTCTGGATATAGATTCGATCCGGATGATAAAATATAATATCCGTTTCGGTTACGGATATAATTATAGAAAACAACACTGATATGTGGCTTTACATGTATTGTATAATATGTGTGTTAACAATAGATTTTTTTCAGATGTTCGTAATATTCGCACTGCCACCACATATAACGCCAATGTCCAGTCACACGGTGGAATCGAAGCCGTACCAATACATCTACATCGGTATTAAGGTCGTCGGTCTTCTCTCCGTGGTGACGGTCCTCTTCCTCAGCGAAGTGTTCTTCCAGAAGATCTTCGTGATGCGGCCGTGGAAAGCTCTTTTCGTCAATTCGGATGACGATATACACCAGTGGTGGTTGGATTGGAAGCAAGATAGGTGTGTATTTTTTTTTAAATAATTGTAGAACAGACAAGAATGGTGTCACTTGATGGTAGGTTAGGTTGGTATACTCAGTCTTTAGCATCTAAACACAGACACGACAGATCCAATGTCGACCTATTTTGGCTTTGGATAGATCTTATAAAATATTATTGATTTATTTTCATGTAATTCTCATGTTTCCAGAAGCTTTAAACTTTTTTATTAAAAATGCATAGTATGGAACATCAAATATTAAGAATTATGTACTTACGTGTACATACATAAATGTTTTTAGGTTTTTTAAACCGCTTTCGCATTGCCCGCAACGGATGCTCCTAAAGATGAATAATTTTCCCTGCTTTTTCCACATTTCTCACTGTCTTCTTTCTCCGCTCCAAACGGCCACAAGGCGGACTGCAATATAGCCAAAAGCCGGCCTCAATAACCAGCACAAAAAGAGTTTTTCAATTCGAACCAGTACTTCATGAGATTAGCGCGTTCAAACAAACAAATAAACTCTTCAGCTTTATAAAATTTGTATACTTAGTTGGCAATAAAATTAAAAATTTTGATCATCGATATATCAGAGGTTTTCTCTTCGCATCTCTTAGACGCATCCATACTATTTATGTAACATTTTCCCACTGCGTTGCCAGGTTAAGATAATAAGATAATGTCCTAATTTAGATTTTGTGTACGTACCCGTAACGACAAAGATTACATTATGTACTTGCATAGCAGCATGCTAGCTTCATAAGCAGAGAAGACACAGGTCATAAACTTTTTTAAACTGTTCGAAATAATTGAAATGAAAAAGTATTTGACTCTAATTTATATCTCTCTCTTTCAGATATTCAATGGCGTACGGCATAATATTTGCCATAGCCTATTTACTAGCTCAGCGATACAACTTACTAGACGACAACAACCACAGCAACCTCTTCACACCTGGTATCTCCCTCTCAGCCACGCTTCTGGCCTTCATAGGCCTCGGGAGCTACGTCACCTTCACGTTCCTCTGCTCCAACACGTTCGACTGCAACGAGATACACAGTTACGTCACGTTCCTCCCGATCGTCAGCTACATTTTGCTGAGAAACGTCTCGGGCGCGCTGAGAACGCGACACTCGAGTCTCTTCGCGTGGTTCGGATGTATCACGCTAGAGCTCTTCGCCAGCCAGAGCCATATCTGGCTGGCCGCGGACACCCATGGGGTCCTGGTTCTCGTCCCGGGCGCGCCGATACTCAAACTTGATCCTCACTTCGTACATCTTCGTGTTCACTGCGCACGAGATTCACAAGTTGACGGGGATCATTCTACCGTACGCGGTCCCTGATGATTGGAGGCTGGTTTTGAGGAATTTCGCGATATTTTTAGCGGTTTTGATACCGATTGGTATACATGATGGTATGTTTTGAGTCTTTCGCACAATTTAATTGGATTATGAGACTTTTTTTGCGGGCTTTTTAATCCAATTGTTGGCTATATGGCTAAACAGCAGGCCGTGGATTCAGTTTCTGTCGTCTAACACTTTTTTTAAACACATGTGAAAAATCTGGACATTAAATGCGTGAAAGATCGAACTTACGGCTGTGTCCCGAACTACCGTATACAGATTAAGGGTCATAAAGTGTTAATCCATGTTTGAGTCTATGGACGTCTAAACGTGTAAGTCCATAATAGGCCGACATCGAATCGTGTCTTAAAGTTGTCGGGGTGTACAACTTCCATCGAGAGAAAACCATGCTCGCCTGTAAAACATTCAAGAGATTTAGGAGTTCAGCGTGTAAATGTGTAATTTCGATGTCGATTTTAGTCACTTTTAACCAATATGGGACCTTGGTGAGGTTAAATGGGCATAATATTTTAATAAAGATTAAATGAGTCAATTGTATCGACGGTTTAATTGTATTGGGTTTTAGAATGAGGCTGTACCGACTTCTGTATTATTACAGCGTATAGTTTCCAACAATATACAGGGTGCCCTCACACTTATAACCTAATTTTATTATACATTACTGTAATATTTTGTTTTACTTATTATATACATTTAAATATGTCTATCTAGTTTGTTCCTTTCTTTTTGATTTTGGAAATAATTTTATTACAATTTGCCATAATGCACAGGTTAAATAAACAAGTCTGCCAGCATCCTGTACATGAGTGCGTATTATAGGCTTATTATAACCACACGAAGAACTAACGATGTGCTGTAATATTATATCGTAGTCTGACACGAACCTAATACGTTTCATATTGTCGTTGATTTAATATTAATCTTAAATGTGATTTTTTTATTAATGTAAATACTTGTATATGTCGCAATTTATAACTCGTTTAGCAATTAACAGTGGCTGTTAAATATTTTGATCAGTGCAATACTAAATACTGTCTATAGTTTACGCGAGTAGTACACATTTAAATAAAACACTTTAACGGTTTAAAACGATATATTAGTTAAACTTATTTGAAAATGAGTACAATACTGTTTTTGACAATGTATACTGAAGTAGTTTCATTTAATATGCTATAAGTAAGTTTTTCCCGGTTCCGTTCGAGTATTTGGTTTCGGCCGGCCTAGCTTTGAGCCGCCAGGTAATAAGATCCAGGTGATCTATGGTAAGCTTATCTTGATAGTTGATCACCAAGTTGCGAGCCTCTGCCTCATATTTTATTTGTGTGGACACACATTTGAATAAAACACGGTTTAAAACGCGATATATATTAGTTAAACTCATTTGAAAATGATTTAACTGCGGCCCGACGTTTTTGGATGCTTTGCAGCAGCCGTGGTTTGGGGTGACTAAAGATGGAGGGTATCTCTGACGTCAAAGTTAAAACCGCTACTCTAACGCCCTCTCTTCCGCCGAAGTTGGTATTTGGCGAATGCCAACTTCGAAACGACGGAACGCAGTTAAAATAATTTTCAACTGACAAATATATATTGCGTTTTAAACCGTTAATGTGGTCTATTTAAATTTGAACTTCTCGCTTATACTACTTACAGTATTTAGTCGTATATATCCAAATAAATATTCCTCTCGAGGAAACTTGTAGTTTCTCTTCCTCTCGTTTGATTCCCACTTTATTGAATCTTCTAAAACCAGATTACAACATAAAAATGTATATACATAATATATAGAGTAAGCAAATTCAATTTAAATATTTCAAAATAATCACAAAAAGCTTGCTTTAAATTTGAATATTAAATTTTTGATTGTACTAAATAACAAGTAGAATAAGTACGTGAGATATTTTTGTATTCAATAAAAGACATCATTAAAAAAACATTAGTATTTATTATGTCAGATAAGCGAAGTCTTTAATTGTCTTCGTAAATAAAACACGTTTAACGGGTTAAAACGCGCTATAGGTATATAAATATAAGACATAAACCTTATCTGTAACGAGGATTCGATGTGTTGGATGTTTTGTAGTAGCCATGGTCATGCGGGCTGTGTTTTAAACCGTTAAAAATGTTTTTTTTAATGTGTAAATTTTAAAGTTTTCTGTCAAGGCTGTTACATAATTTGGTATAATTATAATATGTTAATATTGTCCTGTATTTTAAAGACTGGTTCACGTGAGAATATGTTTTATTGTAATTCGTATTTTTATTTTAGGTTACTTTTGTACTTTTATAAATCGTACACATTGCACAAGTTTTTTAAAAGCCCCGTGAATAGATACGCGTTATTTTGTGATATTAATGTACAATTATTTTTATTTGTATAAACGCAGTTAGTGTTAGTAAAAACGGTAGAGCAAAAACGGTCTTGAAACATGATATGCTATTGTAATAGTTATTTTCATTTCTTATGCTAGTCTCATAAAAAGTGCTGCTGGACGCGTACAGTACAGTATTATGTGCATAATATCAGATTCTATAAATAAGTGGTCGGGACCGTTAAGTGAAGGGCCTGGCCTCAAATTCTAGTGAGATAATAGACGTAGATTGTGTAGGTCTGGCCGAGCACAGAAGTCTGATCAATGCCCTAACTGATAAGTAAACCGGGGGGCGTATATATATATATATTCCTCCGGTGTTTTTATATATATATATATATGTATATATAACATATATATATACATTTTTCCTTTTAAATAAAACACTTTAACGGTTTAAAACGCGATATATTGGTTAAACTTATTTGAAAATGATTTTTAACTTCGGCCCGACGTTTCGGATGCTTTGCAGCAGCCGTGGTCACAGGGGGGAGACTAAAGGGGAGACTAAAGATGGAGGATGTCTCTGACGTCAAAGTAAAAAATTGGAATTGCTACGCTAGCGCCATCCGTTCCGTCGAAGTTGGTATTTGGCGAAACTGGCCGGGTCCTTAGGCAGAATTGAAACTATAACTAATATATCGCGTTTTAAACCGTTAAAGTGGTTTTATTTAAATGTGTATACTCGCGTAAACTATAGACAGTATTTAACGTTTTGCTTTTTTTTCAAAAGCTCAACAGAACGGTTTCGGTTACAGTCTGTGGATTTCCGAATATCCAAAGTCGAAATAAGTCGACAGCGCTATCTTGCTTAATTTTTAAAACTGAATTATTTTAGATGCCTCGCATGTTTCAAACTAATCAGGCTGGCCCCAGCCGTTTAGTTCACCTACCATCAAGTGTCATCCTTCTCTGTCGTGAAAAAAAATATGTCATTCAAAACAAATTAGTTATTTTAACTTAGTAGAGGTTAGAGCGTTTGTTGGTCGCCCTTGTTACTGTGTGAAAGAGACAACAACAGTACATTTGTATTAGAACAATAATATACTAATAACGCTTGTAGGAGACATAAGTTCTAATAAAATGCATGTTTTTCTGGTTTATCTCTGTTTTTGCTCTATCATTCTAATAGATTTAAGTGTAGGTAAGGTTGAAAATGTACAAAATTAAAAAAACGCAGTTGTACAATACCATAATAAAGTACAAGTAATTCTACATTCTTTGAATTTGTTTTATTAGAACTTTGAATTTATCTTGTTATAAACACCCAGTTCATAAATAATAATTTCTTTTCAGCCCATGAAACATTGTTTTTTTTTATTACAAGTATGGTAATAGTGAAGGTAGTTGAGATTGGGTTTGGCTTTTAGAGTTTCACTATCACAAGTAAATAACATCATATACGAAGTTCGAACGTTCGAAGAATGGTTATATTGAAAAATATACCTAATATAAATTGTGTTAATGTTAAGTATCATAATGATTAAAAATGCTTTAAAACTGACGGACGGACTCGTTGGCCTAATCTTGGTAATGTACGGCTAATAATCAGAAGGTTGTGGATTCGATCTGGCTCCAATCCAATCTTATATAAGTTTCTAATCAATTGTAAGTCTTCTGAGACATGTTGGGGCTGCATTTGAAAATCTAGATATCGAATGGGTGGTAGGAATATCGAAATTCCGTCCACAGATGAAACTCACGGTTTTGTCTGTGGTTTTATCGTGTCTTGGTTGCAGTCTGTCGATTTCCGAACATTCAAAACCATATTAAGATGTTATATGGCGAAGGTATTAATTATATATACAAAAAAAAAAAAAAAAAAAAAAAAAAAAAAAAAAAAAAAAAAAAAAAAAAAAAAAAAAAAAAAAAAAAAAATATATATATATATATATATATTATACCTATATATATATAGATATAATAATAATTAAACCTTATATATATGTGTTATACAAGTGCGTGAATGGGCGCGGGGAATCTGGGAAATGTTGACCAAACGGAGAAAACTAGTCATTTTTGAGCTTCCGTTGCGTGCCCTGTGAAAACGTTTAACGAAGAATGCATATGAATAAATAAAACTCCCAAAAACAAGCAAAATCTTTATCTTATTTTGTTCGTGAACTTATGAAAACATAGCTAGTGTACAATTTCTTGTAGGTATTTACAATTCACGTTTGAATAACAAATCATGTGATTAAAACGAAACACTGTTTAGTTTTTTTTTTTATATAGGAGCGTTATAAAATTATATAATAAACAGGAGATGAAAGCTGTAACATCGTATTATTCAATTAGTTTAAAAATTGTCCTATACTTACGAAGGTGCACTTAGTAAATAGAATAAGTGGCCTATCTTACAATGGTCCTACATTATTTAAGTACTTCGAATAAATTCGAGTTTAATATACACGTTTTTGTGATTACGGGTTCGATTTCTGTCAAGTTAACTCGCTGTGCAAATATATAATTTTATCATCACAGCGTCTTAATATTTCCGTGTAGATAATATATACACTTACAATTAATTAATTAATATTGCTTTTTAATAATACGTGCAGTTTGAGTTTTGCGCTATTTTTCTATGATTTGATAATTATTTATTGAAATTAGTACATTTAAGTCGCTCCAAAATAATATTATGCAACTACTACGATAAGTGTACATCGTGAATTCTAATACATTTAGCGCTATTGTCGAATTATTTTAACTAGGACTCTGAATAATCTTTTCAACGGTTTGAAATGCGATAGATACTGAAAAAAATATGTTAAATATGACACAACTTTTTCCCCTTTACTGCGTTTGTAACATGTCTGATTAGTTTGAGACATGCGAAGCATACGTAAAATTAATTCAGTTCACGTTTTAAACTGTTACAAATGCTTTATTAGATGTGAACGTTTTACCTGGTTTTCGAGCCCTGATGAAAAGATTGTAAAATAGATCTAAGACGATAAATGCAGTCAAATTAATTCTTGTATTTTAACATTTAGGCAATCTTTCTAATGACATTGAAAATCGTGTTCATGGCGCGTAAACTTATCTAGGATTATAAAGAGCCCCGTTAGAGTCGAAGATTGAAGTCTAGATTGTCTATTATGATGTATTACGCACCCGTTTATTTGGTAATAATTACGATTTCACTTAAACACTAAATCTGGAATGAAACGACAAAGCTTAAACAGAAAACATTCAAGTTACGTTAAGAATTAGTTTAAGAAAATCAGTCTCAATAACAGGCCATTATTTTTTTAAATAATTTTTTAGTTATTCTATATAAAGCGAAGCTAAATTAAACATTCAATCACAAACATTTAAAATTTTGGTCACAAAGAACAATGGTGAACATTTATTGCTTACATATTCCTAAATAGCATTAGTGATGTCAATATTTTTAACCAGAGAAGAATTAATAGAATATTAGCGTATTTCCACTGTAAAATTTAAGGGTTCCGTATCCAAAGAGTGTGTTTGGAATCCTTCCCTCTATACATAGAGCGTGAAACATTGGGCAGACTCATTTTTGTGTCTGTTGTAATTATTCAGTGTTGTAATAGCGAGAAGTTAAAGTAACTGTAGGTACTCTTTTGAATAAAATACTTTAAACGGTTCAAAACGCGGAATGTATTTGATAACTTATACTTTTTTACTTTAACTGTTGCTGCGAATATATTTTAAAGCGTTAAAAATGTTTTATTTAATAGTGTTCTACTTCCGTAGACTCCAGCCTCTTTTAATCGTTTATGAGCGATGGTACGGAACCCTTTTTGCTATAATCCGACATGCACTTGGTAAATTATTACTTGACACAGTAATGGGTTTTAGCGAAAAACACTGTTTAATATCAGCTTGACTCGATACACGCACATCAAGAACTTCAGTCTTTTTCATAACATCACATCTAAGTAAGTATTATTGCTGGGTATTCATAAGTTTTTGGATACATCTCTCTAAAGCACAATTTAAAACTTCTGTCTTCCATAATTTGTATGAACAGTTCAATGTTTTGAGGTTACGCGCAGTTAAGATTACGAATAACTGAATCTAAAAGGTGATGGCTTATCCCATTGAGAATGTAATGCATAAAGAAATATACTAGATACGTCCTAAAATTATCATGCTATACTAATCTATACTAACATTATAAACCTGAAGAGTTTTGTTTGAACGCGCTAAACTCAGGAACAAGTGGTTCAAACTGAGAAATTTCTGTCCGTGTCGGTTGGACCATTTATGGAGGCAAGCTTTAGGCTATAAAACAGGCTGCGACCAATAGAAGCAAAGAAACAGTAAATTTATCATTTTTGACGGTTTATATTGAAAAATGTATATTAAATAATTATTCATCTTGAAGTAATGTAACCAATGTGCGATAGTATATGTCTAGCTTTTGTTTGTTTAGATTAACTCCCAAGAACCTTATTTAAATAAAACACTTTAACGGTTTAAAACGTTTACGTTTACTGCTGCTGCAAAGCATCCGAAACGTCGGGCCGAAGTTAATAATCATTTCCAAATAAGTTTAACTAATATATCGCGTTTTAAACCGTTAAAGTGTTTTATTTAAATGTGTACTACTCACGTAAACTATATTCCCAAGAACCTTTTTATGGTAATTAACTTTTGGTCAAAGTACTTTATAGGGCAAAAGAACGTTTGCCAGGTTAGTAGACTATATTCGTATGACGTCATTATACAGTGTTACTTAGCAATAGGGTGCCTAGGTAATACGTAATTTTATAATAATAATTGTGCATTGGTATACAGATTTTTTTGGGCCTTTCGTTTTTTAACTTATCACCTATCACCTAACGATTTACAATTTCCCGTAAACGTCGGTAGACCTTGAAAAAAATTCTCTCGTAACACCTCGGTATTTACAATATAATATCAAATAAATTATTTACAAAGTAGCAAATAGTGCAGAAAAGACAACTTCACAAAATATGCATTTGAGCAGTATTTATAAGTAGATATTTACAAAAAAAACCATTTTACAATAGATTAATTAAACTTAGTTTGCGTGCGTAAATCAGAACTAGAAAAACGTAAAGATACGGTGGCTTAAACATTGTAATTGTTAATGAATCTTTATTTTGTATTTATATTGTAAAACATGTTATTGCTATAAACTTATTTACAGGTTCATTTCGCTAGTTAAAATGCCTAAGTGGAAATAATGAAAGAACTAAAGCGTTCACTATTTTGAAATCATTATAATGATCTACGTCAACAACACTACAATTCCACGTTACTTATATAATTATCACATTATCTTAGAATATTATTGTAAAGTTTTAAACGCGATGTGTCAAAATACAGTTGATAGAAAATTTCGCGACTTTGAACAAGTCAACATTGACCTATCGTCGACTGAAGTCGAAAATTATGTTAGGTTTGTATGAGACAATGTCGAAAATGATTTTGTTTGAGATTTGCTCTCCAGCTACACACATACACAATACGAAGGATCTCGTGACATCAAAGTTTCAGTGACTATAGTCCATAAATGCTATCAAAAGTTCTTTTCATCATTTAAGTAACAAGCAGATGAGAAGAAAATATATTTAATGATAGTTATAATAACTGTAAAATCATAGATTTTGATATATGTATCAGTATAAACAAATGATCAAATTCCCAATTCTGCTAATTCAGTAAGACATTCCTTTTAACTTTAGCGGTTTAAAACGCGAAATATATTAGTTAAATTAATAAACTACGGCACAACGTTTCAGATGATTTGCATCTTAATAAATTCTGCAAGGACCCGGCCAGTTTCGTCAAATACCCACTACGACGGTACAGATGGCAGTTTTTACTTTGACATTAGAGACACCTCCATCTTTAGTCTCGCCGTGATGGGCTGCTGCAAAGCACCGCGCAAGCGTTTTAAACCGTTAAAGTGTTTTATTTAAATGTGTACTACTCGCGTAAACTATAGACAGTATTTTACATATATTCAATTTTAATCCGAGTTATCAGGGGCAGCACTCAATGTTCTAGTTTCGTCACGAACTAAGGATTTGTCATATCGTCTTTGTCTCGTAATTTTCGGTCTTGCGGCACTGAGTAAAGGAGCTGATATCGCGTGGACAGGCATTCTGTTTAGGTCCTTCCTATCTTGGAGTAAGGGTGATGTTACGCTGGACGATTCGTCTTCTTCGTCATCCGATATGACAGGGTAACTTTCCTTCATTTTCAAGCTTCTCTCGAGTCGCCGTAAAAATCCTATTTACGTATGACGTGTTAATTACAGTAGAAAGCCACTAAATCCCAGTTTATAGAAGTCACATGGGTATTTTGAGAATGTGTGACATTTTTTTTGTCGTTAGCAAAAATTTCAACAATTTTCACTCTTATGCTTGAAAAGAATCGCAAGAAGTTAAAACAACGTTTATTTACAACGATAAAGAACAAAACGGTCCAATAGTGGCAATGTACGGCTAATAGTCAACGATAGGTTCGATCCCCACCAGGTACAACATATTTCTCGTGTCGTCGAAATTCCCCAGTTCACTTCATATTTGGGGGAATTTCACCCCCATCAAGTGAATCCCGTACTAGTCTGTCCTCCTTTATCAAAAAAAAAAAAACAAAAACCTCACCTTATCTGATTACTAATAGTCCTCAGTTTATTCACTTTCACTGGTCTCCGAGAACCTTCCGTTAGATCTAAGCTAGACGATATTTTCGAAGCCGTATCCTGTGAAGAGATAAGTATTTAAAAACATCTACAGTTAAGTTTGAAACAGTTTAGATCTCACGACCGTGTTTCGCATTTTTAACTCTTTATTCTACATGTACAGTAAAAATATTTTTTGAAATTCGAAGAATACTTCGAGTAAGCGAGGAGTTAACAACATCACCTGATGATGCCATGCGGTCGTGATGGCGAAACCTTGATAACCTCTTCTAGCTTACATCGGCCGAACACCCCGAAAAACAATGATATGCTGAACACAAATTATTGTTTAAAATAGTTTGGTGTTCGATAACCTTTTTTATTTTATTTTTCAACTATATTTTAAAAGATATAGTTTTTAGTTTGTAACCAATTTGTATTTGGATGACTTAGTTGTGAATCAACTGGTATGTGTATATTATATTATTTACATTAGCTAGACTCTGTTATATCTCAACTAAGTCCATTATGTTTAAATACATACATAAATAAACGTACCTACATATAAACATATAAAAAACACAATCTTAAAACAAAGAAGCTGTGAATCACCTCTGAACTCCTGCACTTCTGGCGCCTCAACGGTTTCTTCGAACGTGTCAGCTCTGACTGTGAACAATATGTGCAGGAGCCACAAATAAGAAAAAAGCCAAATAATCTCAACTCGAACTTGGATTTGTTTAGAAGGTCTATATACAAAGATCAGATTTAAAACGTCTTCATTTTTTCAAGTACTCTTCTTCAAGTGTTTAAGTAATATTATACAAGCTCTGAGCTTTGCGCTTGCTTAACAGACCTTCAAGTCCACATTGGAAAATGAATAAACACTAAATACAGCTTGCTTTTTATATTGAATGACAATTTCAGTAAATTATAATTAGGTGGTACATGCAGCTTAAACATTATTTAGAGATAAAATTAAGACCAATGTTATGTTGCATAAATCTGATAAGGTACTTATATAAAATGCTTGAGATATATTTAATGATGACGTTGATTTGTTATATCGTCTTAGTACAATTTTAGATAACGGTTTACACGATCAATAAACAACGATACAAAGGACTAATACATTACTATTCGCAAATGTACATTCACAAAAACATACTATAAGTTCCTAAATATTAAAAAAATTGGTGTAAGCATTAAGTGATACCAAATTTAATATTTTTAACGAAACCTACCTTTCAGCAACAAAGAGTATTAAGCTATTAATAATATCGAATAATTTATATTATATACCTGCATATCTAAGTCTGGAAGTCTTAGTTCTCTCGCCGACGCAATAGAAGCTACCGAAGCGTTTGATATTGAATCCTCTGATGATGAAGAGGACGCGAGGGCGGGCACTTGAGATCGAGAACGTCTTCTTCCAATTTTACGACCACGAGTGTAACAGGGTACCTGAAAATAACAGTTATTATTGAAAAAAAAAAACTGTATATTTTCGTAATGATTATTAATCATAAAATATGAGAAATCATTTTGTTCTTTCTTCCTATCGGTTATTTTAGTAAATAAATCCATGCCAACCGAGGGTTAACCGAGGGTTAAAATGGGTTAAACTAGAATTACATTTATGTTAAGGAATTTAAATCTTACCTCTAATAAATTATGCATGGAATGTGGCATATGCGGCAAAGGTGACTTATTTGATCCAGTCACTTCATGAGATACCGTCCTTGGTGACTTTCGATCTCTTCTTCTTCCAGACTTCCTGTGTGAACTACTACTACTTTTACACGTATTGCCCTTTACGCTTTCTGTACTCGGAAAGTCGTACAAACCGTCAGAATCTGTAAAGGGTACTAGTCGTCCGAACTGTGGTGAAAACCGCCCTAAACAAATTTTATCACTTATCGGGCTTTCACTCCTAGAACTTACAGGACTTAGTGGATGGCTACAGTCAGAAAACAATATAGGAGGTCGCAGACAGGCCTTCTCGTCTAAACCGCGTTCCACACTTATACATTTAACTATAGTACACTTTGTAACACCACTTGGAGAACACAACGGCGGTAAGGGAATATCAAGAGTTTCTTTTAAAATCCCGAGTGATTCCATTTCTTTTGCACTTGAAGGGACATCGTCTACTCTTTCATCAGTACCAATTCCTTCATCATTAGATTCTAATAAGGGGTCATCTGATAAAGTTTCAGAATCAGATCTACCCCGGCGCCGTTCGTCAGTTCCTTCATTAGAAGTTGCCGGACTAGAATTGGTTTTCATCAACGGCCGTCTTCTGGATGGAAAGCACGAAGGTCCTCCACCAGAACCTGGGTCTTCCATTTCTGACGGACATAACGGATTGCTTGAACCACAGCGAGATGGTCCCGGGCTGGCCATAGAACTGTATCCCGACGATGATAGATTTGACTCTGACGGAGCTCTTTCTCCTCTTACAGACATTGAGAAGGGACTCAAATAACACATGTTCGCTGATGGCGGTGGAGGTCTTGGAGATAAGGGTTCGTCTGATTCTTCGCTCGCATTGTATGTTACCGTTATTAAAGGTGGAGGTTGAAATTCCAGGTGAGGTGGCGTACGACGAGGAGGAGGTGACCCTGGGGAAGGTCTTTCTATTGTAAGGACGGGAACACGAAGCGAAAGTGGTACTGGTGAAGGCGAAGACATTTCTCGCTCTGAGTCCTGGCTATGAGTAATACTAGGACTTGGAGAGTCTGTTATTTGTGTTGATGAAGTTGGTGTTTCAATGCTTGTCATATGTGGTTGTCGAAGCTGGAATGAAAAAAAAACTTGAAAATGTGACGTCAATTCAGTGAAACATGTTTTAAATAAATTAGTTTGCAATTATATACCTTGAGTCGTAAATCAGGGTAAGGCCGGCATTTTTCCGTTTTAATCTCATCTAATTCATCTTCGCTAGGAGAAATACACGTTGTTGATTCACTTTTACTATCTGATTCTACCTTAGCTCTTGGCATCCGGGGAGAAGGCAGCGGCGTAGGGAGTGGAGTTGGTAACGGGGTGGGCAGTGGTGTGGGAAGTTCTCGAATGGGTGATAGGCACTTGTTAATAGAACTCGGCACTTCAAGAAGAATGGACGGAGGGTGCAATAAATTGCTGGATGATGATGGTCGGTGAGCATTTAGTGGATCGACAACCTAAAAAGTAGATGTTGTTAGTGTACACGATATAAATAAATATAAATTGTAAAATAAATAGTTTCTGAAAATGATGGCGTTTCGAATAACCGAATCGAAATTGTATAAGTTAATACCTCTTAGTACTTAATAGTAATAATACCTGTATTTCTATAGTGTTATGTTGTCTTGCAATGGGTGAATCCGGTGCTAAGGATGGTATATGAGCCGAGTTTATGGAAATATCATCAGCGTCTATGGTATCATCCTGAGGAGACGATGCGGTTGGAGTACTGGATATAGATATTCCACCAGACGATGCTCTCGACGTGAGAGCTGTTGATGACGAAAAATTTCGAAACATCGCTAAGATAGAATCAGCACTTGAGATTTTTGAGCTCCTGAAAACAGTTAAATATAATATAATCAAATTTACGCATCTTTAATAAGTTGTCACTTGATAAGCTGTTTAAAAGAAATTCAAATGAAATCATTGTCTACCTGGAGTATTTCTTTAAGGTTGAATGTCCGGTTAGGTCTAAACTAGACATTGAATCGCTGCCTTGATTACTTGATGTGCTATGTGGTGACCTGACTTCAACCCCTGGCGAAGGAGGCGTACTAGATGCTTTAGCTTTTGAACTTCTATCGGCTATGACTGCCATCGGAATGGCTATTGTATTCACCATATCTACATCTGAACTAGAGCTCATTTCTGCTGATACCTTATTCAATAATCTCGCAAAAGTAACCTTCTTTTCTAATTTTGGGTCGGACACCTGACGCATTGAAGGTGACGTGGAGGGAGAAGACCCCTCGCTAGCAAAAGATGTATCCTTAGTGTCTATGCCATATTCTACGAAAGCAGGCGCACTTTCTACCGTGCTTAAAGTCTTCTTTTCCGTCATCTGTATAAGTTCTCCCATAGATATTTTTTTCGAATGGTTGTTTGCTGCTGCGGGACTTATTAATTGCTGTAATATTTGTTTTTTCTCAGCAGCATTTTTTTTAGTTGGCGTTGAATTGTTGCGTTTCTTGCGAGGTGATGGTGATCCTGTATGTTAAGAATAAATGCTTTATATTAAAAATTAAATTTAAATTTGCGAAAAAATACAAAAGCATAATAAGATGCATTACAGTAAAAGAATGCATGCATGCATTCTCTTTTTGCAAAGGGTTAAAATGCGTCTAAAAGCCAATTTTTACATTCAACTCTTTAGAAAAGTGAAAGTAATTAACAGAAATGTAGTTGGTATTTAAATCATACAAATCAATCTATATTAAATTTTAAACACAATTAATCTACGAACTAAGATGAAGTCTACAGTTCTAAACATCTGGGACAATGCTATATGTCATAATGTTTTTAAGATTACGTATTGGGTTGTACAGTAAAATAAGTAGATATAAAAAGTGTGTATCGATTAACAAACAACAGTGTCCACATGCATGATTACTAAGTTTGAATACTTTCAGATTTAATATTGTCAGAAAACTATAGTTTTTCTAGAAGTAGACAATGGAAAATCTGAAGAGAGATTTGGACGATCTAAAAAGAGGCTTACGAAGGAAGGAGCGTCTACACAATAGATGCGTGTATAGAAGTGCATACATCGAAAATTTTGCGTAAGGCATTCCAAAGTGTCATTCGGGTTGCAGTGAACATCCAATAAAGCTATATACACCGCGCGCTCCGCATTTGAGTGATGTGAACAAGCGAAAAAAACATCACAATTGCCACAGATGATGAAGTACACAAACGGATATTTTGTATCACCGATACAATGATGATAAAAGGGTACAATCTTAATAATATATTCAATAGCGTCACAAAAGAAGTCCCAAGAAGGAGGACGATATCAATCAATACAAGTATTTGTTGAAGGGATATTATAACGAACAATATATTTTTTTATACTGATAAAATAATTTACAACATTGGAGCGTCCATTTTTATATTGTAACTTTAACATATTGTATGTATCTTCGTCGGAGGTCGTAAGTTCGATCTTCACCCGTTCCAACATTATTCTAGTAAAATTATATATTTTCTGACACATGTTAGACTTCGTCCGGAAATCTGAATATTAAGTAGGTGTTAGGAATATAGAAATTCCGTCCAGGCCACGAATGACCGCCCACAGATGAAAAAGTTGTCAAGTTTAATCGCGTTTCATTCAGTCTGTCCTCCTCTATCATAAAAAAAAACAAATACTAGGCATATTTGCAAACGTTTATCATATAAAATTAGGTGGGATAATTTGTACTGGTATTTCAAATGATGGGACTTCTTATATGGCGAAGGTCTATCAATGTATAACAGTTTTAATATTTGCACACAATGTATATAATGGGACTCGTCGGTAGTATGTAATGATGCCAATGGAATGAAATGTTTGCGGAGGGCGCGGGTCCCGCTCCACTCCTTACGTCCAGGCTGCGGCTTTAAGAGATCGTCCAAACTAAAGGTGCGCACGGCCCGCGGTTGGGCGAGCCCCGATATAGACGGCTTGCGGATACCGAGCCGCGTGAGCAGTGTTCGAGCCTCCCCAGTGCTGCGCCCGCGCCGCACCGCACCAGCCGCTGTGGACAAACCGCCCGACCTTACCTAGCCGTCCGTTTAATGCCAACTTATTCTACCCAGGGACGCAACTACGCCTAAAAGACGATAAAAGGAAAGAATAGTAGGTGTTGCCTAAATTACTGTCAATTAGTTATCACATCGCTCCTATTTTACACTCGAGATATAGAGACGTTGGCCGTGTTTGGGGCTAGACCAAGAATGCCCCTAGGGCATCTGCTTCGGCTTAGACCAGCGCTATTTTGTAGGGAGCTTCAAGAGTTGGAAAGTTGTACTCAAGTGAGGAGGTTTAAGAACTTGGCATTTTGTCATAACAGAATCTATTGTCACGGGTAAGTTGTATATCTTTTCACAGCACAATTGATTGGGATATGAGCAACAGTACTATCGAGTGTTTTCATAAATTGGAATATGATTATCAAAACTATACTTTAAATGCTGTAACAGTTTAAAACGCGAAATATAACAGTTAAACTTATTAACCCGTGGTTTGAGGACACTGTGTCTGTGTCTCCCAGTAACAACGGCTGCTGCAAAGCATTCGAAATGTCGGGGCGTTAATCGTAGATAAAGTGTTTTAATCTGTATTACTCGGGTAAGGTACAGACAGTATTTAAAATTATTCTTTCCTCTTAACGGGACGTTATACCTAGTAAGTTGTGGTTAAAGGACGGCCAGGCTCATCTAGTCTGGCACCTACCTCAGATCGCCTATCGCCTACCGCCTAAGCTTAGGGCTCCTTCTGGGGCACCGCGGCGTACCGCTGCCTTTCGCCTCTCGACGCTGTTTCACAGAAACACTAATGCAACCAGTAATATAACTTCGCTTCTAACATCATATAAAGACGAAATTACTGTATAAATTCGAAAATTCTTTCTTTACTTCTTGTTACTTTAGGCAATTGTTTAGGGCATATAACATGCGCTTACATTCAACATCCATGCATGGTAACATCGATTTTAAATGCTTAAAGTCAAAATCAGATGATCGCATTAGTTTTTCTGAAGCGTTAGTAACAGATAGAATTCACATCAAAGTCATCAGATTTAATCCGTGACAACATTTAACACATCGAGATATAGCTAAAATATATCAACACATAGATTACCTACTTAAGAGCTATTTATAATTTTGTCAATATTTTATTCAATATAAAATAGACATTACTGTAGACTAGTACTCTTTAGACATAACGCTGATTAATTTTATTGTTAAGACTAAGTTTTGGCGGGAAAAAGAATGTCCCACATTTGTCTCTTTAAAGACCGCGATTTTCATAAATATAAAAATGAAATAGAAGGATGTGATTTACAAAGTGCATTTAGTTTGGTGATCGTTTCGAATTGAGCATTACAAGCTATTATTGTGCTGCAGGAATTCATCAAAACAGGAAACCTATTTACTTTCATAGCAAGCTCAAAACGTGCTTCCATATCTCCCGTGTTGAAGCGTTTATAATCTGTATTTTTAAACAGATAACATGTTATAACTTACGTCTCGCGCATCGGTCGGCTTCTTCCGCTAGGAGCTTTTCAATTTTTTCTGGAAAATGGCGTTTTGCACACCATACTAAACCAACCATCCCTAAAACTGAGAATACTGCAAAGAGTCCAAGCCAAAATGGTTCCTGCATCATTCTTGTTCCTAGGCCAACTATGTTTGGTGTAGGATTTGGTATTTCACATCTGTAAATTGATAGAGATACAACATAATCTGTTTGCTTTGCTGTTCCCTAAATTATGATAATTAGGATGTCTAACGTATATTTGACAGTTCCCACCGATTAAGTTTGCTATTATAGGTATACTTTTGGTAATGTGTTTTGTTAAACAATATAATTATATATCTAAAAAGTGGAAGTAACGACTACCTTTTGCCCTTCCAAGAAGGATTGCATTGACACAAAAAAGCGCCATCTTTCTCTAAGCAGGCTCCTCTATGGTTACATGGCTTTGAAGCACAAGGTCTGATGCGTTCAGAGCATCGCTTACCGCGCCAACCGCGTGCGCAAGCGCAACGAAACCCCCCTTCATCCAAGTCCTCTGATAGCGAACAGTTGCCAAACATACACGGTGATCGTTCACATGCCGTTATTAAGCAAAAGGCGCCTATAACAGAAAAATAAAATAAATTTAGGAAATAAAATACCAGATAATAAAGTCCTTTTCAGACTGTATATATAAAAGAATTTAGTATTTATACTATGTACACATATATAACATAAGAGACAACGACAAAACGAAAGTTTAGTAAAAAAAGTTGAAAGCGCTAAATATTAGTGTTAACTTGATGTAAAATATGACTTAACGTCACGGACATCTTGAAGCAGATTATGTTTTGAACCTTTAAAGTGTTTTATTTAAATTTACTACTACTGCTTGCTTGCGTACTTACTTGCGTAAGATAAGGTATTCACGAATTGCCTGTAGTTTACGCGAGTATATATTTAAATAAATACTTTAAAACGCGAAATGTATTAGTTACATTATTTACGAATTATTTTAAAAATGGCGCGGCGTTTTGAATGCTTTGGTCTCGTAGTTAAAAACATTATAAATAAGTTAACTAATACATTGCGCGTTTCAAGCTGCTTAAAGTGTTGTATTTAAAACAACTTAATTACCAGTATAGTATCCAGAGCATTGGCAGATATTTCTACTCTCTTCTGTAGCACAATTACCTCCATGAAGGCACGGATTAGGGAAACACGATTCTAGGCTTGTTTCATCCGGTAATAACAGAATTTTATTGTGATATTCGTGATCTGAAATGAAATGGTTTATCTACACTTTACTAATTACATTTTAAGGACCACAATGAAACGTAATGTCGTTAGTTGTAACAGTTTTAGAAGTGTGTAATTTTAATAGGTTACGTTAGATGTTAAATCAAAATTGCATTGAATATACTTCAGTTCTTGAACTTTTTCGCTGCACTTGATACACATGTGAGCAGCGTCAAACAGCAAAAATACGCAACAAGCTTTGTATAAATACCAGCGACATTTTTATACAAATTAAGAGAAGGGCATCTTACCATAATTAATAACTAAAGAAACCTCCATGTCCACAGGGCGATCAGCGGAGTACTGAGTTATGATTAAAGTGTGTAAATATGAGTTAATTATGAGAGGCACTATTGGTTCCACACTGCGCATGAGTCGTTTTGATTCGCACAAAATCCATTTAGTACCGTTGTTATCTGTATAACTATCTTGTACCTAGAAAAGGTAGAAATTTAAAAATGGAATCTCTAAAGTGACGTAATGGTTTAAACGTTTGCGTTAAGCACCAGAGTTCCTGGATTTAAATCATAGAGACACTTATATTCAGTCTGTCATTCAGATTTATTGAGCACAAAACACCTTTGAAAGTGGCAAAAATGCTATTTCAGCAATGGCTTCCAAATTTAGTAACCACGTTTAAACAAACCTCAATCCATCCTTTGCCATCTCCACAAGGCCAGAGGTCAGAATTCATGGCAAGTGTGGTTCTAGCAAACGACGCTGATAGTGTATACCCATGTGGGGCTATCAGTCTCGACTGGAGCCTGGCTTGGGTAGGGCCTGCAATGGGCCAATTCGGTGGTGACAATTGGCCGACGCGAACCGAGCCCAATTCCGTCACGTAGGATACGTTTAGGTAGCTTACTGAAAGCGAAAATTTAAAATATTTTAAAATATATATTTCAATGATATGGGTTGTGAGGCGCAAAAAACGACGACGACGCGTAGGTGTCAGCTACGCGTCGTACTCAACGGCTCCTAACTGTTTAAGACGTAAGTAAGTCATTATAATTATTTATGCATTATGTAAACGATATTACATTAGCAAATATGACAGACTGTTATAAAATTCGTGTCGTAAAGTCTCTTAATTCTCTATATTTTATAACTTTAAAATATTCTTCAACTGAAGAAATGTACGTGCGGGGAGCCACCCAGAGCGCACCACAGACGTATCTCATCACGTCTGTGTACACCATATTCTTTGAATACAAAATCAGTTATGAATAGTAAAAAGTAGTCACCAGTTTTGAAATGTGCCAAAAACCCAATTCCAGTAACGTTCCCTCCTGTTTTCAACCTCAATCTGATTAATTCCGACGTCGATACAAACAAACCACCAGTAAATACATTAGGATTCTGAAATGATCTAATAGGTTCAATTTGAGGGTCTATTTGGACTTCCAGATAATTGTCTTCCGGGATCGCATTTGTTAGGTTCACAGATATTCCATTACTAAAAGTGCCGTAGCCAAAATTGAAGAAACTGATGTTGAGGAATACACGCTTTCCTAAAATACAAATATTTATTGTTTATAATTAAAATTGTTATAATATAATGATATAACAATAAAATTATTCAGGACAAACGATGATTTTGTAGTTCAGAAGCAGTGTATACCAAGCAAAGACAAAATTATGTAAATCCACAACAATATAACTGAAGTCAAAATTCATGCTACAATAAATAAAGATTTTGTATACGTACCTGTTGGAGCCAAAATATCTATAGTGCATTCAAGATCTGGTAAAAGAAAATATGGATAGTTGGGACTGGTTATTGTTCCTTCTTTAGACGTAAACGTTTGTGAAGGGCATCCTGTCAGTTCTACTGCATGCCATTTTAAAAGAAAACCAGTGCTTTGTATGCTGAAAAACAGAATTAACTTTTGAGTCGCAGCCAGGTGGTGGTTCTCGGGGACTTCTACCCTTCTAGCTAGTGTCTCTTAGCATCTCCGGAGTATCCTTAGCGATGCATCACAAATTAGCAAACATTTGATAGTAAATATACCCTTCTTTTTTACTTACATGATATATATATTTGTACGTTTTTTGAGCAATAAAATATCTTTGGACGATTAGTTAGTTGAAAACCCATTAAAATTGTATTTAATGAACATAAAAGTCAATCTGTATTTTTTAAATAATATTAGAGGACAGTAAAGCTTAAGATTCACTTGATCATCCCAGCCATACAACATCTACACAAGTTGCCAAACTATTTTAGGTTACGATATTTAGTGCTAAAGTCAAGAATTACCTATAATCTGAACGAAAATGAAGAACAGCTTCATTGCTAGAAGCAACCCAACGTACTTCTTCAACAGTGCCGCAGTATCTCGCCGATTTGACATGTTGACGATCTTGCATCTGAAATGTTTGGTATTAATAGATTGAAACGAAATTTCGTTGAAAATATAAAACTATCACTGCATAGTAGATCATTTACCTCTATAAAATCATACAAGCAGTCACTCTGGTACTCCAAATCGATACTTTGAAAGACGAAAACAAGTCTTGATCCGGGTGGGCCTTTGAAGACAGTATAGTAATCCAGGTCGTTGTCATAAACCGCCGGGTGGTTCAAGCTGCTTAGGATACCTGAGCCGAGCTTTGAGATTATTATGATTGTCTTAGGAAAATAATAATTATTTTGAACAGACTAGTGGATATCTAGGTATTACTTAATAGTGCTTCCTGTTAAAAAACTTTGGAACTACATAGATGCTTACAGAGTTCGTTTCTTTTAAATCAAAACTAGATTTATTACATTTTAATAATTCCCATACTAGATGGGTGCACTTATTGTCATTTACCAGTAAAACTAACTGTCTACATCGATCAGCTATTAGCATTAAAAAGAACTTACCAGAAGTCCCTTCAACAGTTTCATTTTTCACCAAATTCTCAGGGTTGAGTCTTCGCTTGCAAACATAACCTCCCGTTATTGAACACTTGTGTAGTGTCCAATATAACCCACTGGGTTGAGAAGGAACAGGTGATGTTTTCCACTGAAATGATCACGACAATAATTACGTTGTTTGTTGTAGAAAATGCAATACATTTTGACAAAGGAGGACATATAAGCTCGGAGTTTTTGGAAAGTGAATAACAACAGCCATAGAGATGCAGTGTCGATCAATTAGGACAGAATTTGAATACGCTGAAAAATTATGTTTTACACGTCATGGCTTTTCCATCTGTCGACGGGACCGGAGGAAATTTCAATATTACTATTAAAAATCCCGATCTACAGATGTAGTCTAACATTTCTTAGGAAAAATATAAATTTAATTTTAAATAAGAAAAATAGTATAATAACGTTATTGAAAGCATAAGTACAAATTATGTATATTGTGTCATAAAATACACTTATTTATTTAAATAAAACGCAAATAAGTCCCCCCTTGACCGTGGCTGCTGTAAAGCATCCGAAACGTGGGGCCATATAAAATAATTTTCAAATAACTGTAACTAATATATATCGCGTATTAAACCGTTAAAGTGTTGCATTTAAATGTGTACTAGTCGCGTAAACTACAGTCAGTATTTACATTGATATAAGCTGTGGGCTTGATGTAGAATAATCGGCGTTTTTGCGTTATATATAGTGAATATTGTAACAAGTAGGGAACATACCTGTACAGCCAAACATGCTTGGTCGACTTCTTCAGTGTTATTGTACGGTGGCCAAGACTGGTACACCATGGAGCTTCCATCTATCCAAGCCAGTTCATCGTTTACTAAACGACCGCCTAGCCAGTAGATAGCGCCAGCGCTGTAATCGTTGCTTTGCCTAATCCCTGATACTAAAAAACGTTCTTCATCCGGTGTGTGGACGGACGCTAAATGCATGTTTAATCCTTCGCAAACCTAGAAGGAAAGATACAAAAAGTATTTACTAGTTTAATTAAAATTAATTAAACAATGTAGTCACGGCTGCTGCAAAGCATTCATAGCGACGTGTCGTAGTTACAATAAATTAAAGATGTTTAATAGATATATTTCCCATTTTTTACCGTTAAATTATTTCAGTTACATGTGTAGGTAGATTTTTGAGCAAAATATTGGCCAAAAGTTACCATCCATTAAAGCTTGATTATAAAATATTTTTTTAAATTAATATCTTTGTATTGGTAAACAAATTCGTTACGTAACGCGTTACGGCGTCAATCTCTCAGGTTTCTCTCTTAGTATTGAATTCATTTTAAGTTAAAGTCAATCACTTGTGTTGGGCTTCCTGCAAATATAGAGCAAATCAGAATATCGTCAAAAGAAAATACATAATAAAACCTATAATAAGAGTACTTTCTGGCGACCGTTGTGCCAAGTAAAAATACAATAGTGTATCAAGGAACCTCAGACATCGTCCGCGGGGAGGCATTCAGTCCAAATAACGAGCGAACAAGATGGAAACCGAATTGTGTAAAGGAATATCTTTATGTTCGCTTCGTATGAATAACATTTACGTTAGATGAAATAAACTCGGAGGAAAGTCGAGAGTTATCTATTCTGTGCCTAACCGTGCTTGTAAATTTTTCTAATTCATTACTCCATTCAATACGAAATACGAACTAAATATTCAATATTTGGAACTTCGAAGCTGATTTATTTAAAGCCTGCAGATCACGAGGTCGTGGGTTCGAATCCTGAGATAAGAAGATTTCTAGTATCACTCCGGAGAAAAACCAACTTAGTAATATCTTTGAACGTAAGTTGTTGAAGCCTACAAATCTGCACTAGAGTAGTGTGGTGGGTCTACTTAAACTCCTCTCCCCTTACAGAGAAGTCTGACTAATTGTTGTGTTTTAAAACCAGAGCTGCCCTACAGGTCTTTAGAGCAACTATCTGAAACTCAATTTATTTCACAACTTATTGAAAAGATTTACTTCGGCCCGACGTGTAACAGAGAAGCTGCTGCAAAATACCGAAATGGGAAGTTAAAAATCAGTTTTCAAATAAGTTTAACTAATATTCGCGTTTTAAACCGTTAAAGTGTTTTATTTAAATGTGTACTACTCGCGTAAACTATAGACAGTATTTAACAGTATAGACTTAATAAATTCAAACAAAAAGAAGAAAAAGCAATACTTATAAAAGCTTGAGAAATTGGAGACAGTTCTTGGCATGTGTATCACCACCTACTGCTTGAATAGGGTTATTGACTTGTTATTATCACGTTAATCATAACATAATGATAAAAATGCTTGGAGTGTGACGGAACCCGTTCTTACAAGGAAAAATATGTAGTGCACTGAAAGTAAATCAAGAATGTAAAATGCAACTTGGCGATAAAAAGAGTGAAGGCGAGTTTATTGACAGTTCTTCTCGTTCGTTCTACGCCCTTAATTTGGGAACGGGTAGTAAATGTAACGTTAGATTATTTAATTATTTTGTGACGTTCATAAGTGTACATAGTTACCTGCATGAATAAATGATTTTTGACTTTAACTTTGACTTTTGACTTTTAAGAGTAGAGGTGAAGCGCCGAGGAGCACTCAACATAATTATAAAACAAAAATAATACTAGTGAGTATAACGAGCGGCCTTATATTGCAATATCTTTCAGGCTTTACTCAACATTGTCCGTCGTTTTTGCACTTACATTAACTTTCATTTGTTTTCCACTAAACTTTGTATAACCCATATCAAACGCCAATAATCAACAGAGCAGATTTAGTAAATCAACCGTGCAAAAGTTTCCATAAAGCTCGTTAACAGCTCGTATTGATTTCCTAACTTTACCCGAGCCGAGGGGAGAAATGATCCAAAAAATTCGGCAACACCGTTTCACACTTCGCTTCATATCTTCGTGATTGCGTCCAAAGTATTTTATTGGGTGAAGTTCTTAAATTGTTTTTTTTTTGTTCGACGCCTTCTAAATTTGAATTTAACTTGAATGAAATCTACAAGGTGGTTTTTTTTATTAATATAATTTTTATTAATATAGGATTAGTTTATTAAAAAGTTTGTAGTTCTGAAGTTGTTGGTCACTCTTTCTCCCCTTGAAATCTGGCGCTTCTCCTCTACTCTTGGATGGTGAAGAACATGAGGAGTGCTTTCTCCCATTTCACAAGCGCTCTTCTAAATTTTTCTTCATCTTTTTTATGTAGTTAAGCTAATATTTAAGTTCATTTTGTTACATTCTTTATTGTGTGTCTTGTGAAATAAATAGTTTGAGATTGAGTTTAAGTTTAAAATGACCAATATTAACCTTAAATAACGATTTAGAATATGGAACTAATACTAGTAATTAATTTTTACTACGATCCAACTACTTTTGAATGCCTTGCAACCCTAGTTACTGTGGCGACGTTGAAGCCTTTAATAGTGTTTAATTTAGTGCACTGGCGTTAACTAAGTACAATCACCAAATACCTGCTTAGCTGTGGTCCAGGAAGCACGAGGATAGCCGGAAAAGAGGTAGCAGAACCCGTTGAAAAGTATTTGCTTTGAGTCCATACATGACTGTGCTGTTGACAAACAATTTTAAATTCATTAATTAAGAACTAGAAGAAGAATTACTAAGAAGAAGAAGAATATTACATGTTTAAAAAGATCATAAAACCTAATGTACCCATATTCAGATGCTATTTGATAAAACAATATTACAAATATACAATAAGTAAGTAATAAATAAAACACTTTAACGGTTTAAAACGCAACATATAATATATTTCGCTTAATTTACTTCATATTTTTTTTACCTGACGTTTTGAATACTTTACAGCATTGGTCACGGGGTGACCCCGGTTGCTCGGAAAGCCCCCGGTTTTAAACCGTTAGTGTTTTATTTAAATGTGTACAACTCGCGTATACTACGGACAGTATTGAGCGATATACTAATTCTTCTGACACTCTTTAATCAAAAATCTATTATGGTTGAAGAAGTATAATATCATACACAACATAAGTCTTGCCAGTGTCAATGCCGTTATGTGCATTATTTAAAAAATAGTAATTTTCACTCGTCTTAACGTAAGCCATGTCAAAGTCCGCCTGAGTTTACTCATTTAATTAAGAGACTTTAACGGTTTAAAACGTGATTTATATTAGTTAAACTCATTTGAAAATTACTTTAACTGCGACTCCAAGTGTCGTATGCTTTGCAGAATCCGTGGTCACGGGAAGACATGTTAAAGTGTCGAACAATTGTATCAAGTTCCATAAAATACAATGGTTAACTCGTTGGAATTCAAAGAGAGGCCCTTGAAGATAAGTCAAGTAGAGTTGAAGTGAGAACCATCCATTCGATGGCCCTACAATGTATGACTAATTTATATCTTTAATCAATTCTGACAGAGTTTTGGATTAAGTTTAAAATATTCTACTTTGTACTTTTGCAATACTTGATACGACCGCTTGATGACTTTTTTTTTTATTTTTGCAAACCCCTTCATCTTTATAAACTTAAGCTGTTACTCGCGTCGTCAGTCGCATCCCTTCCATAATCCATCTTCCATATCAAAAGATGGACATATAGCGACGTGGACTTTTTTTTAGATCATATTAAGCGGAATCATTTTATCATACATATTTTGGAGTATCTTGAACCGTTTTTGCAGCGCACGCCTCGGAAACCCATAAAAATTAATAATTTTCCCAATTTTTTTCACATCTTTCGTTCTATCTGCGCTTTTATTAGTATTAGTATTATAAATGCCAACACAAAAAGAATTTTTCAATTCGAACCAGGAGTTCCTGCGATAAGCACGTTCAAACAATCAAACAATCAAGCTCTTCAGCTTTATATATTAGTATAGATAGAGATTACATTGCACGACAGGTGTATGCATCAATCGGTTGATTTTGACGATGGCGTGTAGGACTCGGTAGCTCAAGTAGTTTAACAAAAATATATCGCGTTTCAAACCGTTAAAGTGTTTTATTTAAATGTGTACTACTCGCGTAAACTACAGACAGTATTAAATAATGTTTACAAATAATACATAACATCAGACAAACAATACATAACAAAAATAAAAACTGCACAAAATAATAAAATGGACTAACGAGCTCTTATTTTAGATTCGCGTTGACTTGTTGTCATTTAAATTACATTTCAACTGAGTTTTAACGCTATATTTGTATAAAACGCGAGTTATTTTTGTAGACACTTTGTTTAACTGCGATAAATTAATACTGCAAACGGCAATTTTGCATACTTTCCTAGATCGTTTTGAGAATACTTTCGTACCAACGAAATTACTGAACTCGCGAAAGTATAAAATTTAATTAAAAGTGGGCCAAACCGTGTGCTTCGATATCAAAATAAACTTGGTGCCCAACAATACTGTATGTGTTAGTTTACAACTGAAAGTACACGTACAAAGATTGTTTGTATGGTTAGTGTTAGTTTAATAATTGTTTAAAACCCGAGCTTATATGAATATTATTCATTCCATATCATATTACTATAATAAGGGATGTTTTAAACGGAATAGAATAAGTTTTTAAACATATTGTATCTGTCTATATGTTACACTCTCCGAAAACACTCATCTTTTTTACATTTTTCCATTGTGATTAAGCTTATTTTGGTACGACATATATTATATTCAAATAAAACACTTTAACGGTTTAAAACGCGATATATTAGTTAAACTTATTTGAAAATGATTTTTAACTTCGGCCGATTTGGGAGGCTGCAAAGCATCCGAATCGTCGGGCCGAAGTTAAAAATGATAATGATATTTGAAAACTTTAATAATTTCACATGTTAATGCCTTATCATCTCAAAAACGAAGAGTTACGGTTGAAATTACATTGCGCGAGTGGTGCATGTATCGAAAAATTCGACGATGAATAGAACACGGTAGCTCAATTAGGGCAACTAGGTTAGGGCAACAGCACAGCTGCTCGTGTCGTAATTTTCTTCAATTTATAATTGTATTTTAATTTAAAGCTTAAGATAACTTAGATACTTACAATCGGACAACGTGACTTTCGCCCGATAACCCGCATAGTGCCTTGAGTGGTCTGATCGGAAGCGAAGCCGTAGAACGTGACCCCGTGATTGGTAACGCAGCAGCTTCAACTTTCCACCCCAATCACCGCAGAGGCGACGTCTGCGAACTAAGGATTCCCGGGACCAGCCGGCACTCACGGCATCTGACTCGGGCATCAGCGTCTCAAGTTCTTCAAATACCTATAATTATTGTTGTAATTCAATATCAGAATTTGTTCCTTTGAACTTGCTAGTGACAGAAAGTAGTGGTGGGAATGGAATTTTTTTTTGTGTTTGTTAGAGAATTTATCGAGAAAGGCTGTAAAACGTCACGCGCGCTGCGACGAAACAGTGGGAAATGTGGAAAAACGGGGAATATTATACATTTTGTGGGTTGCGTAACGCGAAAACGGTTCAAGCCATTTAAAAAATGTGTATGAAAGAATTATGCTTCTTTTAACGATCTAAAAAAGCTTTGTCTATTTTTATAATTAACTTGCAAGAACGACGAGACGCAATTGGCGTCGCTGACACAGCTAGTAATAAATAAAGTCCGCGAGCTTATTTGTCTGATTTACCTTTGTGCTGACATCTAATTAATATATTTAAATTAGTTAAAGTAATATATTGCGTTTTAAACCGTTAAAGTGTTTAATTTAAATGTGTACTACTCGCGTATACTATAGACAGTATTTAAGAACTAATATTTCTTTTTGTTAAAACTTACTATTTCCAAAACAAAATTAATAACTATACACAAGTTACATCACTTAAAAATATGAAACATATTTTTATCGACTGTTATTGAGTAACTTCTTTTGTGAGTGTGTTTTGGATTATTAATCCAATATCCAAGACTGGACGACCTTCTTTGTCTCGTGCCTAGCAGTGCGTTAAGCAGGTCCTAGCTTCGAATCACTGGAACAGTAGATTGTTCCGATTGGGCAGAGCACAGAAGTCTGATCAACTACTTGCCTATAAATAAAACTTATCAGTGAAACGGACACAGAAAAGTGTACCATGAAAGGGGAACTTCACTCTTATTATGTTGGTATTTTGACGTTGTCTATAATCTACAAACATACACCAACTTGTAAGTAACTAACAAACTGAATAGATTTCACTCTGCTATTCCTAAAATGTATTTTGTTAGTAACGCGGTCGTTTATTCAAAATTTATCGCGGATTTAACGTAATGTTACAATGAGGACGCCAATCTAATAACACGCAGTGGTTTTGACAGGTCAATTTACAAGGTAAAGGATTCCAAATAGCCCGCGGTGAGCTATGAAATATTGCCAGTTAATGGGTAATACAAATATAAAATTATCACTTCAATATAATACATACTGAATATTACGCCAAACACTAGTAGAATTTGTGCCCATAGGCATTGGTCAGGAGGAACAGAAAGAGAAGATGGAGTGACGAGGCAGTGAACATTATAGATAAGAAATATCATACTGTCTGTAATTTATGCGGGTGGTACACATTTAAATAAAATACTTTAAAGGTTAAAACGCGAAAAAAAAAAAAAAAAAAAAAAAAAAAAAAAAAAAAAAAAAAAAAAAAAAAAGAAAAAAGGAAAAAAAGGGGGGGGGGGGGGGGGGGGGGGGGGGGAAAAAAAAAAAAGGGGGGGGGGGGGGGGGGGGGGGGGAAAAAAAAAAAAAAAAAAAAAAAAAAAAAAAAAAAAAAAAAAAAAAAAAAAAAAAGAAAAAAAAAAATTATTTATATTTATTTTTTTTTGGGGGGGGTGGGGGGGGGGGGGGGGGGGGGGGAAAAAAAAAAAAAAAAAAAAAAAAAAAAAAAAAAAAAAAAAAAAAAAAAAAAAAAAAATTATTTTATTTAAGGGGGTTGTTTTTTTTTTTAAAAAAAAAAAAAAAAAAAAAAAAAAAAAAAGGAAAAAAAAAAAAAAATTTAAAAAAAAAAAAAAAAATTCCCCCCCGCCCCCCCGGGCGGGGGGAAGGGAAAAAAACGGGGGGGGGGTAAAAAATCATTTTTAAAAAAGTTTAACTAATATATCGCGTTTTAAACCTTTAAAGTGTTTTATTTAAATGTGTACTACTTGCGTAAACTATAGACAGTATTTAATGTTTGTTTTGCCTATCCCGTCGTATATACAATAATATTCATGAAACATAGCTTAAAGCGTATACGCTATATAGCTATATAGCTTTACAATTCGTAATTACAAAAACATTCTGTGAAATACGAGGTGAAAGTTTAATCAAAAAGTCCATCCGTTGTTTGTTATTACAATAATTTCCAATTGAGGTAAAATCAAAAGAATTCTAAATTAAAACAGTCAGTGGAAACGAGTATTAAAAGTAACAAATAACCCTTTTAATAATTAATATTGTGTGTTTATAAATATACATTATATAATAACAAGAAGGGGCATTCGAAAACTTTAATATTTTTCACACATGAAATATTTTTTCAACTTATTTAGAGCAACAGCACGGAACGCTGACGATGCCGGTTCAAGTCCTGCCCGAGTCGAAATTTATTTTCAATTTTTAAATTAAAATAACAAGGGGCATATTTTGATTTATTGTTACCTGTTAGGAAATGTCTATTGTTGAAAATAAATAAAAACGATTTTTATTTTTACGGCCACAGAACTCTCAGAAGAGATATATATAGAGGAGTATTATAAGAGAGAGAAAAGACCTACGACCCACCACGATAGTTCAATGCGGTTTGCTGGCTTTTAACGACAACTACCAACATTACGGAACTGAGGACTTAACATGCTCTCAGATAATTTCATTTTCGTTTTTTGCTGCTATAGATAGATGTTGCTATAGTTTTGTTGCGATGTATAAGGCTTTAAAATTTGATATATGTGTTCAGAGCTTCTTGGTTGTCAGACTTATATAATTTACTACTACTAGCTGAGTCAGCGACTTCGTCCGCTTATTTTGGGCATCCAAAATTGTTTTCGCAAACTTTCCTAACCTGCGTCATTGGCCGTGTCCTGTTGCTCTAGCGAGTTCATATATAGAGGTAGACATGTACTGTCGCAGACATTGTTTTGATCATTTATAGAAAAATCATTCTCTCATACATATTATTTGTCTATCTTGAACCGTTTTCGCAGCGTACGCATCGGAAATCTACAAAGATGAATCCCCGTTATTACCGCATTATCCGGTATTTCCTCCTTCCTTCTACCATCCTTGATAAATGTATAAAAAAAAAATTCAATTCAACTGCTACTAACAAACAAACTCTTCGGCTTTATTTATTAGTATAGATTACAATCTTTATGAACGTACGATATAATTGTATGGAAGATAAGATCAAACAAAAGAGCCGAGATAAACCTCTTGATTTTCTCGAGATTGTCGTCAAAATGAGTGAGATTGTATAATTATGCAATTATTCATATAAAGTACCTCATTTTCCGAGCTATAGGCGTGATGATCCGAGACCCAATCTTCACGGTCTGTGGTGTTGTCTACGCTCGGCTCCAATATCTCCAAAAAGTCGTAACTGCAACTACATAAAAATATTATTAATACACTATTCTATCACATATAAGACATATTTTCGACTCTAAAATCTATTTTTTTTATTTGAACATTGTTTGGCATACGGGAACTACAATCTAATTTATTAAGCTTATAAGCCCTCATATCATTGTATAATATACGACCAAACAATAAGTGTCCTTAGTAGACTTTTAAATGTCGAAAGCTAAAATAGGTCGACAGCTTAATTACACATTTTAAGTTTTAATACTTAAATACCTTGAAGCGTCTCACCAATCATCAAGAGGGTTAGCAATAGTTTATGCGAGCAGTACACATTTAAATAAAACACTTTAACGGTTTAAAACGCGATATGCGTTAGTTAAACTTATTTGACAATTATTTTAACTACGGCCCGACTTTTCGGATGATTTGCAGCAGTCGTGGTCACGTGGGGACTCGCGACGATCACTGCCCCGTGACTACGGCTGCGCGCCGTATCGCCTTTTACATTGTTAAAGTGTTTTATTTAAATAAACTTATTTGTCTGTTTATTGCATACTAGGGTCAGCGACTTCGTACGCGTAGAATTTTAGGCAACAATTTTGGTTTTGCGAACCTCTTGTTTAACACTATACATTTAAGGTTCTACGTCCGTGTCCCGTCGTTTTGCAAGTTATTCTTAATATAGACATATATGTCGCGGACTTTTTTTAACATTATAAAGAAATCATTCTTTAATACATAGTTTTTGGGTATCTTGAAGCATGTTCGCAGTGTACGCAACCGAAATCCTCAAGCATGAATATTTTCCACATTTCCCGCTGCTTCTGCGCTCCTATTAGTCACAGCGCAGTGTTCCATATCCTATAACCGTGCTCAATAATCGGTCTTATCAACACAAATAAAATTTTTCAATTCGAACTAGTAGTTCTTGAGATTAGCGTGTTCAAATTAACAAACAAACTTTTCAGCTCAGCTTCAGACTGAATTGTCAATATAATTAATCTACACGAATTAATGGCGCTTAGCGTATGTGGTAAAAGTAATCCGTCACTTCAAAATGACATTGACATTACTAAAAGCCACCCCAAATTCTGGTGTGACAATGAAATGAGATAAACCCAATAAATTGGAGATGGTCATGACAGACTCAAAATACTGTTATTTCGGTTGAGTTCGGACCGCCATAATAATGTTGCCCTCACACAATATGGCAGGTATTGGGAAGCGCTGTTTGTAAACGAACTATTTTCCATTCAATATTGTTTTATGTAGATAATATGTAAGCTTTTATTAATTTATTAAGGTCTCCCCGTGACCACGGCTGCTGCAAAGCATCCGAACCGTCGGGCCGAAGTTAAAAATCATTTTCAAATAAGTTTAACTAATATATCGCGTTTTAAACCGTTAAAGTGTTTTATTTAAATGTGTCTACTCGCGTAAACTATAGACAGTATTTTATTAAGTTACTTAAAAGACGTTTAAGCTTAACATATGTCACTTAAGTTATGTTTATCTTCGTTTCAGTTAATATCTACACTGATATTATAAAGCTGAAGAGTTTGATTGAACGCGATAATCCCAGAAATTACTGGTTCGAATTGAAAAAATAATTTTGCATTGAATATATCATTTATCGAGTCTTTACTCAATATAACGATACGCTGTGACGCTTGTAGAACCGGTGAAAAAAACGGGGAAAAATATTTATCTTTGAAGGCCTCTGTTGCGTACGCTACGATAATCGTCCAAGAAACCAAAAATTTTCATATAATATATTTTTTGGTTATATGTCAGGCAGTAATTTAGTACATATTGCCTTTTTTGTATTATTTTAAACCACCATAGTTCGATGTCGTTTAAATAATATAAACATTTTTAAAGCGATATTTTTAACAGCACGCTCAAGTCTATGACTTAGACTAGCGGAAAATGAACACCTGTATTTGGCAACTCCATTTACAATATTGATTCTATGCTGGTTGTTTTGCAGCCATCAACATGATGGTTCGGTCGTGCTGCAATTCTTGAATATGAATATGGGCCTGTTTCGTGGGTGTGTTACTTTTTGAAATAGTCGTAGTAACTTTTATTAAATTGAACCGATTGGTAAATTTTTTAATAAAATACTTTAAACGGTTTTAAACGCAAAATGTATTAATTTACTTATTTTTTATACATTATAACTGCGACCTGCGAATGCTTTAGAACAACCGGCGAGGAAGTGACTAAGGATGTTTAAATTAAACACTTTTAACGGTTTAAAACGCGAATTAGCGGCCCCACGTGACAGCTGCTGTAAAGCATACGACACGGCATGCCGTAACATAACTTTTAAAGTTTAACTGATACATTTCGCATTTTAAACTGATAAAAGGGTTTTATTTAAATGTATACTAACCGGATAAACTACAGACAGGAGTGAGGATGGTGAAAGTTTTATTTCAAGTGTAAAACCGCTAACTACACACAATACTTAGTCGACCATAAAAAGTCATGTGACCGGAAATTTTTATAGAATTTTGAAAATTTGTTTCTACAAAAGTTTTAAGCAATTAAAATATATATATTATACCGTTAAAACACAGTTGTTTATTCCACAGTCTCTGGGGCCTAATTGAGAAACACATGGCGGCGTGGAGGAATAGCTTTGCGTTTAGCGTTTTGTCCTGAGTTCGAAACCCGGGATTACTCTAGCAATAGTCTTGGTTAAAGTATTCTAGACTGTGTATTAATGTATTAAAGGAACGTTTAACATTAACAGTTACATTAGCAAGTAAATCCTATTAAATACGTCATTCGAGAGATATAAATACCGACTTTATTGGTGTCTGCTCATAAAGACAAATGGTGGTAATTATTTCTACAACTGCCCCTTCTAAGTAATGGCGCGGATTATTTTGACGTAATAATCCTATTTAAAATGAACAAAGCTGTATAAAATAAATTCTTAAAGGAAAAAAATCACTTATAGAACTGAAACGCAGCTCTTATACATGGAAATGGTTAAATGAAACGCTTTTAACGGTTTTCAACATGAATAATAAAAGTTTATTTATTTTTAACTATGATTCGACGTTTACAATACATTGTTCGAATCATAGACATCGCCTTTAGAGTAGAGTTTTCCCGGTTCAACAATTGCTGTTAGACCGCCACGTTGTTAGTTTAGTTACAAATATAATCTTTTTTTTATTTTATATCGGTTTAAAACGCGATAAATATGAGTAGGTACCATTATCATTAACAAGCACCCTAGATGTTGGGTCGAAGTTAAGAATATATACTTTTAGACGTTTAAAACGCAACAATTTATTAAAGTAACGTATATTACGTTACTTTAATAAATTGTGTAAGGTTTTCAGCCCGAAAAATAATGATATGATAAGTTACTTTATTTTTAACTTTGACTTTGACGATTACGATGCTTTACAGTACAGTTGTTGTAAAGTAGCCGTAAAGTTGGATTCTAATTTAGAGTATATTTTCTGTTTTAAACCGTTCATTCTTGCACTTTCTTTTAAAGCAGAAACAAGTATTTTAAACGGATTGACGAAAAAAATATCTTTAATTCCGTAAAATACAGTACAAAGTTTTACTCTTGACATATAAACAAGTCTTCATACTTTTATATTAAAAATGAATTTCAAATGAACTTGGTATGGGCCAAGTTGAGACGTCCACAACTTTTACATTTTAAAGTTGGTGCGAACTAGTTCTCGCAAGAAAACCATTTTTTTCTACTCTTTCCTTTGAACTGATCAAGCTTCTATGGTTATATAAGTTCTAATTTGCATTAAAATATATAAATTTAATTATATATAAGTTAATACATAATTATAAAGATCTTTAGCATCTTTTAATAAAGAATGAACCCTTTTGACACATACAGTATCCATGTAGTGCTAATAATCAACGGCTGTGAGTTCGATTCTCTTTCCAACAATAACATGTTTTTGAAAATCAATTTTATCTCTTCTACTAGTCCACTTCGATTTCGAATCAAGAAATTTGTAAGAAATAAATTTAATTACTACCACATTTACTAAATGTTTTACTACAAGCCACACAAAAAAATATGAGACTTATTACTAAATAAAGAAAACATAACATAGTTTAATCTTAATTTTAAAAGTATAAATAAATGTTGTGTCGTGCTAGTTGGTAGAATAGGATTATACTCAGCTTATATCCAGCCCTGTATTGACCTAACACTGATTTTGAGTAAGTCAATAGAGTGTGGACAGAGTTGCCATACGCAAGTAAAATTAAAAAAAAATCTTTCTTAAATACTGTCTATAGTTTACGCGAGTAGTACACATTTAAATAAAACACTTTAACGGTTTAAAGCGACGCGATATATATAAACGTCGGGCCGAAGTTAAAAATCATTTTCAAATAAGTTTAACTAATATATCGCGTTTTAAACCGTTAAGTGTTTTATTTAAAAATCTTTCTTGTTAAAATTAAAATCATAGTAAAATTTACAGAAAAAAAGTCAAGTTAGGCAACAAAAAGAAATATTTGTCCCATTCCATCTTCATGAATAGGTTTCCACTGACAGCGCCACTAACGTCAGTTTTTGTAGCGACAGCAAGTATAAGGTAAGTGTTTGAATAAAAATAAGGCTTGAAATGTAAATTCGGATTGTTTAATCTGTGAATATTTGTACGTACATAGCCAAAAAAGTATGACAGTGCGTCTTGTTTAGATGGTTAATTCTCTGGGCTACTTAACTCTCCATCAAATGAACCATTTACTTGTCTGTTCTTCTGATATAAAAGTCTTGGATCCAGTAATACCCCAAAGTATATCTAGCGCATATAAATCCTGGTCTACTTAAAGCTATAATAGATATATTGGGTCAGCGATACGTTAGACATTTGGCGCGAACAACCAGTTTCGTTTGCCAAATGAAACCGTCAACCCATTTCGCGTTATTCGACTGTGATTACATAAATAACGTATAGATTCCGATCTAATGACAGTCATATCTGGGGTGAAATGTAATCCGAACACAAAGAGAAAGACGAAATAGTTCAAGTGAACATGCGTTAGCCAGTAATGTGTTCATTTATGATTGTTGTAATTTTATATTTTTTTGTGAAGAATTGTCTTACTAAAAAAAATATTATAAACACACCGGCTGCTGATCTGAGGCGTCGGGGATGATTAAAAATAAATTACTATATTTATTTCGCGCTCTCTACCCAAATCTTGTAAAAAGTATTGTCTATAGTTTACGCTAGTATCAAACTACAGACAATACTAAATGTACATATAAATACATACATAGTTGAAATGGTTTATCACTTTTAAATTTAAGAGTTTAATGGTTTAAAACGCGATATATATAAGTTAAACTTATATGGAGAATATTTTAACTACGGCCGACGTTATGGATGCTTCGCAGCAGCCGTGATCAGTCTCCCCGTGACCACGTGCTCCAAATAATCTCGAAACAATTTAATTGATATAAATCGCGTTTTAAACCGTTAAACCTAATCTAGGCAAAGGGATTAAAACTTTTAAATGGGTAGGAATATCGAAATTCCGTCGGGGTACGAACTACCGTCCACAGATCTGTCCGTCACAGATATCCGGGGTATTCCACTATCCATTAAGTGAACCCTTGCCAAATGCTTGTCTGTCTCCCTCTATCTTTAAAAATATAAACACATTTATATAACCGTTTCAGCTAACAGAGGTTTCCCAGGTTCCAGAGATTTATCACCCGGGACGTAACAATCCGTCTAGTTGCTATCTCTCGCCAATCTTGTGTTCCAAGGTCCCAGTCACTTTTTTTATTCTCAACTTTTACAACAGATAGATAAAATAATAGTATAATAAAGCCATTTTACTTTTAAGGGTTCCGTACCCAGAAGTTAAAAACTTTCAGAAATTGTGTTTTTCTTCTGCGGTTATAGCGACAAAATAAAAATAAAAAATTTGCAACAGTCACGATTAGACCCATCTTGCTCAGGTTTTTTAGCTTTCATAATTTACTTGTTTATGATAAGCATGGGATTGAAGGGGGGGGTTGTCCCTTTGGGGCTTTCGAGTTGGGGAAACCCACAGACAGAAAACGCAAAAATCCACGTCCTGGGGACGGTGGTTCGTGACGGACAGATCGATACTCCAATTTGATCATTTTCAGACACAGTCAAATATGTTTCAATATTATAAATTGATTACAAAAATATTGTGTCACTGATCGAAGCCACGACCCGTTGATTATTAGCCATACATTGTTACCATTAGGCCAAACTGTTTACAATTATCGTTTTTGTATATTTGTATTTAGTCTACCAGTAGAATGAAACGGAACTATTTATTGTTTGTTATAATGTATCCTTTTCTTATTTTTAGTAATAAATCACTTTGACAACTGTAATATTTTTTACACATGATGGCAGTATATGAATTAAAAATCTATAATGAATTGAAAAAATTAACGACTCGGGCCGGGCTCTCAACGTTGCGTGTTGCTCTAGAGGTTTTAAACAGACATTGCGTAGTGTGGTGCATGTCTCAATAGGTTGAAAAAATCAAGCACTGCCCGTGTCGAAATTTTTTTCAACTTATAATCGATTTTCAATTCCTCAATCATTTTATTTGACCGTATTTTATCAATATTGCGAAGAAAATTCTCTCGGTAACGATGGCATTGAATGAAGATCGAAATAAGCCAATCCGTATTCAATTTCCTATAGGCAGATCCAGGCTTTCACAGCGGAATTAGATCGGCATCTTAATTAACTTCAAATACAATCTGGGACGTGGTTTTTAAAACACATACGGTCCGTAGCTCTCTATCGACCTATTTTATAGAGGCATGTTTTTTTTTTTCAGTCATATAACATCTAAACGAGATGCGCTGTCGATCTTGATTGGATATTTGGAAATCTACATACAGTCCGGGATGACGCGATTGGCTTCTTCATTTGTGTATAGTTGTTCTTGACCTGTTCGAAAGATTAGTATTGGTGCAACCCATCTGTGGTCCCAGTTTTCCATTTTATTAAACATGTATCAAAATTGATTTTTAGAATAATTTCTGTACCAGGAATCAACCTACGACCCTTTGATTATTAGTCATACATCGCTACTAATGGACAAGGTCTTACAAATTATATTTTGATTTCAAATTTAAATGCTTTAGTTTAAAAGTAGAAGACGACTCATAATATTAAGTAACAGGAATAAAGTTTTATTATTAATGCACTTAACTTTGTATTAAGTATTGAAAACATATTTTATTGTCATCTAAAAACAAATTATTAAGATTAAAATGTTGCAGCATCTGTGCTGATTAAGACTCAGCTGAATGTTGAACGAAGGATGAAGGAACAAGGAATTCCTCAGCGCTGTTTTTAGTCTGTTCCCTCTGGTCGAACCCGAAAGGTTTTAATAAACTAATGCGAATTTAAAAATCTATAGCTAAGTATTAATTACAAATAACAGTAATAAATGAATTAGCAAAGCGATAGTACATAATTTATACGGAGAATGGAAGTCCAGACTATGTTGAATGACGAGTTATATTACTGTCTGAATGTAGTTAAAAAAATAGATATGTTGCTAGGCGACGCGTTAAACCGTTGCGCCACGGAACCGTCAACCGAATGTAATAAATGCCATGTTATTTATTCGGAACCGCATTTATAATATTAATAAATATCGGAATGCGTATAATGAGCAATAATATTCTCATTATGATAAGCCGGGCCCTAACGACGCGGTTACAACTTACAACGACCGATATCACCGTTACATTGCATTCATTTATTATTAATGATTGGATTATACGTATTTGCGATATTATATGTTTTATTTATAGAAGAGATAGGCGAATCGATGGCAGGTAAAAATGCCCACTTTTAAGGGAAAAGGGGGAAAAGGGGGGAAATAGAGGGGAAAAAATTTTTAACCCCCCCCCGGCCGGGCGCCCCCCCCCCCCCCCCCCCCCCGCGGGCAAGCCCCCCCAAGGGCGGGGCGGGGGGGAAAAAATTTTTAAAAAAAATTTAACCAAAAAATCGCGTTTTAAACCTTTAAAAAGTTTTTTTTTAAAGTGTACTACTCGCGTAAACTATAGACAGTTCCCACATTTAATTGAGATGCGCTACATCGTTTAAGATTAATTAAGAAATTTCTGATCTATAACAGTAGTGCGTTTTAAATACGATATCCGTAGACTTCTATTGTATATCATTGTGGGTATTAAAAATAAAACAATGGCACACGAATATTTAAAAACTGCCTAGACACTATTTTTTATCACTTAACAAGCTACATATTAATATGTATAAATGTAAAGTGATAATCAAAGATTATTTTAAAATGTTGTAAAGGGGACCTCCACAAATTAAGTTTAGTTAGAAATGATAGATTAAAAATCTATAAAGTGTTTGTTTGAACGCGCCAATCTTAGAAACGTCTGGTTCATATTGAAAAATTATATGAGTGTTGGTTAGAGCATTTATCGAGGAAGGCTAAATTTAGGCTATAAAATATTACGCTGAAAACGCTGGGCAACGGGGAAAATTCTTAATTTTTTTAGGTTTTCTGTTGCGTGTGCTTCAAAAAGGGTTCAAGGTACGAAAAATATGTATGTAAGAATGATTCCTCTTTTAATAATTTTAAACAATATCTGCTATCGACAATAAGAAGTGCGACCAACGTTGAATTTATAAAGATGAGGTTTGAACAACAATATTTGTTCTACGCAGACGAATTCCTTGACACAGTTAGTATATTATAACATAGGAACATACTGTGGCTCGTGTTCTGTGAGAAGCTCCTCAAAGTGCAGCCGTATGGTGTGCTGTGGTGGTGCTCTGACTTCAGTGACGCATTCTGCATCATCCGGATAAGGCCGAGGAAACCCGGGGCTCGAGACTGTAGCGTGCTGGTGAGAGTGAGACAGCACTATGGTCTCGTTGCATTGGATACGTGATGCTTTGTACGGATCTGTGGAAATAGATATATGTTAAGTTTTTGAAAAAAAAATACATAACATTTGCATTGCCATACGGTATTCCAAATATCTTAATACTAATTAAAATATATATGTCGAAGAATTATTATTTTAGTAATTCGTTAGTTCCCGCCACCCCAAGTAAGGCTTAGTATACTCTGCGGTATGTCACGTTCAAATGTCAAAGTTGACAATCTGTCAAGCCTAATTACTATGATCTGTCAAAGAGTCAATTGCGTCATAGTTAGCTGTAATTTTAGCTATTTAATTAGGTAGAATATAAAATACTTGCTTTCTTTATTTGTATTGACAAATAAACTCATTTAATGCTAAAGCGGAATAAAGTTCGCTGGATTAAGCAGGTTTTTTGCATATATTCTTAATCTATATCTATACTAATTATATAAAGCTGAAGAGTTTGTTTGTTTTTTGAATGCGCTAATCTCAGGAACTACTGGTTCAAATTCAATTCAAATTCTTTTTGTGTTAGTTAGAGCATTTTTTGAGGAAGGATATAGGCTATGAAACATTGTGCTGTGCCTAATAGGAGCAAAGAAACAGCGGGAATTGTCGAAAAAACGGAGAAAGTCCTTGTGGGATTCCATTGCGTGGCAGTATATGTCTATCCTTTAAGATTAACTTCCAAGAACCCGACGGGATTCGAACGACGGACCGCGAGCGACATTTTTAAAGATGTAGTATAGGTTTATAAAGAACAAACAAAAAATAACTATTCCACGCGGAAAAAATGGCAGTTAGTATTTAATAATAACATATGCTTTTTGCGACGTAAACAAAGGAATTAATATTTATGTAATGGTATGTAAATTAATTTAATTTTTTGTTGTAAATCGTCAAACTGTCTTATTTAAATTAAATGTATATTTATTTTATTTTAATTATTTCAAAGAATAATTCCGCTGGTTTATATGATAGTGTGTTACAACGTTTGATATGATATTAGTGCTAAAGGCATTTCAAAAGGAACATAATATGGATGAGAAAATATTACAGACCATTTCTCATCCCGTTTGAAATTCATACATCGCAATTCCTAAGGGTACAAATACAATATGGCGTTAGAATATCGACGTTCAAAGAAATCTGTATCATCTTTTATCCTCTATTCCATACGTTCATCCCTTTTGTTATGCTATTTAATTTTCATTATTCATGTTTCCCTTTGATTTCTTATTTACATAGCAGAAATATAAACTTCTAAAGGGGGTTCTTCGTCTTATATATGCGTTATTGTAGTTTTCCGTAAAGGGTTACCCTGGAATTACAAACATAGGATCCATCTTCATTCTACATTTTATGTATTAATTTAAATTATTTTTATATAATTAATATTTCCATTTATGTATACTAATTGGGGGTAGAGTATAAAAAATAATAATTTCTTGTTAGATGTTTAAACTATACAAAAAATACCACAGACAACCAATAATAACATACGAATATATCGGTAATATCTACACTAATAATATAAAGATGAAGAGTTTGTTTATTTGAGCGCGCTAACTCTAGAATGTTGGTTAAAACTAGGATTGGACCATATATCGAGAACAGGTATAAAATATCACGCTACAAACTGAGGAAAATGTGGAAAAAAGGGGAAAATATTGAAATTTGAAGGTTTCTGTTTCGTTTTAGGTACCCAAAAAAAAATATGGAATAATGTTTGCTCCTTAAATTATTATCTTAAAAATTACTGTCCATATATGTATTTACAAGAAGGTTCAAAATTCATTATGTGAATCGACTGGAGCCCGAATTAGCGGACATATATATGACATAGCGGAATTCATTGTAAATACATACTTTTAAATGACGTTTATAAAAAAATGTACATTTGATTGTAAACCTGGCCCGTATAAGCGGAACTCGTGTATATTGTAATTTAGGGTATATGTATAGGTAATAGCTAAATATTGTAAAGAGTGATCCGTGGCACATATAAACCGCGGTTTTCATGCCCTGCGAATATGAACAAATAATGTAAAAAAAATATTATTAATGAAAAAAAACTATCTTTTAAGATCACTTTTATTTAACTCACGACAACCGTTTTTTTTTGGTAATAAAATTTGTTTCATGGCAAAAGAATGTTTGCTAGATTAAGGTAAGTTAGAAAAACTACGACTTGTACTCTAGTAGTGACGTAAAACCTAAAAACTAGAAATTAACGTAAGGGAACAATGTTGCACGATATTACCAGTTAGAAAAAGAAGATTCCTCTCCTCTCCTCTTATCCCCCCCTTCTCGCCTCCCATATATGCGCCACAGAGAGCGATAATCTAGAACCATTTCGTTATTATTAGCTATTGTGAAGTTCCGTAAGCAATTTGTTCAAGTCCGATGTGAATAATTAAACTAACGTGTTCCGTGAAGTTAGATTTAAGTGGTAAAGCGTGGGTTCCGCTGGGAGCCGGGGCTAATTTTGTTTCCACATACTTTAACCACGTCGTGTGGTGGCATGGCGAGGGTACGAAGTTATGTGTTTGCTCAATAAACCTTTAAACAATCCCAGCTTGTTATGTCAAACAAAATATGGACTTGACATATTTTTAAATGTACGTAAAATGAAGGCGTTTGTTTGGAGGGATTTTTATATTTTCATTATATGCCTGTTATAAATGGAATCACTTAAGTCACGTTACTTAGGTTGAAATATAACATTTTATTTATATGTGAATTGTATTTGTAATTTATGCGAGTTATACATAAAATACTTTTTAACGGTTTAAAACTTGCACTACGTTGGGTGAGTGGTTACGCATTTAAATAAAACACTTATAAGAATTTAAAACGCGGAATATTTTCGGTAACTTATTTTTAATTTATTTTAACTTTAAAATGTGTTTTTGCAAACCTCTACATTTTTATAAATTATAGCTGTTACAAAATCGTCCGCGTCGCGTCGTCGTTGCAAGTTATAAGATAGACATATATTATCACGGACATTTTCTTTAGATCATTTACGCAGGAGTCATTGTCTCGTACATGTTTTTAGGGTATCTTAAACTGTTTTCCGCAATTAAAAACCACAAGGATTAATAATTTTCCCGTATTTTCTCATATTTCCCGCTGTTTCTTCGCTCGCATCGCGAGGTTTTATATATAGCCTATAGTCTGCCTCAAGAAATGCTCTAACCAACACAAAATACACAACACAGAATTTATTCGATTCGAACTAGTACTTCCTGAGATTAGCGCGTTCTAACAAACGAACTCTTCAGTTTTATTTATAAGTATAGATATCGAATAAACAGCGTGTAAAAAATCGAGTGCATGTGTAACGAGGCAATAATAGCGAATCACGAGCAACGAATACCAATGAAATCAATTCAGTCGATTTGTCGAGTCGAAATCTTGTTCGTACTCGGCAAAATTATTTTATTCTGAAATTGAATTGTCAATATATTTTATTTTTATTAGAAGAGAACAAACTTAGAGTTTACTTGATAGTGGGTGCTGTCGACTTATTTTGACAATTGACAGTTGGCAATGACAGTTACCGTCTATGGTCTTTCGTCATGGTGGGTCTTTCATGACTATTGACCGGCCATATAATGTCAAAATGTATTTAGATATCATGTAGCATTTAAACAAAACACGATTAACGGCTTAAAACGCGAAGTACAATTATAATCTTTTTGAAACATCGGGCTTTAGTTAATATAAATTAACAATAAGTTAACTAATATGTTTCGCGTTTTAATCCGTTAAACGTGTTTTATTTAAATGTGTACTACTCGCGTAAGCTACAGACAATATTTGTTATATAACATATTATGTAGGACCATAATAAGTTCTTTGCTATGTCGGATTATCGCGGAGTCCCGACTAGGAAGTCCTACATATGCTATAATCTACATTTTTTAAGTCTTAGCATTATAATAAAGTAAATACTGGCCGCTTTTTATTTACTTACCATAAAAAAAACGTCTCAACACTCTTATTACCCGTTAAAAATTAACTTATCTAAGTTAAGCTATTTGATAAATATATAGCATACATAAGAGAAGGGAAACTAGACCGGCGTAACGCGTTACGTTACGCGTGTGTGTGCGTGAAAGTTATTACAAAAGCTTTTATTTTGATTTTAGCAGCAAAATCCTTTCATTTTATTTTATACATTATTCGTATATATTTTAATTTACAGAGTAAGTATATGATTAATTTATAATATGTAACTTGTATTTAGGCTTACATATAGACGTATTGATAATCATAATTTTTGAACAGATATATCGAATCCGATTAACGTTGGGCTCAGTCGTAGTTAAAATACAATTTAAATGTCTAATAAGTTTCGGTTCAAACCGAAATACCGAATAATGTATTTTAACACAATAATATGTAAAATGATTCCTTATAACTTCATAAGTTCTACGAAATTAGGTCAAATTTCCATGATTCGTGAAACGTGAAACTTTCATATGTCAAATAATTATATAATGCTGAAAATATGTGTAAACGGTTTTAATTTTAATGCCACAAGAGAAGCCAACAAAGTTTGTAACGGCGCAACCCAGTCTCGCTAACAGCGTTATAATCGTAAAAATGCGGTAAAACGCGAAGCTATAACTCTGCCTTATATCAAGTATATCTTAAAGTTCAAAGGATAAGCTTTAAATACCATGAGGTTACTCTTTTTAGGGTTCCGTAACCGAAGAGAAAGTTTTTGATTCTTGGAATTTTGCGTGTTTGTCTGTCATCCGGCTGTACCTCAAAAACCACAATCGTTAAAGAAATTTTACAAATTAAGTATCTGTTTTCATCGCTGTTACATCTAATATAAAAAAGTACTTATAATTATAACAGATGGGGACAAGAAACAATCATAATCCGATGGTTTATTGTTCCTATTATTATTAGTAAAGTAAAGGTGGGTACTAAATTTTTTTGTTTTGAAAAAAAAAAAATATTTTTATTGAAAAAAAATGTGATGCGAAGCTACAACGCACTAAGCTTACTTGGGCAATTC